TACACACCCGAACCAAGAACCATGACACCACGGTCTTCGAACGAAACATCGTGCTCGCTGGCGTTGTAGGTCAGATACAGGTAGTTGGTGAAGGCAGGGAATTCAGCGGCGACGGTGTCGATCTGCTTGACGAACGGAGTAATGCCTGCCTCAAGACGCATGCGACGAATAGCTAACTCGTTGGAATCCCAGAAGTTGGCAAGCTGACGGTCGCAGAAGCCAAGCTGCTTCGCGCGAAGGAGAAGATCAGGACGACCAACAACATCGTTAGCCGTGAGTTTGGTCATGTCCTTGGCGAAATTGCTCAGGCCCTTGAGCTTGGACAAGAACCACTTGTCGATCTTGGTCAATTCCCAGATCCTGTCGACAGTATAGCCCGCGTGCATGGCGTTGGCAATGGCGAATAGACGCTGGTCAGAGGGGGTCTGGAGCTCGTCGTCGACGGACATGAGCGCAGTCTTGGACTCGCTGAAGCCAAGGTTGTGGAAATCGATGGCACGAATGGCCTTCTGGATGGCCTCTTCAAATGTCCTGCCGATGCTCATGACCTCGCCGACACTCTTCATGGAAGAGCCGAGCTGAGTGGAGACGCGGGTGAACTTCTTCAGATCCCAACGAGGCATCTTGACCACGACATAATCCAGAGAAGGCTCGAAGCAAGCGCAGGTCACCTTGGTAACGGTGTTCTTGATCTCTTTCAGAGGAATACCGAGACCCAACTTGGCAGCAATGAAAGCCAAGGGGTATCCGGTGGCCTTGGAAGCCAAGGCCGAGGAACGCGACAATCTGGCATTGACTTCGATAATGCAGTATTCCCTGGAGAAGGGGTTCAAAGCATACTGGATGTTACACTCGCCGACAACTCCAAGATGGCGGATGACGTTGACAGCAGTAGTGCGAAGCATGTTGTAGTCTTCATCGGAAAGCGTCTGGGAAGGCGCGACGACAATGGAATCGCCGGTGTGAATACCAAGAGGATCGAAGTTCTCCATGTTGCACACAGTGATACAGTTGTCCTGGGCGTCACGAACAACCTCGTATTCGATCTCCTTCCAGCCCTTCATACTGCGCTCGACAAGAACCTGGGGACTGGCAGCCAGCGCCTTGTTGCACAGGTCAACGAGCTCAGCTTCGTTGTTGGCGAAGCCACTGCCGAGACCACCAAGAGCGTAGGCTGCACGAACGATAACCGGGTAACCAATGTCCTTGACTGCGTTGAGGGCCTCCTCAACACTGCTGGCCGAAGCGGACTTGGCACACTTCTCACCAATGGACTCCATGCTGCGAGCAAAGAGCTCACGGTCCTCCGTGGTGATGATGGTATCAATGGGGGTACCGAGAACCTTGACACCAAGAGCCTCAAACTCATCCTTGAGCTGGATACCGACCGAGAGGGCCGTCTGGCCACCAAAGGTGCAGTAGATGGCATCGGGCTGTTCGTACTTGATAACTTTCCGGACGAACTCGGCGTTTACGGGCAAGAAGTAGACCTTGTCGGCCAAGCCCTTGGAGGTCTGAATGGTGGCAATGTTGGGGTTGATGAGGACAGTGTAGATGCCTTCCTCCTTCAACGCCTTGATGGCCTGAGATCCCGAGTAGTCGAATTCGCCAGCCTGACCGATGCTGAGACCACCACTGCCCAAGACGAGGACCTTCTTGACATCGACACGGGGGTGGAGTCTCTCGTTCTCCTCAGTGGTACCACCGGGGAATTCGACACCCTTCTGGAGAAGAGTGTTGTCGGTGGTGCACTTGGCAACAGTCTGAATGAAGACATCAAAGAGGAACTCAGTGTCACGGGGGCCGGGAGTGCTCTCAGGGTGGAACTGGACACTGAAGTGGGGGCGGTCAACGTGCATGATACCCTCGTTGCTGCCATCATTGGCGTTGATGAACAGCTCCTGCCATCCGGTGGGGAGAGTGGTAGCGTCAACCGCATAACCGTGGTTCTGCGAGGTGATATGGCACTTTCCAGTGACCATGCTTGTGCAAGGAATGTTGTGACCGCGGTTACCGAACTTGAGCTTGACCGTTTTGGCACCGGCAGCACGAGCGAGCAGCTGGTGACCCAAGCAGATACCGAAGATGGGTGTGTTGTTCTTCTGCAGGGCGGCAGAGATGTGCTCGACAGTGGTGTCCATGACCTTCGGGTCACCAGGACCGTTGGAGATGAACAGACCATCATATTCTTCCTTGGAGAAATCGTAGTCCCATGGACAAACGAGGACTTCGACACCGCGCTTGATGAAGCACCTGAGCTGGTTGTACTTCATGCCGACATCGAGGCAGAGAATACGAAGGTTGCGACCCGAGGGATGCTTGAGGGCAGTGGCCTCATCGGGCTTGTAGAGCTTGGGCTCCTTGATCGAGACTGAAAGTAGCGTGTTAGAAATGGCTTGCCCATCTTAGCGGAGGGCGCATGTTGCTTACCTTCGGCAACGAGGTTCTTCTCGTTGGGGTTAACCCATTCGATAGTCTCGAAGTGAGGCTTCCAGTCGCCAGGGACTCCGAGAGAAGGAGCGCTGACAGCCAAGTCTTCCTTCTGGAGAAGCATGCGACCAAGCATGCTACCCTTCTCGCGGATGCGCTTGGTGAGGGCGCGGGTATCGACACCGTACATGGCAGGGATTCCCTGCTCCTTGAGCCATGTTCCAAGGGACGAGGTGGCGAGGAAGTGCGAGAAGTCTTCACCAGCATAAGAGGCGGTAACGAGACCGGCAATGTGAATCTGGTTGGACTCGAAGTGGGCGGGGAGATCCTTGAGAAGATCATCGACGGTTTCCCGCGAGGGGACGCCATAGTTTCCAACAAGAGGGAAGGTAATGACGAGAATCTGACCGCGGTACGAAGGATCGGTCACGGACTCAGGGTAGCCGACCATGCCGGTCTGGAAGACAAGCTCGCCGGCAATGCTCTTAGGCGCACCAAAGCTGTAGCCTTGGTAGGCAGAGCCATCCTCAAGCTCAAGGCAAACAAGGCCTTCGCAAGGCGCATCGGCGATGGGGGCCGTGGCGGGGCGGTAGACGGTCGCAGCCATGATGGAAACAGGTGAACTTTTAGAGTATAAACAAAAAAAAGAGAGAGAGAAAGATGACTATGGTAAGAAGGGTATAGTGGAAAAGAAAAGAGTAGTGAAAAAGCGGCACAGAATCGAGAATGGAAGACGGTGGTTGAGAGGACGTCAAAGATGGTGAGAGCTTCGTCAAGAAGAGCTCAGGAGCTGATTCGTTTTCGTTGGGGGGAAAACGGCGAGAAACTGGCAAGATGATGTTGGTGGACTGTGTATGTTTCAGCTGGATATCCTCACTATCCAAGCTCGATATGGCCTCTGCTTGATAGCAAGAGGAAGAGAGAGAGGAGAGGAGAGGAAGAGAAAGGATCCCAGGACTCGACCACGGGGTAAATATTTTTTTTCTTGTTTCGGCAGCCTCGAGGAGCCCCGCCAGACCGTCAGCCCGCCACGCTGTGCCCGTAATTGGGTTGGGGACAGACGGCCTGGGCGACGGAGCGAGGCGAGTGGGATTCAGAAAAGTTTTCCGTTATTCACGCCATTGTCCAATGCCGTCTTCGGTGGCTCGTGAGAACCTGGAGGGGCGGGTCCAGCGGGAGTTGGCAGGGCCGGCAGCGCCGCAGGACCGCGACACCTGCACATCCGGCAGGCAAGGTTTTAGCGCGGGGCAGCGGGGGTCCCTTGAGCACTGAACGACCGTCGCGGAGGGGTCCCCAGACGATTTTAGCTTGCATCGCCTGCCAAGTTCGTCTAGAGCCAAAGCCGAAAACCAATGATATTACGGGTGAAGAAAATTATGTGGGGGGGTTTGTCAAAGACCCTGTACCGTGGCCCGCCCAGGACAAAATCTTGATGACACCCGGACCCGAGTTCAGATTTTGATCTTGGACCCGGCAAAAGGCTGGGCGGCTTTAACGTAAAGACACCATGACTATGAATGCGTTGAGCCGATACCACTACTAACACTACAGAACTGCATAGACTTCGAAGGCGCCGTCGCTGAGCATCCAATGCAATAGAACCTGTTGATTTGCGTGGTATTCGACTGAGTCTGGTGGTGTTTTGTGTGCTGAACTCAGGTGTCATCACTCATCAATCTTGTCGTGTGCGACCGTGGGTACCATCACCACCACAAAAATCCATGTCAACAAGTGCTGTCCCCTGTCACCAATCCGGGGCCCGTCCGTCCTGGTGTCCGGCATTTTCGCCGTCCCTATCTTGTCACTGCCGATCGGTCGTCTTCGACTACGTACCATCATTACTAGGACCGATGCGATGCCGTGAGGCCCGTGACAGCAGGAGAGGACCGGCAGAGTTGCAGCATGTTGTCACAATCACCATCCGATGTTCGATGTTGATATGTTCGCTAAAATTTCAGCATTGGCCGAAACCATCTTTTTTGCTTGCCCTACATAATACATATGCAGTGTATGCATCTGCTGGTCGTCCTCGCCAGAATCGTGATGGGGTACACTCCACCTCTGCAGGGATAGAAATGGTTAGCTCGGTTCTTGCGAGTGGCAAAGAACCTTAATTTTTTGCACAGGAAATGGCTCTCCTGTCGTCTGCCTACTCCCTGTTTCTTGTTCGATCGTCGTACCAAGCTAACCTTTTATATCCATGCAGAAGAGGTGAACAAGATGGGCTGCTGCTGATCGAAGCGAGATTTTCCTCTTACGTACGCCAACCAGCCATCTGTGGGGTTATGGAGCAGCGGTATCGCTTGCTCTTTGGGGCTCGTCAGAGTCATCGTTCGCATCGGGTCCGGTTGTCGGGATCTTAACACCGATCTCGACCGTCCCGTAGCCCTCACCTGCCGAAGTCTTCTGGCGGCGGATGCTCACCATAGCCCACGCAGTGCGTGTTGGTGTCAGTTGCCGACTGTATATCGAGACTTGAGAGCTTCTGTGTTTGCAGTATAACGGGACGTGCACTGTGAGGAAACGGATAAGCATCTAGGTTGATGGAGTCAGTCTCCGAGTCATACAGCATGCCAAAGGATTTGCAAGAGTGCGGAATTCCAAAGATCATGTTCCGCTCCAAGTATGGTGAGTTTGTGCTTCGGGTCTTGGCCGGTGCCATCATCTCGCTGTATGCACCACCACCCGGAAAGTCCGCCAGGGAAAGTGGGCCATCCGGCTCCGAGTGGGTCTTGTTTTCGCCGGGCAAGGACCGGTCTGCTCCGTAAGCTCTTACTTGTAGGAGGCTCGGACTCTTATTTCGCACACGGCGGGGCTCCTGGGTTAGGGTCCTTATACGTCCAGCGAACCAAGAATGTAACGTACAGCTGGTGCTGCACCGATCTAAACTCCATTGCCCACCAGGCTGTCAATTACTGTGGTGGTTCCTTGGATCGTAGCACAGGCCTAGACAAACACTGGTCAATGTGACAGGAAGAGCAATTGCACCCAGAAGGTGCAGTAGCCGTAACGGGACATGACGTCGCCCCGAGGCGCTCCGCACCACCATAGTCAGCGACGTCTGCAGCCTCGAGATCGTCAGCTGGCCGCAGAGGTTCGTGGAGGGTGTCACAGGTAATACAGCTGTTGTGTGTTCTGTATCAAAGTACCCAGGATCGTTGATGACGGTCGTAACCCCATCTGCCCATGTTTCAACGTAAACCTTTCTTCGAATTTGCTTCGAGATGCGTAGCTGAGACAGTTGTGGACGACTGATGAGGTAGGCACGCAGGACGCCTCATCAGTTATCAATGGTTCGAAAGACTGAAATTCATATCCGACTCGTTAGCCTGACAGGACGTCTCATAGCTTCTACATAATGAGAGCACTTGGTGAAGCAAGAAATGGTTTGGGCTTGCCGTGTCGCCTCGTCCAATTGGATGTAAGTGCCCGTCGTGGCGGATGCGGCTTGTGACCGAATCGAATGACTTGTTGCAACCCTCCATCACATCTCAACCTATCCAGCATCGACGGCGGACCCACCCGGACTAGCGAGACGACCATCGACCGGTCTCCTACAATCGCTGTTACATCGAGACAAATCTTTGATCATGTGTCACCACCAGGACCCTGCGTGATGGCGATATAAGTATCGACGATATATATACATCCAGACATGCAGTCGCTAGTGTCAATCGTCATCTGGCAAAAGCCCAGCGGACGGGTTGCGGGCAATAACGCTCAGTATGCGGAATAAAATTCCATGATAAGAAGAGTGAGACAGCTCGCACCAAACGCAAGAGAGAGGGTCTGTCTCATGGCTTTGAATCATCTTGACCGCCCTCGAGGCCTTGACAAGCACTTTCTCAGCCTCATTCAACGCAGTACGTCGGCAGGCTGTGCTTGGCAGCGACCATTCTGGATACGATTCGAGGAAGATGGAATGGGGGCTTGTACCAGGTGCACACGAAGGAAAAACAAAAGAGGTTGTCTCATTCGCTCGATTGCCCATGTGAGGTCGGCCGCGTGCCGTTGAGGCCTTGGACGGGAAGAGGGGGCCTTGGTGCAATGGTGAAAGGGGAAGAGGGAGTGAGGGACTGAGGGAGATGATAACGTCAAGACTTATAAAGATCCATTTCGCCTCAAAAGACAAACGCAGTGAGCCTCCTGTCGGTCTGTCGAAATTCAATGGGAAGAAAGAGTGCAAAGTGGAAATGGAACTTGATGAGAGATTTGAGACTGGACCCAGCAACTTGGAGGTTCCATTTGTCAAGTGTGGTCTGGGAGAGTGTGAACCACTAAATGGCAAGATGGCCAGGTAGGCTGGCGTGATTGGTGGGATGCGCGTGGGAAGGCGCTGATGGAGCAAGGGCCCCCGGTCAGCCCCAAGATTGTATTGTTTCTTGGACTGTCTTGTGCCCTGCGATGCTCTGACCATGGTGCTGCTCACCGCATTCCTACCTAGGATTTCCTCAGTCACCAAACTCCGCACATCCTTCTTATCATCCATTCATGGTTAGACGAAGCCCGTGTTTGACACTAGGCAGTTTGGGTTCCATCATCTTCCGACACATCTCACGGTTGTTCCCCTCTTTCGAGCTCACCACCTACGATGGTTACTTGTCAGTGTCAGGTGCTGTTGCGCTTCACGCGCGTCATTTGTCTTGCAGCAGCCCATGTCGAGACTCCCGTGATCTGTCTATGGTGTTGTCAAAGTCTCGGAGCAAAAACCTAAAGATGGCTCCTACGTAAGAAAGAAGGGCCACTTCACTTACATCGGGTAAAATACAAGGACGGGAATGGTTGCGGCTCACGGCGGGCAGTCAAGACGAAAAGGTTGAAAGTTACAGCCTCCAAGAATACACAATCGGTACCTGCCACTTTGCTGGATCGGGGAAACCGGACGGGCTTGGTCTCCAAGAGTTGTCTTGTCACTTGAGACGAAACAACGGGACGGCCTGAGCTAGCTTGCAACTAGGTTGTCAACGTGCCGCTAAGTGACAAGGGAATTGGAAAGCCTCGACGCCAGCGACCTTTGGTTGCCTTTCTTCCTTCGTTTCTTTCTTCCCGTCTTCCTGTTCTTATTCCTGGACCTGCTGGCTTCTGGATTGTAGCCGCCGCTGTGTAACCGGCGTACAGCCATTTCTTTTCTGCACCACCTCATCTCATCATCGAGGCCCCCCGCGACTCGACTGTATCCCGGAGATCCGACCTACTTATCTCGAGGTTGCCTCTACGTCAAGTCCGGCTCCCCGGATTTCTTAGCTTCGCATCCTCTCCCGCTGAAATTCCACTGCGGCAACCAGGGTATCGCTCCGGCCGGCCTCATATTTATATCAGGACTACGTTCAGTCCCCTGCCTTACTGAAAACAACCCCTTGTCTCTATTCCTTGCCTTATCTTGTTCGCCCCTCTTGCAAGTCGCAAACATCAACCTACGCCAACCTTCTCGCCTCGATCTCATTACCATTCCTCACCAGTGGCCCGCGGTTTTGCGATAATGACCGCGTCCATGGCGCTTTAAACGTCCAAAAGAACTTGAGTCGGGGGCCATCGAGACCCGTTGGGGCCAGGAGAAAGCATGCTGTCTACCTTGATACGACCCTTCAAGGGTGCTGCGCGCAACCCAGACGACGGCGATCTACTTGAGAGAAACTCGGAACCGCTACTACGACGTCCTGCTTCTGTCCGGAGTTATACGCAACATCGACACGCGACCGCCGACTTCACCGAGGCCGACGATGACGATGACGAGTCCGACGATGCGAGACAACCACGCCAGAACGCTTCCAACCGAGGTACTGAGGATGAAGATGGTCTGAATCAGGCAATTGGTGTTCTGCCGCTCTTCTGTGCTGGGCACCTTGGTATGATACCTTCCGTTGCTCCATATACGCCAAAGACCATGTGCAAGGCTAATCTTGTACAAACCGATAGATTCCCTTCCAATATATAGCATGACGCATGCTATCCGCATTATTGTTCAGGCAAGAACGGATACGACCTTGACCTGGGAGCAGTTGAGGTCTCCCCAAGTGTTTCAATTTCTGGTAAAGCCAATGCAACAACAGATTCGGTCCCAGCATTTCTCAAGAGGAACTCTATATGCCTTGATGGCAAACTGTCTTCAATTCGAAAAGGAGTCTCAAGTTTACCCAGCAAACACTGGCACCAGCAGCACACGAGCCAAGGTCTGCGAGTTGCTAGCCATCAAGCTACTCAAGGAATACTCGACTCGGGAACTTGTTGATGCCCTATCCTATGACTTTTATCCTCTACAGGGCGTCACGGGATTGCATATGCCGACCAATTCGAATAAGAGGGAGAAGCCGGCCGCCATGAGAACATCAACTCTCGAAGTCGCCATACGAGCCTCGGCAAAACACTTCTTGTCCCATCCTCTGGTCGTACAACAACTTGAGGCCATTTGGAATGGCGCCATTAGCTTTTACTCTGCCGCAGATCAGTTACATCGTCGCACCTCGATAGCTACCGATTTATCTTCCGCCCAGTCTCGCCGCCAAAGCACGGTACGAACACCACTCCTTGGTAGTCAGCAAGGCAAAGAGGACCGTCTCAGGGGCCAACCATTGTCGCTGGGACGAAGATCTGTTACGCTGTACGATCCTCGTCAAGCCTCGGTTTTCAAACTCTCACGACTGAGGGTCCCACGATATCGCCATTTTCTCTCTACCTGCTCACTGGGTGTTCTTCTCTGCCTGTTCATGGCTGTTCTGAATGAGAGATCCAGCACAATCACCACGCTGGAGTTGATCTTCTGGTTCTGGAGCGCTGGGTTTATGCTCGATGAAATCATCGGCTTCAACGAGCACGGATTCTCGCTCTACATCATGAGCTTCTGGAACATTTTCGACCTGGGTATCCTGTTGCTGTTGATCATCTACTACTGCATGCGCATTTACGGCGTATTTCTTCTCGACCCACACAAGCTGAACGACAATGCCTATGATGTACTCGCTGCTATCGCCATCCTTTTGCTCCCCAGGATTTTCAGTATATTGGATCACTATCAGTACTTTTCACAGTTACTGATAGCATTCCGGCTCATGGCTGTTGACCTAGCTGCGGTTTTCGTCTTGGTCATTGTGGTCTGCTGCGGTTTCTCGGTGTTCTTCATCTCCAAAAGCACGAACGATCCGAGTGTAGTAGCATACAGCATGTTTCAGATACTGGTGGGCTATAGTCCGGCTGCCTGGGAAATATGGCCGGATCATAACTGGATGGGGAAGATGTTACTTGGCCTGTTTCTCATCATTTGCCACTTCGTGATTGTGTAAGCTGAGAAGATCAAATCCCCGGAGTGCGCAAAGACTGACCTTCTTTTAGGACACTACTTGTGACCGTGCTAACAAACTCATTTATGGCTATCGCATTGAACGCAAAGCAGGAGCATCAGTGAGTTACTTTCGATGTCATGTTACCGTCTTCTCATTAGGTCTTTGCTAAATCATACAGGTTTCTCTTCGCCATCAACACGATTTCCATGGTGAAAAACGACTCGCTTTTTTCATACGTTGCACCGGTCAACATTCTTGCATGGGCATTGACCCCACTAAGATTTTTAATGCCCATGAGGCAGTTTGTCTGGCTCAATCGCACCGTCATCAAAGCGACTCACTTCCCCCTATTACTCATCATTTTCATTTACGAAAGGTTCATTTTGGCCCCCTCTATGTACGAGCCGACGGACCTGGTGGAAAATCCAGGCCGCAGCCGTCACAGGGCGGTTTCCATTGTAGACCCCGCAAGCAGGACAGCACTCTTCAGCCCGAGCCTTCGAATTCGTGAAGAATCGTTGGTGGGTTTTCAGAAGGATCGTGCCTTGGAAGAGGTGTTCCGACGTGCTCCTGATTCTGCAACTATACGGACTCAACGACGTAACGAGCGTAGGAAGACGCAGAATGCCATCCGAACGTGGATGGACCAACAAGATGGGACGTTTACGTCTCCTCACGACTACGGTGCTGTTGACAATAGACCGGCACAGGACTGGCAGAGGAGAATGAGCATGGTGAGGGAGCAACCAAAGAGGTTTTCAGGACATGATCCAGACACGAGATCAACAGCAAGCGATCCGGCCGATATGGTATCTAATGCGACATTCCCGGCCGTCCCCGAATATCTCAACAATGGCACTGTCCGACGGGATTTTGCGAACGAGGCGAAGGAGAACACCGATGCGGAAAACGGTGACGACGAGCTGGTTACAAACGACGAGTATGAGGAGGACAATGCAACTCACGACACCGAACAGGTACGAAACTATATGGATGAAGGCCAGTCGACCGAGACAGGAGAGGACTACTTCACGACTTGGGTTCCGTCACGCTTCCATCCGGGACTTACCTCAGCACAGAGAACGTCGGTCTCCCCACGTCCCGGAACGTGGCGACGAATACCCATGCACAACCGTACCATGTCGAACAACACGATGATCTTTGCGCCTGCGCAGGATCGGCCCCTTGAGAGTTCTTCTTCCGCATCGATGGACCCGTCATTACCATCTCAGTCTCGTCCCCACAGCACTCGGCATGGCATACCCGAAGGGTCGGTAACAAGTCCAGGCGCAGGTCTTCGTTCTCCACGTCGCTCCTTATACTTGGCATCCTCCCGCCCACAGAGCATGGTGATGTCGCCACGAGCTATGGTCCGAATCGCCCCAAACAACCGCTCGGCTCTGGCACTGGAAATCCCAGATAGCGCTAGTGGCACTCATGACAGCCCGTCGTCCCAACGACAATCATCCGTCGAGCTGCCCAACTCCGCCGACCTTGACCCATCAGCGCTCGGAGCTGGTTCTCAAGCGGGTAATGACGTGATGTCCAGTACCACTACGCTGGCTGCGGCCATGCTTGAGAAGAGATCCCAGCAAGAGCAGGACAGCAACCGGATGAACAAGCTGATGCTGGCAAAGATGAATCTACAGGCTAGTCTTGGCGAGGTGGTGCGCGAGATGCAAGTCTTGAGGAGCACGGCACCTAGCACGGCTGGGAATTCCGCAGACGAAGGTACAAGCAGTGGTAGCTATTTGGCCAAAAAAGCGATAAAACAGCAGCACCAGCAGCAGTACAGCACTCCGTCAAGGCGGGGGTCAGGAGAAGAGAGAAGGTCGTCCAGGTTGTCCAGCTCGGCTGGCTCGGCTGGCTCGACAAACAGAGATATGGCAAATCGGGGGCTACGAAGGTCGTTCAGGAGGTTGGAGACTGCCACTAGAATACCGACTTTGAGTGGGCACGAAACTACAGACAGAAGGGGGAATTCGAAAGAAGAACACGAGGAAGATGACAGCGACTATTCGAAAAGCGAGGTGAACAACAAGATCTTTGAGCCGAGGCACAACCGGAGGAGTAAAGGAAAGGGAAGAGTTGCTATTGGAGCAGCAATAGCAGCGGCAGCAGCATCATCGAATTCAGATGAGCGGGAGGACGACGATCGTCGCCGTCATCAGATTGGTGGTGGTAGTTCGCTGGATGAGCGCCACCATCGCATGGACGACTTGATCAGGAGCGGTGATTTTGCTCTGAAAGAAGGGGTAAATTAAAAGGAAAGGGCAGGTTCGCTTAGGGAAAAGAAGGGTCGGAGTGATTGATTGATATCCTTTGCACAATCTGCATATGCATGTCTGAATTATGGTATTTATTTTTCTTTTCTTTTCTTTTCTTTTTTGGGTTTCTTTCCTATTTCTCTTTACCGTCATGTGGGTTTTTCTCTTTGATGGGTTGGCATTTTATACTACCTAGGCACTATTTGAGGGTAGTCGCTGCATTGGTAAGGCGTTGAAATTGATGTTTTAGCCAGAATGGCATGTTAGTTGTTCATAATTGCATGGTTGACATGCATGTGCTTAGCATCTCTTTGAGTTTGGGCTTTTTGAGTTATGTCTTGTTGCCATTTTTTTAACAAAGTAAAATTGACGCGATTCGCGTTTGACTATCTTCATGCTTTGCTGTTGCCATTCTGGTTATTCTGACAAAGTTGATCAACGCTAATCCAGGATCGCATCAACTTCTTCATCCCCTCGCACGAACACATCTTCCAAATTCAAATCCCAAACTTTCTGCTGTCGTCATTACCATCCACGCAGAAATTCTACATCTCCCGCATCATCCAACTCATGTCGCTTCATTATTCATCACTCATTAACACATTTGTGCACGAACATCCCACATCCATCACCCTATATCACCCACCCCTTTCGCCTTTCCATTCTTCCTATTCCTGATTTCCTGGCCCCCCTGATAGATCAGTCAGATTCCCCCGCCACTCCTATCTACGCTGACAAAGAACCGCGAACCAGGCGAGCTCTTCTGGGCCAGCTCGTTGTTGCGGATCGTCGTCGACACGTGTCTGAAGACGGCGCCGACGCCGACGAGGGCGACGGTGAAGATGGCTAGGCGGGGGTGGCGGCTTTCGGGTTTGTAGAGAGTGTGAGTGAGCTGGGTTGGGGAGATATAGAAGTCGATGTAGATCCGATAGAAAAGTAATTTGGGAGGCGGAAAGGGGAGGAGAGGTAGGTAGGAAGGTGGGAAGCGGAAGGGGAAAGGGGGGGGGGGGGGGGGGGGGGGGGGGTGAACTTACACAAATGGTCGCGGGGAGGAGGAAGAGGAGTGGCCTGGGGAGACGCCGCCGCTGCTGAGGGCGACGTAGGAAGCGGGAGAGGGAAACATGTTTGTTTGGAACTTGGGGGGTTTGTATTTATTTGGTTTGTTTTGTTTGACTCGTGGGTGGACAAAGATGGAGTATAGGAATGCGGAGCAGAGGAGGGGGATCAACGCTTGCTCATATAGTTTGGCTGAGAGTCCGAGGTAGAGCAGGTAGGAAGCAATTAAGGAAGGAAGCAAGGAGAAACTAGTAGATAGCTACCTAGGCCAGCTACCTATCTAGACAGGCGGTGAGACACCCAATAGTTTGAAAGTATAAACAAGTGGTTATCTAGACCTGACCTGGTTAGGGTGGTCTAGTATGTTTGTATACTCAAGTAGGTACTGTAGGTGATATAGTTCGGTTACCCAGTCAAAGTCGAAAGTTCAAATATCCCTCCAAATTGATGTAGACCTTGCGCTTTCGGATTTCTGGTGTCGCACAGTATTCACAAACGAACGATCAATGTAGCCTTCCTTTAAGGCCAGTGTCTTGAACGACTCTCAAGATATGCAATCTCATACGATGAAACGGAGATGGACTGACGTCGCGGGCCATATGTGTGCTTTGACTGGGTCGTCTAATGGACCGTCCGCGCGAGGAGCGGGGATATTGGAGACAATGGGCACGCGACACACCCGGCACACACATCATGCACCTGGACACAGACACTTGGGCCATGGTCGAGCATCATCATCAGACTTTCGGGTAGCTCTCGTCGTAGTGGTTGGCGACGGATGGAAGCGGTTGACGCTGTGACGCCTCAACGCTGGGATCAATTTCATCCCATGGCAGAAAACGTTGCTGCGGAAAGAGTTGATCACACCGAGGCCCTGGTCGTCCGGTTCAAAGGGTCTGAAACGCCTGGAACGTTGGGGGAGATTTGGAGCAAGAGAGGGCTCGAGCCACACGCAAAGTGCGGGGTGTTTCTCCAGGATCTGGCTGGCTCATTCCAGTCGGAGGTTCATCTTGACGCTGTAAGGCGGGCAAATGGCATTCAATGATGGGCCGAAGTGACGGAGAGATAATGGTTGGAGTCATGTACAGTTGCATATATAGTTGTAGTGTAAGTAAGCTCAACGTCCAGAATGGACTTGATCGATATCGATGGGGCTTCGTAGTGGATTCCTTCTCAAGTTCACACCATGGGGTATGTCTAGACTTAGTAGTGATTAATAGGAAGCGCCAAGCTATACTCTATATCGACAGATGCCTAGAGGTAGTCCTCTGACGTGGATATGTAATGGCCCTGAGTTTTCTTCAAACTGCAATTACAGACGGAACCCAGCAGCGGTCTCGTCTTTAGGTTGATATCCTATTCGCGGGCCGGGGATTCCCTTTGGCTTGCCGGTTCCGACAATCAATAGGTCCCTCTGGCTTCATGGCTGCCTACCCCTCCACACCAACAATGAGGCAACACCAGGCAACCAGTGAGGTTGTTCCATTGCTTGAATGAAGCTGACATGATCCATTCAAGCAGCAGGCAACGCGGCCTCTTACGAACAGCCCAAAAGAGTCATTGATGCCAGCTAGGTAGCTACCCAGTTCACTGGTTTGAGCTGTCATTCGCTGCTGAGCCAGACAACCCCACCGCAGGCAGCTGTTGCCCTACCTCCGTCTCTTCCATTGTCGTCCATCCATGTCAACTCTTCTTTGTTTTCATATGATTGAAGCCCTGAGGTTTGGCTCATCTACTCTTGAATTGATCTGAAAGCATTCGTACTCCTCATCTTGATCACCGTCACTCTTCCTTGAGTAACTTCACCTAGCCACAAGCTCCGTCAACTTGACTTCTCTCTCGTTCTCTTCCGGTTGCGGCCTGTTCCAACAAACCACTCTCCATCCCGCCGTCCTTTGATCATTACCAGCTTAGGATCTTTTACTAAATCATCCAACCTATTGATTCCTGTTCCCCGTCAGTTCGCCATCATGCAGTGGTCTTCTCTGCCTCCTGATCTTGACCCGCCTGCATCACCCTCTCCCCTTGACTTGTCCGTCGAGAATGCTATCAAGCATCACTTTGACGAGTTAAACCTTCTTATGAGCACAACGGCAGAGGAAGGAGAGGGCAATGTTCTTGCGGCTGTTACCTTTCCCAAGAACTCAGACGCCATTGCTTGCAATGGGAATCCATGGCGGACATTGTGGCTCAGAATGAGCTTCCCAACACTTGCCGGTCTCAACTCAAGCAAGATAAACGCCATGTTCAAGCCCAAACGACAGGAACGCATGCGCCGCCAACTAGGAATGGAGACATTGCCTCCTGGGATTGACTACGTGCTTGACTTCACACCCCCAACTGAGGGCTCAGAGCTGGCCGACCTCACTGCTGCCCTTTGGCTCCCAAAGATGGTCAAGCTATGGTTTTTGGCCGGACATTACTGCCCAGAGGAAATTCTGGAGACCGGACACCTGGCGAGCATTTGGGACAAGAGACCCTTAGCTAGCAGGTCGGTAAGTGCCATGCTTGTCCTCGGCCATGATGATGCGTGCAGGGGTCTCCTGCAGTTCTGTGAGTCCAGGCCCCCCTTACACATGATATTTAGATCAACTTCTCACAAGCTACTTTGCAGGCTCCATGGATAGATCCGAGTGGAAACCAAAGGTTGTCCCAGGTATCGTTGACGTGGACCCGGAGGACGAAGAACATTCCTCTTATTTTCCTACGTTCCGAAGGATCCCAGACTACTGCGGAATACGGCACCGAGTGGCCATTATGAGGGTGCTTCATGCTATCAACGGGAACGGTCTGCTTCTCAACTCTGCTGCACGCATGTGGACAGTCGCCCAAGTGGCAATACACCTCGAGATACCCCAGGTAGTTGTAAGTAACTCCCACACATTCTTAATGTCTCCGTTCTGATGGTTTGGGGACTATACTGACACATCGCCGTCTAGGTTGATCCGGTGACACAGTGGCTCATCGCCCCGCCGAACACGAAGTTCGTTGAAATCTGCTCCGAGAGATCCTTCCAGCTCGCGCTTGCTCTTAAAATCCCCAGTGTTCTCGTCGCCGCCTTCAGAATCCTCGTGAGCGAACTCGCCGTCGACTATGCGGCGCCGGACCCCTCCCCGAAACGTCCGGCCCTTACTTGGGCCCAACGAAGAAGAGACGATTATGGCGACTTACCATCGGACCCTGTCGAATATGCCAGTCGCACCTTTTCTGAACGGATCATCGGCCTGCTCGACATGCTTCGCTCCAACACCGTCTTCGACCGTATTGGGACCGGTCTCGAGGAATGGGATCTCTTGAAACAGCAAGGCATGATCATTCACGCACAGGGAAGCGACGAGCTCAAGACCGCGCACCAAAACCTCCTCCAGGCCCTTGTCGGCATCTTCCACAATGATATTCAAAGATGTCTCCGGGAACACGCCCCATCTGGCCGTCTTGCCACCCTCATCGCAGCCCAGCGCAGCCATTATATACCCCTGCACGAACGCTACTCCCTCAGGGACTTGTACCAAAACCTTAGCCACACCCAGCGCGCCCTCACTCCTTTCTTCTGGGAGAGTCTTTACCACCAGAGCTTACCAAAACTGTCCGGCCACGGCCCCCTCAGCCTCTCTACCTACAACGGCTGTACAATCCGAACTTACGTCGATAAGTATACCTCCCTCTGGGAAGCCGCCAACCTTCCCCACCCCGATTTCCAACCAAATCCTGAAAAGGGGGAATATCATCCAAAACACCCCTCGAAGCAATTGAACGAGTTCAACATCCACCAATTCGAGAGCGAAGTCTATGCCGCCCTCAGCTCTCTTTGCGACCGCGTCTTGGGGAAGGGATACAACGAAGAACCCTTCCAATTCTTTTTATCGGACCACTTACTCTTACCCAGCCTGACCTCCCCTGAAATGGATTTCCTGCCCATCTGGGCCGGCGGCCTCGACGATGGGTCGGGCGGCGTGTTTCAAAATGCCATTCCCCCTGCGGAAATGGGACCGAGTGAGCCGGGACCGGCGTATCATACAGGTTATACGATTCCGACTACGGGTACGAGGACTTCCGGGACAGGCACCCGCGATGGTGATGACACGACTATGATGGACGACGATGACAGAATTGGCGGTTCGATTTACGGTGTGTCCGAGCTGGGCGATAATCTTGACAGGTTCGAAATCATCAGTGCCCGTACTGCGCAAACTGCGACGGAAACGGCTACAGTGCCCAGCATGGATGTCGAGCAAAGCGTGGTAACGACGGCGACAGTGAGTAGTACGGGACTGGGAAGTGGACTTGGACGACTTAACCTAGACCCCGGGGGGCCGAATCGCCATCGGGTCGTTGCGGTACCTTCTTCGGAGATATCATCAGAGGATTTTCACCTTAGTTCTAGGGAAGATGGCGAGTATGCGGATGCCATGTATACGCAGCCGGCGGAGCATCAGGCGGTGGGAAGGGCGTTGGCTAGGTATGTGGACGGTAATGATGGCACTACCACCGGAAGGAGTGAGAGTGGCGACGCGTCTTCTTCGTCGAAGCAAGGCGGTATGATAGCAACAGAGGGAAGAGGCGCGGGAGGTAATAATAATAATGGAGGTGGGTACTCGGATACCGATAACTTCATGTTGGGAGATGATGAAGATGGTGGGTTGAAAGATCTGGATGGTTCAGATGGTGGGAGCTCGACGGTGGGGGCGGATTCGGATTATGATATGGTGTAGGACAACGTATCAGATACGGAGGAGGCCATCGTACTTTCTCTGGAGCGTCTCTGGAGGAGTTGAATGCATCTGTTAGGTGTATACTTGGGAGATGTGTGGGACTTTGCATGGATGGGGGCAACAAATATCTTGTGGATGGATAGGGGATGGATCTTGACAGTACACAGTAAGGGTATGAACGATACTTGCCTTACTTTGTCCTTATCTACGGAATTGCGGACAGTTTCTCTGGTTCTCTACTGGTCCAGGTGTCTATTAGCAACGACATCTGCAGTCACTTCGGTGACGATAGTTTACACAAACTGAGATCTACACATTATCCCTTCGAGGCGCTTATGAGCGTCATCGTTCCCTGTCTGAAGAGCCTTTGACTTCGGCCATCGCCTGGGCTTCCTGAGTTGTCATTGACAATAACCCGAGACCATTGCTCTTCTTCTTCCAGCAATTAGCATTATTGTACCTGATAATTCCTACTATATCTCGGCAAAGGTAACTATACACTGCAACAGGACCCTGTGCCCCATAAAAGGGGGTTTGGTCTGTCCAGACACCTGCAGGTCATCCTTCTTTTTCAAAGTCTCATCACTTTCCGTTTCTTCATAGAGAGCTCAGCTCTTTTAATAAAGCGCTTCGTTCTTCTTCCACATCTGTCGTCCATCATCAGCCATTAGACCCCCCCTAAGCACTCCCTTCCCCATCCTCAAACAGCCTCCTTCCAAATCGTCGGCAAAAACACCACACACGCCTTCCAGAGAATCAAGACCGCTTCAACCAACACCAACGGCGCCTTCCACAGTCCCCACACACTACCCACCCGCTCACACATATGCAACCAGATGGCCACAAACGCCACCGTGAAGAAATGTCTCGCCAGCACCACGGGCCGTTGCAAAAGTCCACCCATCAGCGCCACAGGTTCATCCGTCTTTGCGCCTCCCATCTGGAAATACCGGAAACAGCCCTTCCTCAAGGCATCAAGCTGCCAATCGTTCGCCGCAAAAAGCGAATACAGCGCTTGGGCCAGGGTGTTGATGATACTCGTCCACGCCTTGCGGCGCCAGTGGAATTCCTTCATGGCGGTCTCGATGGCGGCCGAGTCAGCAAGGTTGGGTACCCGATCGGGATGCAAAAGGGACGCCAAAAGGACCACATCGGAAAAGGCGACGGTCATGCCGCCCCCCGTCAAGGGGTGGCGCATGTTGTACGCGTCTCCTAGCAGCAGAACGCCGGGGGTGCGGGCCGTGTTGGCTTTCCCCGAGGCGGGGAGGTAAGAGTTGGGCATGGAGCGGGGGATTTTGCCATCTTTTAGGGCGGCGAGGACCGAAGGGCGGACGGAGGAAGGGAGAGTAGGCACGACGGTGTTCTCGATGTATCCCCGTACGCCACCGTTGGCTGCCGAAGCGGCGGGGAGGTCGAGCGGGACGTCGATGAGGGCACGGGTTTCGTGCGTGCCGATCTGATACAATAGAATGGGTGAGGTTTTGCCAATGACGACGTGCCCGTAGCCGGAAGGGGGGAACGGGCAGTCGATGAGTTCGAGGGCGTAGAACTTGGAGCGCACGACAGGGGTGGTGTCGGGGCCGGAAGGCAAGAGCTGTTTACGGAACTTGGAGTCGTAGCCGTCGGCGATGAGGGTTAGTTGGCCGAAGAAGAAGTCGGGCTGTTTTTCGCCGGTGTCGCGGTCAGTGGTGGTGAGGGTTTCGACGCCGAGGACTTGGTTGGAGTACGAGCCCCGGATGACCGAGGTCACGGTCGTTTCGAAGATGGTGATGTTGGGGTGGCCGGCGCAGGCCTTGCGGAGTTGGCTGATGAAGCGGCCGTGGTGGAAGGATCGGCCTTCGGGTCGTCGTAGCTTGGGCCCGTTATTTGCCTTGCCTGCTGTCCCGTTGCTTGTCGTTGTCGACTCTACTCGTGCGGCCGCTTCGCCAGAGTACACGTTTCCTTGGTCGTCCACCACCGGGTAAGGAATGGCCACCTCCTCCCCGTGGAAGACGACGTGGTATCCGTAGCAGGTGATGGCATCGATCCCTTCGACGCAGTGGCCCAGCCCGAGCTTCTGCAGCGCTTGTAGACCTCCGGGCTGTAGCAACTCGCCCACTATCCGGTCGGGCTCGTGCATCCATCTCTCGAGTAGGATCACGCTACGGCCCTGGTTGGCAAGCGCGTACGCGGCCGCGCAACCAAAGACGCCGGCGCCTACTACTACCACATCGGCCTCGTGGAACTTTCCTCGCCGCTGCGCATTGCGGACCTCGGCGGAGTCAGCTTCGATCGTCATCGGGACGGAAAATGGGGGGGTTGTGGTGTATTCGTTTGTGTGGTTTATCAAGTTGCTTGACGTATCGGTATAAATCGGGTCGTTGAGGTTCCCAAACTGTTTGTCGACGATCCTCGCTCCGTGTGGGGTCCAGAAAGTGGAAGTAATACGTAGCTTGCGATAAGCACAGCGGGCAGCAGCCAGTAAGCAGACACGTCGAGGACGGCTTTAGAAATAAGTGTTTTTCTCGCGGTAAAGATTCCGACAGGGCGCCGTTGAAGGGAAACAGCTTCTATGGGTGGTAGTTCGGCGAAATAGGCAAGTGTTTTGTGTAGCTTCGTAAATATTCGAGTAGCGAATGGGTCGAGCCGATGATCGAACGATCGCGTGGGCAGATATGGCGTTGTCGGGATCGATAAAAAAGAACCCCTATTCTATTTTTTTAGCTAGTGTAGGTCTTATTGTTGCTACGGGCACCTCGCCGGCTTCCCTGGCCCTACTAGTATCTAGGTATGTAGGTGGTATCTGCGAACTTTTGAACCCGGCGAGTCGCGAAACACACACATACACACACAACACCCAACGCGTAAGAGGGGGATCTACGAGCAAAAACACGCGGGGCAACAAAAGTCCAGAGAAGCTAAAAAGAAAAGGGGGGGATTTCGGTGGTACATGGGCACAAAATAATCAATAAAGTGCCCGTCAACTTTTTGGAGCGCAACAAATCGTCCCATGACGGGAAACACCGTAAACGTCCAACCAATCATGCTCAGCCAATGGCTTAGCGCACGAACCACATGGCGTGGGTACCCCTTTCTGCCCCTGACCGCCAGCTTGACATGTGAGTCGATTCATGGTTGAACGCGGCGTGATGATGACAACCTCTACGTCCAGCCCAATTGTCCAACCGGACGACGTCTTGCGCGTTATGTAAGTGTTCAAGAAAAACAAAACAAAAAAAAAAAAAAACATGCGTTGCCAATAGACTTGTCCGAGTGTGATAAAACACATGTCATGAGCAGTATGCCAAGGTAAATTGAGACGTCCATTTATAAACCACCAAAAAGGACTGTTGTGCTGTCCAACTAACCCATATGCAATATGTACGTACGTATGCTAGGTATGCTATGTATGTGCCTCTCCAAGTCTTCCCACGATCCCTTCACGCCGCCGGCACAGGTCGTGCCAGTCCAGCCCCAGTCCCAGCCATTTTCCCACCCGTAGTAGAAAACGCACTATCCAAAACCAAAAGCCCGTCAAAGACAGTCCTACCCTCCTTTTCCTCCTCCTCCTTCTCCTCCTGCTGCTGCCTCTGGAACTCCTCCTCAAAGTCTAGCTCCACATCATCGTCTTGCCTGATCTGAGGTTTGCTGCTGTTCAACCACGGGATTTCGGCAAAGTCAACCGGGGCACCGCCAGCATCCAGCGCCGCCTGTCGCATAATCCGGACCGACTCCGTCCCCAACCTGACGCGCTGCGACTGCAACCGCTGGCGCGATTCGACGATCTTGTCGATACCCTCGCTCAAGATATCATAGGCGTCGTGTCGTTGCTGCGGCTTGGCGTCGTTGAGGCGCGCTTCCATCACCATCTCCCGCGCCCGCTTGAGCGCCTTGAGGCAGCCCGTGTGCTCCTTGTAGTTGCTAGACATGGCCTTGGCCAGCACGTGGCGGATACCGTCGATGTTGAGCAGGCCGGCGAAGGAGTAAAGCATGATGCGGAAGTTGTCCAAGCTGTAGCATGGCTCTGCGTGGTTGTTGGACTCGGCGGCCATGAGAGCGTAGTGATGCGCGCCTTCAAAGTGACCGGAACTTAGGCAGATCAACGCAGCCCGATGGAGGAAAGTGTCGGCTATCTTGAGGCCGACTTCTTTGATTCGGTCGATGGCTGTTTGGACGATGCTCCTGATTTCGCCGCCTTTTGCAGCAAGGTCGGCGAGTTGAAGGCCGAGGAGGTAATTGAGAATGGCATCGACGTTGTTGCCTTGATCCTGGGCTTTCAGGACAAGATCGTACGTCTTTTTGTAGGGCCTGTTCTCTAGCTTTAGCTGTGCGTTGACTGCCAGCTTTAAAGCGCACTCGGAGAAGGGCATCCCGAGATGGAGGGCTCGCTTGTAGATGCTGAGTGCTTTGGCTGGGTGCCTGTAGCTCAGCGCCTCCTTCATCGCCAGAGTGACCTCATGTTCGGTGTCACTTTTGCCCCTGATAGGACCCAAGTTGGGATTTATGCGTAACGAGAGGACGCGCCCGCGAGCAAATCCTCCCTCAAGCTTATTGTCCGATGAGAGTGCTGCATCCATCATGACGCGTTCCGTGTGCCTATCGACAAAGTTGGGGTTCAATTCCCTAAGCTTGCGGAAGAGCGTCCGAAGGTCTCGAAATGGGACGTTCCAGTTTCTTCGGCAGCTAACAAGCACGGCGTTTGTGAATGCGGCGTCAACCTGGAACCCTGCCGTGCTACAGTATTCAAGCCACTCGACGAAGGATTCAAGATCCCGAATGGAGGCGTACTGCTTCGCCATCAGAGTAACCAGGTACCGGCTAAGTGGTACCTTGAGCTCGGTGATATACGATCTCATGAAGGCATCAGTCTCCTGGACCGTGTGATTTGCCGCATAGATTTTGAGCACCGGGACGAATGCGGTACCGCACGCATCAAGTGCTGGCTTGGAGTCCAGCTTCATGGCCACAAATGACTCCCTGACTCCCTCCCAGTCTTGCTGCTTGGCCTTGAAACGTGCAAATATACCAAGCAACCGTACGTCGTGAGCCAGCTGTGGTAACTCTGCCGAAGCTTGAGCAAAGATTGACTCGGCCTTCAAATCTTCCCCAGCTTCTAATGCCAACTCGGTCATAACACGATAAACACCGTCCAGATGGTAAACCACATCCTTCAAGCCTAACTCTAGGAGTTGCTGGAAGAATGTTTCTAATTCCTCGAAATTGCCATGTCGTTTCCAGTGAGCAGTCAGGAGCCTCATGACCCATTCCGTCTTGAGCTGACACCTCCCGGAGGCGATGTTCAACAAAGTCTTGAGGACCTGAGCCGGTTTGTAATTGTGGGCCTTCTCAACGCATTGCACTACCGGTCCTGCAATGCGAATGATGGATGGCGCACTCGGGCTCATCTTGCAGTAGTTGGCGAGGAACAGTCGAATGGCTGCTTTGTAATCGCCAGAGTCATGAAGCTTGGTGATAACCCACGAGGTAAAGTCATACCGGCTCTCCGAGACCGAGATACACCTCCAATATACGTCAATGGCCCTGGTTGATTTTCCCACAGCAAAGGCATGTTCGAGCAAGGCTCTCCCAACCGCAAGCAATTCGGCACTCTGGACCACCGGCTTTTCGGCGAACCTTGGCAAGAACAAACCTATGGCCGTCTCGAGTTTGGCCGGACATATGTTCTCCCCGGTCTTTGCCTGTGTCGCTTTGGCGAGAAGTGAGTCTATAAGCCGTACAGGTTGGAAGTCGAAGTACCGCGCCTCTGTAAGTGGTGCACGGGCTAACACGGTAGATAGAATCTTTGCGGCGTCCTCAGCTCGTTCCACGTCCAAGTAGGTCCGGCAGAGTAGAGCAGATGCCTCCATCCAAGCCTCATTCAGGTTGTCCGGTGCTTGGTTCTGATTGGTCGCTTCGAAGATTAATGATGCGGCCTTTTCCATTTGTGCCAATTCTCTGGTTCTGCAAGCTTCCTGAATCATGACGACAATCTTATCATTGCTGGGGAATGCGAGCGAGCTTCGTCCTCCACCTTCGTTGTCTGCTTTCCTCGAAAACCTGTGATGAATATGTCGAGTTTGCGTGATTGGCGTTCCTTGTACCGGTGGAATAAAGTGGTGCTGCCCTGTGAGGGTCCGCTTCTTGGGTGTAAACGACCTTGGTGTTTCTCTTCGGCTATGCCCGCAAGGATGTGACCCCGAATCATGTTCTCTTTCTGTTGTTTTTGACTCGCTGGCATCCTCACCTCTTTGCAATCGTTCCAGTTCCGCGGCCCTAGCACTATCGTATTGTCGGATGATCTCTGTGGGTAGCGCAGCGTATGGCCCAGGAGCTAAGGGCGAGACGCCCGCATCCAGCAATGACTCTTCTTCCAGGGCCACAGCCAGAGCAGCGCCGCCCGTGTTGTAGTTCTTGGCTTGTCTGATGCGCTCTCCATTTTCAATTGCGGTCAAGGCGTTTCTGATTCGTCGTCGGCGATCTTCGGCAATGAGCGCGAGGGTGCAAGAGGTTCCCACGACAAGTCCTCGGAGGGCTGTCAAGGCAGCTTTGGAGGGGACAGGAAGTGGTGATGACATGGCCGCGGGTTTCCGTGTTCCATCTCGCTCATCAAATCATGGTCGAAAACGCCCTGTTCGAGTCGCGTGGGCGGTGGGCGTCAGGGAAGGGCCCTGGTGAGGAGGTAGAGAGGTAGGTGGTCGGAGGCCGAAGCTTGTCGTGAGCTCCGAACCCAACGAAGCTTGTGCGGGATGAGCTCAAAAATGTTTCACTTCCAAAAATCGATCCGCGCCGCGCCGCGGGAAACAAGCACCGAAAGGATCAAGTGGAAGCACGACCCGAACGCCTGAGCCCGCTAGCTAGGAGGGGAGTGGGCACTGTTGCACTGCAGCACCCCGCTAGCCGGGTGGGTCCAGCATCTTGGTACGCCCCGAGCGTCCCTCAATGCCGTGTTCTGTTGGACTTCCACTTCGGTTCCTTGGCGAAGGAGTCGCATCTTAATTTCAACGATGCCCGCAGAGCCTCCATCCGAGTCCCGGGGCCCAAAAGGATGATGGGCGTCTGAAGGCGCAACCTCCCGCCCGCCGTCCAATTTGGGCAATCCGTTGGTATTTTGACATGATCTATCTCTCACATGTACAGCGTAACTGGACCCCAGGGCAAACACCCCCAACGACCTGAGCAGAGTATTCCAATATTCCGTCCCAACGTGAAAAAAAGGCTCGGGTCTATGTCTATATCGCTTATACTCATACAAATGCTCTGTGCTTCTCTATCCATCAATCCGACCATTCCATAAACGCCTCTTTGATATGTTCCCTTACCGCCGTCTCCATCGCAGATACAATACAACCAACACGTCTAGAAAGTGGTATACAATAACGCTCATCTTGCGCTAAACAGAGATGCAGCATTAGGCCACCTCTGTACGTTCCTGTTCCCCGGGCATACGAGTCTCTAACTGACGCAGAATCGCCTGGTACAGGAACAGCATGCAGCCGCTTTGGATGCTGGTCCAGACTGCACGGGGCCCGACGCCTCTAAACCATCCGGCAATGCCCTCTGTCTGGTAAATTATCCTCAACCCCGTGAATACCGAAGACGTGTCCAGGGTAACGGCTCCCGGTCGTGGCGTGTGAGTTGATGGTGACGATGTTGATATTAGTCTTTTCTGAAGCTTTTGTGTTGAGCTCTCCGTGGTGCCGGTCGGCTTGATGGTTCCGTCCTTCGTGGACGCTTGCGTTGTCGCTGAGCTGGTACCGATCGCCGATGCTGTGGGGTCCGGAACGACCTGGGTCTGAAGTCTGGTCTTGACAACATCGAGTGGGCACGTAATAGAACCAGCAAGACCTCCCGCCGCAGCACCCGTCAACAGTTCCAGCTGCCACCCAATGTCGCGGCTTCCCACCCACTTGTGCGCCCAGCTTTGAGCCTGCTCGTAGAACATGAACTGCAGGGCGGAAAAGGGCATGTCCCGATAAAGAGTCGCTTTGTATCCGTGGAAGAGGGCCGAAAATCCCTCTCTGCGAACAATGGTCCTGGCGGCATCGGTCATGCCCTTGTAGTTGTATCCAGATGCGAAGTAAGGATTGTTGTAGCGGCCTTGAAGTTGAAGCCGGGTCTTGAGAACTTCCGAGGGTACGTAGACAACAGACGCGGCAAAGTCGCCGAGGAACCCTAACCGCCGCTCATGTCAGTAGGCGTAGCCTCTGCCAGATTTCCCCCTTCGACTTACCGCTAAGCAGGTAGGCGACATGGGGCTGAACACCATAGTCCAGCATGTGCCGCTTGCTATATTCGTAGGTGCCGAAGAACAAGACAGTTCCAGGAAATGACCCCAAGAGGGCGGGGAGCCAGCCGCCGTAGAGGCCCCGTCGAATGCCTTCTTGTCGGAAGATTGTGTAGTATGATGAGCCCAGCGAGGTGTATCTCGGCGGAATGTGCGGGTCGCCTTGTTGTCGAGTTTTTACCGTGTCGAGCGAGTGCATGAGCATGTCGCCACTTGTCCCTCCTAAGCCGCCTGCAAGCATGCACTACCGTATGGTGGTCAGCGACAGTTTAAGGTTTGGCGATAGTTGGCGCGCAGAGTTTCACCACCCAGGACAAGACATGACATACTTGCAGCAAAGGCGGGCGCCTTTCGAAATCCCCATCGTCAGGAGTCATATTACGCGGCGAGTCCTTTTCGGTGATAGTCCCAAAGCCCTGTTGATGTGTAAGTCCATGGTCGGCGACGGCCGTGGGCGACAGCGAAGACGGTGACGACGACGGCGCAATAGTGGAAGTGGAAGTGGAAGTGGAAGCGGTAGGGTGCAGAGGGTGCGTACTGGCTGCCTCGAAGCCAAGCACCATCGCCCTTTTGGGAGGAGAAGGGAGGGCGAGGGAGTTCCGCCGCCTTAGGTGCGGGCAGCGATGTTCAATGGCGAACCCCCAAGTCTTTTGTAGAACCGCGGCGGGCAAGGGCGCGCAAGCTTCATGGGCTAAGTGAGATATGGATGCGAGAAGATCCAAGTTTTGATAAATTTCGCGGCCGCCTTTGCGCCCTTGGGAATGCCAAGACTGGCTTATCCGGCCAAAGCACCGCACCTTTTTTTCGGGCGCACCGTCGGGTTGCAGGGTTCATGCAGCAATCGATGTGGCTCGTGCGTGTTGTTAACCCGCACGTAACCATCGGGCCCCTCGAATAGTATTCTGTACATCAGTCGACCCCCCCTGAGACAATAGTAAACAAACAGAGGCCTGTGGTCCAGCACTGAAAGTGCTGCTGTTTCCTCCTTTTTGTTTGACTGCCACCCTTGTCGTTTCCCACCCGTGTTTGTTGACGATGAGCATCCTATCTCGTCTACAAATCCACAAGGACTGTATGTGCACCCAAGAAAGCAGCATGTGTGAATATGAACCATTCACGCAAACAAGGTGTGCATCGATTCGCAACGGCTCACTCCAGCAGATGGCGTGCCTTCTTGATCCCTGGTCGCAAGTTATGCTCCCACCACTTTACCCGCCCAAATCGATCCCATGGCGACAGAATATGCGTGACACGGCCGGTGACCAAGCACGCTGATATCGGGCCGTAGTAGTTACTGTCCTTGGTCTTATCGCCGTCTCCTTCGACCCAGATGTGCCCTTCTGGTACCTGGACGTATTCATGCGGGTAAGGCGCCTTGGTACGGATCACGTCGCCTGCTATTCCGACCACTCTTTTTACGACCTTTCCCTTTGGGTTCAGTGGGTTTCTGGGTTACAGTTAGTCGTCAGGTTCCCAACTTGGCCCCGAATGCGGCACGCCAGATGCTGTAGGATGAGACTTGGATCTCACCTAAAGGTCACAATCATGCCGCGCTTGAGGTTCCGGTCCGGGTACCACTTAGAGACCAGTACGATGTCCCGACGTGTTGACTCATTGTAGTGCGGGTTGAAGAAAGGATACATGGACGGCCCCTTGATTTGTGTGATCTCGGCAACCCAGCCGTTGAAGACCACCAATGGAGGGATCCATGTTGCGTAGCGAATGAGGTAGTGTGAGAACTGACCGAGGAATCCGTTCCGAATTCCTGCTCCCCATCGCGCCGCCATCGCTATCCGACCAGGCGAGTTATCGAGCTACCGAAAAGGTCAATGCGATGCAACTCTTTGCTGTGAATCGCAATGCTGCTGTGAACTAGAGGGAGTATGTTCGCCTCAACGTGCTCAGTGAGCAGGGCAATAAGCAGTACAGAGCCTGTGCGTTAACATGGAGAACACAATAATTGCAGCCACATGCCCGGGCAGGCGGCGATAAGAAAACGATGAGATCGCTTATCAGCCCCGGTAGCTGCATATCCTCGAACGCCTAGATCTACCTAGTACACCAAGTGCATCCATAAAATGACTATCCATATCAAGTCTTGTGTTCATTAATCCTCGTCCCTCGCTCACATTCATTAGGCATACGCTTGATGCAATCTTTTGGTTGATTCCTCTACCGCCTGAAGGACTTTTGTATCCCCTAGACGCCAGCCCTGTGTCGCAAAAACTGTGTACATGCATCCCTAAACCTTTCCTCAAAATAGTGTCGAGTATTCCCAATGAGCCTGCAAAGATAGCTCTGTTCAAGAATGGTTGCAAAATAAAGAGGCGCTTTAGACGGTCTCGGGGATATTGTCGTCGGACTCGCTGACACTCTCGTCGCCGCTGACCTCAGCGTTCTCACGCTCACGCTTCTCCATAAGAGCTTGGAGCTCAGCATCATCGGACTCGGTGACAGCCTTGGGCTCCATCTTCACCACAAGGTGGCCACCGGCAGCCTCGATGCTGGTCCGCATGTCTTGAATGGCCTCCTGAAGGCGGGCAATACCAGCATTCTTGTCCAAGCAGGTGTTGGTAAGGCTGTGTAGAGTTGTTAGCTGCCATTCTCCCTTCAACAATGCGAGACGCTTTCTTGCAAAGACTTACACATAAAGGGGAGGGGACACCAGTCTGCACTTGACCTGGGTTTCCTCAGTGTTGCGAGCTTCCGCAGTGCGGAGAGCGGTCTTGATAGCATCGATACCCTCGTAGCCGAAGCAAGTGACCTCAACATCGGCACGGACCTTGGTAGGCTGGGGAGTCAAACGCTTGCTGATGTAGGTCTTGAGCTCTTCGGCAACCGCCTCGGTGGGGAACTGGATGTCATTCCAGACGTCGGGGTTGCTTCACATCCATGTCAGCATCCTGTCCAATACCGCCATTTTATCCCACAGCTGTACGCCTATTTCCCGGGATGACGTACGTGATCGAAAGCTTGAAGGCATCAAGCGAGTGGCCGTATTTCTTGTTGAGGGGCCATCCTATTGTCTCGTAAAGCTGCTCGATGGGAACAAGAGTCTTCTCGGCAACGTGGCGCATAATCGAGTGGACGATCTTGCTCTTGTTGTAACGCTCCTCGCAACGAACGATATCCTCGGGGGACACACGACGCTTGGACAAATCGATATAACCCTTCTCCTTGTCGACACGGAGAACGACGACGACCTCGTTGCGACCGACACGGATCAACTTCTGGATGGAACGAATACGTCTTCTGGAAAGCTCAGAGAGCAGGATCATGCCGTCGATGTTGTCGTACTCGAGAAGCTTGACGTAGGCGCCCATATCGGCGATCTAATCTGGGGGTCAGCTCTGACGCATCCACATGCGCATGCGCACCACCGGGACCCCAGTATATCGTACTTGCTTAACGTTGACCATGACGAAGGAGTCGATTTCAGGATACTTCTCCTCGTAGAAACGGCAGTTTGAGAGCGACATGTTGGCGACTGGTGCCTTTTCCCGGGCGGGGCAAACGGTGAAATAAGTGGTGGTGTTGGTGGTGTTGGGGGGGGGAGGGTGATGTCGGCGACGAGCTTCGCGACAATGGGCGAGATGGAATTCGAGTGGATGGTCTGGAGGGGTTGATGGCCGAGAAAGAAAATTGACCAAGTTTCGCTGCAAGTGGCCACAGCTGGGAAAGGTCCTCTGGAAGTTCAAGTCCTGGTTGCGGCAGCGGGTTCTCGGAGGGTCCAGCGAGGCTCAAAGGACTCACTCAAAGTTAGCCAGATGCGTCGCAGTATTTTTCGGGTACCAACCAAAAATTACGTGCAGACAGGCTGCAAAAGTGGCGGGGCACTTTGGGGGGGAGAACGAAGTGGGCTGTGGCTGGTGCGCCGGATTGAGGGGTGAATTTCACGTTCTGACCGTGACGACAAGACGCGGCTCCATCTTTTTTTTTGAGGTGGGGTAAGGAAGCGTTGACAGCAGGTCGAACAATGGTACACAGAGGCAGGTACCTCTCGGTTACTTACTCCACCTGCCCCGAACCCCACTGTGCCGAGCGCCAGCTCAGTGGGCAGGAACAACGACGTCAATCGTGAACCGACAGTGGGGTCAGTCATTGACAAGCCTGGAATCTTCCTTGGACATCGTCAAGCTAGGGAGCTTCAATCACTGAACCTAAGTTGCTTGTCAACCAACGGCGCCCGACTTGGAGATTCGACTTTTGCACACCAAAACGAATCCCGAGGGCCGACCAACACCCGACGGACGACACTCATCTAAACCCTCCGCACATGTCTTTACTTTTGGAGGAGCTCACCTGTTTCACTTTTCTCGACGGTCTCCGTCTTGGGTGACAACACTTGGACCGATATGAAAAAGAACAGAGCGACGACACCGCAGACCAGGTAGCAAGAGTTGGGTTTCAACCACAGGCATCGGAGAGGGGACAGCTCATAGGTCTTGATCAGGTTGCGACGGTACCTTTGGGGTTCAGACACGCTGATCGAACACCAACTTTTCTTCACGACCATCCCCACGACGACGGCGCGACACTACCGCGAAACCTACGACTCTATAAAAACAAAAGAAAAAAAGAAAAAAAATAGAAAGAACAAAACCCCCAACATACACACTTTCTCGTTCTCGTCAGAACCGACACGACGGGCTCGCCCGGTAACTCTTGGCTTGCTTGCTTGATGCTTCAGGCTTCTGAAAATGGAGTCTCTTAGCAACCTCGGCAACGCCATGAGCTCGGTGCTTTCCGAGACAACGTCCACGACTGCGACGGCAATCCTCGCCGATCCTACAGAAGCCCTCTCGTCTGTTGTCGCTCTCGCCAGCGATGCGGTCTCGAAAGCTACTAGCGATGTGGTTCCCGAACACACCCCGACTTCATGGTTCACCATCATCCTCTGGCTGTTGCACCGCATCTCGAGCGTGCTATACTTTGTCATCAAGCTGACCACCATCACTACACCCACCTTTCTGTTCAACATATTTTCAACTAGTCTGACGGTGACCATGAACGCTACTACGCTGTAAGTCATGCGCCAGCCGCATATTGTATACATGGACTCGAGGCTGGTGGATCTAACCGTATGCTTAGTGTGCTTATAATGTTGTTCATGATGGCAGGAGTGACCTGGGTAGTCAGATATCGCTACTTAAACATGTACTCACGGCTTCCTCCTGAGCCCCAGCGCAAAGAGCCAGCTGTTGATCTGTTCCCCGAAACACAGGAGGAAGGAGTAAAGTCTGGGCTAGCTAGCTACTTTGACGAGTTTCTCAGCGCCATCAAAATCTTTGGTTATCTGGAAAGGCCGGTTTTCCATGAACTGACCCGCAGCATGCAGACGAGGAAGCTGATCGCTGGCGAAACCCTCAACCTCGAAGAAGAACAAGGATTCTGTCTTGTGGTCGACGGTATGGTGGAGATCTTTGTTAAATCCGCCAGAGATGGTCGACGCTCAAGCAGTGGCCCTTCGTTCGAGAGCGACGATGAGGAAGGCTTTGCTCCGGGTCGCCAGCGCTACCAGCTTCTGACCGAAGTGCGGAACGGTGCCCCCATGTCATCACTGTTCTCTATCATGTCACTCTTCACTGAAGATATCCAAATGCATGACACCGACGACGACGACAGCCCCGACCCAACGCCTTCCGCTCCTGGCACCGCTATGCCTGGTTATCCTATGAACGCCAACTTCCAACAGTCGAACGATACCCTCCCGTCCATCCCAGGTACCCCATTGTCCGACAACCACGTTATGCAACGTGGTATGGCTTCGGCTGAGTCTCTAACAATGTCTCCTCTAGCTCATGATTCTTCGAGGATACCATCACTTTCTCTCGTGAACACTCGTCCTGCTGTACCCCGCCGGCCAGTACCGAAGAGGCTCAATACCACTTCAGCCCATCCAGATATTATTGCGAGAGCGACAGTGGACACCACCATAGCCATTATCCCCGCCAGCGCCTTCAGGCGTCTGATCAAGATATATCCCAAGGCAACTGCGCACATCGTTCATGTCATCCTTTCGAGGTTTCAAAGAGTGACACTTGCCACTGCTTACAATTACCTTGGCTTGAGCGGCGAAGTATTGCAGATGGAGCGCAACATCTTGAAGCATACAGTTCGGCAACTCCCTAATCATCTCAGAGGAGACGCTCTGGATAGACTCAAGGAAAAGTTCAAGCGGGAAAGGGAAAGAATTGGAGAGAAGGAGGTCGAAAAGGGCATTGCTCTTCATAACGCGCATGCCGCCCGCCGACGTCGTTCGGCTGCCTCCCTTCGGAAAGAAGTGGCATTGCAGGCATATTCGAAAAGGCGGCAGAGCATCGTCACGGCGACCCCTGCATTCGGAACACGTCGAGAACGCCCATCGCCCGACATGCCTAGCCCTGGCGATTTGCTCACGAATACGCAACAGTTGAAGTCTGGGCCGGCATCGCAGCTTGATCTAGCGCGAGACGCTACATCTCCTCGACCACAGCGAAATCTCAGTCCCTTCTCTACTCCCCGAAACGCACATGTCTCTCTTGACACGAGAGAAGCCCTTGATGAAGACGACATGTTCCGAGAGTCGGTGCTCGAATGCATGTTCAGGGCCATTGGCCTGACGGGTAACGGAAGTGTCAATCCGGATTCGACGCAAGCTTCCCCAAGATTTGTTCCTACGGACCAGCGACGTTCGAGGGGTGGTCCAGGCCACACTGCTTTTGGCTTCATGGATGCCTTCGACCCGTTCGACAACGACACGGAGTCAGTTACCTCTTGTGGATTTAGCTCATCGTCACCAGTTCCCAATCCTCAACTACTCGCACACGATATGAAGGACGAGGTTGAGATCGTCTTCTTTCCTAAGGGCTCTGTCTTGGTGGAGCAAGGTGAGAGAAATCCTGGTCTCTATTATGTTATTGATGGTTTCCTCGACATTTGTGTTCCGGGCGACGATTCATCACACGACCTCCTCCAGTCCTCAGCCAAGGTAGACCATGGCCATGACTCAGCAACTGGTGCCGACGCCTTTGGGGCCAATTCGTCACGCTTTCCTGAACCGAACATGAACAACAACTTTGGTGCTGAGCAGAAGAAAGGCAAACAAGGTCGAAGGAGCGTGGCTCTGATCAAGCCGGGTGGGCTTGCTGGTTATGTCGGTACCATTTCCTCCTACAGATCGTTTATCGATGTTGTTGCGAGAACGGATGTCTGTGTCGGCTTTCTTCCACTTGCCTCCATTGACAGGATCGTTGACCGTTATCCCATCGTTATGCTTACTATGGCCAAGCGGCTTACGGAGTTACTGCCGCGTCTGCTTCTGCACATCGACTTTGCCCTCGAGTGGGTGCAGGTCAACTCTGGCCAGGTTTTGTTCCGCGAAGGCGATGAGAGCGAAGCTATTTACCTTGTCCTCAATGGCCGGTTAAGACTGGTTGAAGATCAAAAAGAGGGGGGGATGAACGTCAAAGCTGAATTCGGCCAGGGAGAGAGTATCGGAGAGCTGGAAGTGCTGACCGAATCCGCACGTACCGGAACTCTACATGCAATTCGCGAAACTGAACTGGTCAAATTCCCTCGCACGCTTTTCAACAGCTTAGCCCAGGAGCATCCCAACATCACTATCAAAATTTCCAAGATTATCGCAGCTCGAATGAGGGCCTTTATCGACGATCCTTCACGCATGGGACTCAAAGATAACGTGGTTCGGAGCTACAAGAGCTCTTCGACTCTAAACCTGAGAACCGTGGCAATCTTACCTGTCACCGCGGGCGTTCCTGTTGTCGAGTTTGGCAATAGATTAATGAACGCCTTGTCACAGGTTGGGCCTCCTAACGGCGCAACTTGTCTAAATCAAGCAGCGATTCTGAATCACCTCGGAAAACTGGCATTCAACAGGATGGGAAAGCTCAAACTGTCGCAGTACCTCGCGGATCTAGAAGAGAAATACGGACTCGTTGTCTACGTAGCTGGTAAGCTCAAGCCAGTCGTGTCCTTCTTGTTTCACCATTTGTAATCGGAAATTAACTCTTGATAGACACGAACGTCAACACGCCATGGACCCAGACGTGCATTACGCAAGCTGATTGTTTATTGTTTGTCGGCCTTGCGGACAGCTCCCCTGAAATCGGAGAGTATGAGCGGTTCATGCTTGGAATGAAGTCAACGGCCCGAAAAATCCTCGTCCTCGTTCACCAAGAGCGCTACTCCAACCCTGGTCTGACGAGGCAGTGGCTAAAGAACCGAATGTGGATCAACGGAGGCCACTTCCATGTGCAAATGGCATACACCTCCAACACTGTGCCTATCCATCCGCCCACGAAACGGTTCGGGCCAAGCCTCAAGCAGCGGGTTCAGATCTTGCAGGCAGAAATCCAAAAGTACACCTCCAGGAAAGTTCGCCATGTTCCCTTCTACTCTCCCGATGCTCCGTTCAAGGGAGACTTCCATCGGTTGGCGAGGCGGCTGTGCGGCAAGTCCGTGGGTCTGGTCCTAGGTGGTGGTGGCGCCAGAGGCATTGCGCATGTTGGCATCATCAGAGCGATGGAAGAGGCCGGAATCCCCATTGACATGGTCGGAGGAACGTCAATTGGAGCCTTCATCGGCGGGTTGTACGCTAGGCATGCAGATGTCGTTCCCATCTTCGGTCTAGCCAAGAAGTTCGCTGGACGTATGGCCAGCATGTGGAGGTTCGCTTTTGACCTGACATATCCGTCCGCCTCCTACACAACCGGCCACGAGTTCAACCGCGGCATCTTCAAGACCTTTGGAAAAACGCAGATTGAAGATTTCTGGCTGGAATTCTACTGCAATACCACCAACATTAGCAAGAGCCGAGTCGAGTTCCACACCAGTGGTTACGCATGGCGCTACATCCGAGCGTCCATGTCCCTGGCGGGCTTACTTCCACCTCTGTGTGACGAAGGCAGCATGCTTTTGGACGGCGGCTACATCGACAATTTGACTGTATCCCGTATGAAATCTCTCGGTTCGGACGTCATTTTTGCTGTTGACGTCGGCTCGCTTGATGATAATACGCCACAGGCCTTTGGCGACTCTCTGTCTGGTGTATGGGCATTCTTCAACCGCTGGAACCCATTCTCATCGGTACCCAACCCGCCCACGCTGGCAGAGATCCAGGCCCGCCTTGCGTATGTGTCGAGTGTCGGTGAGCTAGAGAGGGCAAAGACGATGCCCGGATGCATATACATGCGGCCCCCGATCGACGACTACGGAACGCTGGATTTTGGCAAATTTGACGAGATTTATGGGGTCGGGTACAAATATGGCCAGGAGTTCCTCCAGAAGTTGAGGGAGCAGGGTGTATTGCCTCTGGTTGAGGAGACAGAGGCGAAGAAAGCGTTAAGGAGAACGATGGCGCCGAGGCGCGCGAGTATATAGTCCCTATCTCTGGTCGAGTTGCGATGGCCGGTTGGGTAGAGTCAAAGAAGGGTAGAGGATGGGCATTGCAGTGGGTTTATCACTTACACCATGTACTGACTTGAATGTTTATTTACATTTCGATCTACTTCGGTTGGTAGTAGAGGGGTTTAGATAGGTTTCGGTGGCGTGATCAGAAGGAAGCGTCATGTTGATGCCTTGCATCGCCCAAGTGGTTCTCTACGATCTCATTTGCTTTTGTCTACCCAACGCCATGCACACCGATCACGTCTATTGACCCACGCTCTGGTTCTAAGCCTTGACAACCTCCTCCGCCGCCTCAACCAGAATCTTCCACGCCCGGTCCACATGCTCCTTCTCAGTCGTACTCACGCTAGTAACCATGCGAATGGCGAACCTGCCATCCAGCACCGTGCTAGTCACCCACATCCTGCCGGAAGCGTTGATCTTTTCGCACACAGCCTTGGTAAGCGCATTCAGCTCCTCATCGCTCTTACCCTGCTCCTTGCCAGCGACCCTGAACACAGTCAGCGCAAAGTTAGGGCCGGTCAAAATCTCAAACAGATCCGGCCTAGACTTGAGCGAGTCGGCAAACTCCTCGCCCAGCTTGAGGGTGCGTGAGATATAACTCTGCAGGCCCTTGACGCCGTAGTTCCGCAGCACAAACCAGATCTTGAGGGACCGGAACCGTCGGCCCAGCGGGATCTGCCACTCGCGGTAGTCCGTCACCAGCCCGCCCTCGGACGCCTTGTTGCCGTACACGGCCTGGTTGATGGTGAGGGCTTGGATGAACCAGTTGCGATCACGCACGAAGAGGCACGAGGCGTCAAAATTTGTGAGGAGCCACTTGTGCATGTTCATGTCGAACGAGTGGAAGTTCTCGATCAGCGAAATGGAGACTTGCTCCCGCACAGAGGGGAGAACGAGCGCCGAGCCGGCGTAGGCTGCGTCAATGTGCACCCACAGCTCGCCAGGGGTGCCGGCTGGGTGCACGGGGTCCGACTTGAGTGTCGACACGATACCCGCGAAGTCGTCGACCGCGCACGTGTCGGTCGTTCCCATGGTGGCGGTCATGAAGAAGGGCTCGAGACCGCGGGCGCGCAGTTCGGCGAGCGTCTTGGCCAGCACTGGCCCGGTGAGCGAGTAGCCCGTGTCGGCATGGACGGCAATGGTGTGAAACCGCACGCCGAGGATGATGGAGGCCTTCTTGGTGGACGAGTGGGTGGCTGTCGTGGCGAGCGCCACCATCTTGCTGCGCTTGTGGGCGATGGCGTCCTCGCGCGCCTCGGAGCCCTCGGGGAACTGCTCGAGAGGGACAGTCTCGCGCAGGTACTTGTCACGGGCGGCGACCATGGCAGTCAGGACGGCCTCGGAGGCGGAGCCCTGGATGACGCCGCCGCCGCGGGTGGGACCGGTGGACAGGTAGCATTCGGGAAGGCCGAGGACCTTGGCCAGCCAGTCGAGCACGATCGTCTCGAGTTCGGTCACGGCTGGGCTGCAGATCCAGTTGAAGCAGGCGCCGGAGAGGGCGGCGCTGTAGAGCTCACCAAGGATGGAGGGAAAGCTGGTGGCGCAGGGGAAGAAGGCGTGGAAGCCGGGGTGTTGCCTGGTGGCATAGTCAGTCTTTGGTTGTTTATGAGAAAAAACAAAAAAAGAAAAAAGAAAATCAACATGGTGAGGTCGCCGTACCAGTGAGTGATACCGGGGAGGATCTTGCCCTCAATGTCTTTGTGAATATCGGTCCATGCCTCGCCTTCGACCGGGGCCTCGGATGGCAGAAGCTTCCGAAGGTAGCCAGGTTCTACGGTAGACACGACATTCCGGTCGTCAAGGTTGTCATAATAGCTGGCAACTGTATTGGTGTTAGTGAAATTTCCGCTGGTTGATGATAACAAGAGAGATTTGAGGGAGTAACGAAACTCACTATCATCAATGGCCGTAGCAGCGGCATCACGGAAACCCTGGGAATCCATCCTTGAAATATGATATATTTACGCAAAAGCCTAGTCAAACTGTCGTCGTGACAAGAAGAGAATGTAGAAGTTATGGAAAGTCGCCCGGCGGCTCCCCGATATATACAACAAAGTTGGCGCCGGAAAGAGTTCCAGAACCCTTCAACCGAGCCGGATCCACTTATCCCGTTTCGGAGGTCCCGCACCTGCCGGCCAAGAACCGGCAAACGGAAAGTGGAGGCTCCCAAAACACGCCCTTTCGGAGACATATGTACACATCCACATCGGCATGACGACGACATCAAGCGAACCAGAACCAGACTCAGGAACGGGAAATGAGCTTGAATCCAGTGTATTTATACATGCTTGGTGACAACGAACATGGCGTCGCTCGCGATATCACAAGTCTAGAGTGACCTTGTCGTTGGCCTTCGGCTCCTTCAGCGCATGGCAGTCCGCATCGCAGCTGATCTCCCTTGGGATCTGATTTAATGAATCCGGGTTATTATCGTCTACATCAACATCCACGGCTATCTGTTTCGAAGATGGCCACACCAAGATGCCTGCGATGACCGTACGGTTTGATGAGTGATTGTCTCTTACCTGCGGCATGTCGGGTATCAGCTCATACGCGCAACAACACATCGGCCGAGGTTCATAGTCTAAACATTCCTCAAGATAATCGACCTTCCCCGGCCCTGGAAAATCGATTATCGTCAGTTCAGAGGTCTCTGTTCGAGACTGAAGGATGAGCTCGTTCCTACCAATACATTCGACTTGGAAGCCGGAGTAATCAAGACTATCGCAGCAATAGGTGTTTGTTCCCCTTGGGCAGGTTGTCTTGCCATCGAACGTGTTGCCCCCTTGGTTCTCTGTGATGTCGGGAGAAAGATTCTCGTGGGTCGGCGGAACGAGTATGCCCATGGCAGGAACAGCCAGCCCGAAGTATAGGAAGGAGAAGCGCATAATGATGAAGATGGAGTAACGGAAGCTTCAAACAGTAAGGTGCTGGTAACGACGATCAAGAAGAACGGAGCTCACTTGAAAGCAAGAAGAACAGTGCCAGATGACATCGATATCTCGGACTCAACAGCAGTACCTACAGCATCATCATAACGCGCACCCCCTGACCAACAGCAGCCGTTGGTTGCAAAATACGACCTTCCCATTCTGGAGCCGTGCGACTATAATGTTGTCGCTTTTGGAAGTCTGGTAGGTCATTCGCTCATCCCACTTGTCGTTATCTCGACCTGCATCACAGCGAGCGGTGCTGCCTATTGGACCATCTGTGTTCGATTTGTTCTGAAACCACTCACCATAGTAAACTTTTCCTTGGTGCAGTTCAACAAGTATATTGTGGCGTGGCTGCGTGTGGCATCAGAGCTGAGATAGATGGGATCTTCATGCTTCCATTTTCACGTATTCTTTGTCGTTCCAGGGTTTCACCGCACTCATCTGATCAACAAATTGCTTAGCAGAGAAATCGCATCGCCATTTAACCAAACGGATGTCTGTATAGGTAGTTACATACCTTATATGTTGGTAACTTCTTCCGAACAACGGCAAACGTTTGCGAGTCATCAAGTCAACTTAGCGACTCTGTCGGCGCTTGCAGCGACGGTCTAGAGGTAGACGTCCTGCTGGAATCAGACTGATCACGCGACTCTCTTCGTTGGGTCCAAAGGTGGGGTACATTAGTCGTAGATCCCAAGTCGAAGCCGGTGTCAACAACAGTGACTGCCTGTCCAGCACCAGTGAATGCTCCAGCGGCATAGACAGGGCGGCCGAATATTCCTTTCGACAGAAGGGGAGTGCTTTCCACCCCAGTATGTCGTTATTACCATCGCCTTCAAGTTCAACACCATCCAGAACGAGACGAATGATACTGACTCTCCTCACACCCACAACCGGCACTTCCGGAAATTGTAATGACTCGACCTCTCGACCAACCCATGCAAGACCGCTCGCATGAGTGGAGATATGATAATATAGGCTGGAAGGTTTTTAAAGTTCAACATATAATCCAAATAAGCGCCAGTGGTTTAGTGGTAAAATCCATCGTTGCCATCGATGGGCCCCGCGTTCGATTCGCGGCTGGCGCAATGCAGATTTACTTTTTGGACCCTTCATTTTTCCTACTTCGTTCTTCATTGGAAGACTGAACGCTCCTTGATTTGATGATGTGAAAATCAGAGGCCTATTTTTTGGATGGATGCTGATCGGCCGTAGACTACTTGATACTAGACTCAACAAAGCGAAAACATTGATGTTCCAACAATGGTTTCGGTTCGTTTCAGAATGCCCAAACGCTGCGAAGCCCAACACCTTCCGATACAGTCTTCTTGATCAAAGCGCAATTCAAACAAGAGACGCTCAAACTCGTAGCTTTTCGATACCAAATAGTGTACCATACATAGTCTGTACAAGTGTATGGTAGTGTAAGCGTCAAATCGAATGTCATGTTGCACTCCTAGGAGAGTGCCGTTGGCGGCGTTCGCTTCGCGCACGGGCCAAGTAATCTTTGCCCGAGAAAGAGCCAAGACGCCCAAGATCTTGGTGCTGCAACGTGGAACGGGAGAGGTGGACGTCAGTGACGTCGATCACCCTTTCTCAAATTCCAGGGTTCAAGCTTCATCAAGCTCCAGACCTGGGCTTTCATCTCATCATCGTCCCCAAAATATCGGGACGTCCCTCTTCTCTATTGCGCATAGACCGCCATATATCACAAACCTCTGATTCCTCACGACGGTCCGTAATTGACGCCCTACCCTAATCGAAGCAGCAGGCCTGAGAGCCGGTTACCGACACGATGGCCGACCCATTGTCGTTCTACCTGGAAGACGACAAGACGCAGCCCGGAACTAGATCCAACTTCAAGTGAGATGTTCCACATGGTCTGTTTTGTTCTGAGATATTGTGTCGGTGACTAACATAAGCGCAGTGTTGACTACGTGATCCATTACAAGCTGCCCACTACCTCGGGTTTGTCCGCCCCCGGCATGACCTCCCTAGCAGCATCAGACGACACTAACATTCGCCCAGTAAAAGAGAAAGAGGAAGCTGAGGCTGCCTTCATCCAGCTTATCAACGCCCTCTCCGCCGTTGGATTTGCGACCGAAGTTCGACCGGGCGGAAAATCATCCCTGCTTGTCTTCACCAAGATCGCCTCCGAGAAGCTCCTTACTTCCCAGGTCTACCGGTACCGTATCCAGGACTGGCTTTTCGGCGTCCGCACCTCTGCTCCTAACCAGGATCTCTCCAAATACCTTGAGGAGGAGCCCGTGAGCGAGGCCGAACGCCTGCGACTGACCTATCTTCTCATCACCAAGTCGAAGAACGAGGGCGGTGCCGGTATCACCGCCAAGGTTGGCAAGTGGAAATATGTCGATTCCATCTTTCCCCTTCATGACCATGACTTTAACCGCCGATGGATCAAGGCATGGTCCAGCAAGTACTTTCTCGATGAGGAGGACTTGAACCGCATCCGGGACAAGTTTGGCGAGCGCGTCGCCTTCTACTTTGCCTTCCTCCAGTCATACTTTGCCTTTTTGCTGTTCCCGGCTGCCTTTGGCTTTGCCGCTTGGCTCATTCTCGGCAAGTTTTCGTGGTTCTATGCTGTGGTCAACGCCCTCTGGTCCGTGGTCTTCTTTGAGCACTGGAAAACCAAAGAAGTCGATCTTGCCGTCCGCTGGGGAGTTCGCGGTGTTTCGAGAATCCAGCATCCCAGGCCGCAGTTCCAGTTCGAAAGGGAAGCACAGGATCCGGTAACCGGTGAGATCGTTCGCGTGTACTCACCTTTCAAGCGTCTCGCTCGCCAGTTGCTCCAGATTCCATTCGCCCTGGCTTGTGTAGTCGTTCTTGGTGGCTTGATTGTGAGCTGCTTCTCGATTGAGGTCTTCATCACCGAGATCTACACCGGGCCTTTCAAGCAATACTTGACCTTCTTGCCTACGGTCCTTCTCACCATCTTCATGCCGACCTTCTCGGGACTGCTCACCCACCTCGCCGAGAAGCTTACCAAAGCAGAGAACTATGAGACACACGATGCCCACCAAGCTTCCTTCATTGAAAAGATCTTTGTGCTCAACTTCATTACTTCGTATCTTCCTATCTTCTTGACGGCCTTTGTCTACGTCCCGTTCGGCAAGCTTCTTGTCCCTTATTTGGATGTGTTCAAGGTCACGGCTCAAAGCTTCACGACCATGGAGAAGCCTGTCACCAAGAGCTGGGAGATCAACCCCGACAGGCTGACAACGCAAGTCATCTACTTCACTGTCACGGCACAGATTGTCAACTTCTTGACCGAAGTTATCGTGCCATATGCCAAGCGCAAGGTATTCAAGAAGGTTCAGGAGGTGCAGTCCGAGTTTACCGGCAACGGCCACGAGCTCCAGATCAAGGACCATCCCGACGAGGCAGACTTTCTCAAGCGTGTCAGAAACGAAGCTGAGCTCGACGCATACGATGTCACAGTTGACTACCGCGAAATGGTGGTTCAGTTTGGTTATCTGTCGCTCTTTTCCGTCATCTGGCCGCTTGCCGCTTGCTCCTTCCTCGTCAATAACTGGGTTGAGGCCCGTTCCGATGCCATGAAGATTGCCATCGGCAGCCAGCGGCCCGTCCCCTGGCGTGCCGACTCCATCGGACCCTGGCTCAACTCGCTCGGCTTCCTCTCGTGGCTCGGCAGCATCACCAGCGCCGCTCTGGTCTACCTGTTCAACAAGCATGACATCAACCCCGACGGCACCCCCTGGGACATTTCCGCCTGGGCGCTGCTCCTGTCCATCCTTTTCGCCGAGCACATCTATTTTGCCGTGCAGCTGGTCGTTCGCAGCCTAGTCCAGAAGCTGGACAATCCCGGTCTGCAGAAGGAGCGCGCCGAGCGGTACGCCCTGCGCAAGAAGTTGCTTGAGCAGACTTTTGGTTCTCACGGGTACGACGCCGATCTCACGGAAGAGGCCCGGGGTCCGGGATACGTGAGCAGTGGTGAAAGGATTACGAGGGAGGCGCTCGAGGAGGAAGCCAGAGTCAACGCTACCAAGACGCCGGAGCAGTTGTTCTGGCTGCGCCAAAGAGGCGCGGCGGAAACCATTGAGATCGGACGGGGTTTGATGGCCCAGGTTAGTTCAAGCCTGACCCTGACTTCCTAAGAAGTGCTAGAAGTCTTAGTTGAGCGCACACAAAAGTGAAACTTGGAGGCTGACATTGAAAGCAGGTCGCGGCGGCCAACCAGACCAAATCGTAAAAGGCCGACACGGCGACCATACAAAACACTGGCATGCATTGACTGTTTGCCAAGTTGATGGCTAGCGATGGGCCACCTAGACCGTTCCATGTCGGTATTGTGGGGGGAGGTCTTGGTATGCGGAGTGGTGGTGGAACCGGTTCCATTTCAACGTGGGCACATTTCATGATGGGAGAGGAAGCCTGGATGAATCGGGTGACGGCGATGGTAGGCAAGACTGTGATACGGGGTGCTGGACGCAGGTGCAGAAGAAGGTGGAACAATACATAATAACACTTCAATAATAAAAAGCATATTCACGTGAGCGCGTGTTGATGGCTTGTTCAAGTCCCGGTGTTTGCCTTGGCGCTTCATCATTACTGCAGGGATTTACTTTGTGTCATTGTTTGTGCTTCACTGAGGGGTGGGGGCAGCCTGCCAGATGTCTGGACGACTTCCCAGTGAGGTGAGTCTAGACGCCAAAGGTTTGAAGCAGTGCTCCAAGGGGGCAACTCCAACTAGCTTTTTATCGGACAGCGGATTGGATGAGAGGACCAGTGACGGTGGAGTAATGTTGATCCCGCGGTCCCACATCCCCCACTTAAAAGCTGTTGGAGGACGACCCCGCACCAGGCACCTCCACGTTTGAAGCCCCGCCGATGCCGAGCTTTTCCCCACACCCGACGACGGGAGTTTGGGGTCCTTGGGAATTGGGGGGGGTGGGCCGATTGGTAATCGGACGGGAGTCAGTTAACCGGGGAATCGCCAGTGCCTCCGAAACGGTGAACCGGAGTCAGTTAGCCGGGGCAGCGAATCAAATTGCCAGTGCCTCCGAAGTTCGCAGCCTTCTGTGTCCCGCTGGATCCCGCTGAAGTGTTGGCCCAAAGCGTCAAGTGCCGCTCTTTCGTGTATTTCCATTCCCGAAACACCTACTACATATCTAGCCGGCGTTGCCATTTTTATATCGTCTTCTTTCCCAGCCGCGTGTTTTCTCTGTCTTATTCTCATTATCACTGGTTGTCAATCTTTGGCTTCCTTCACTGCCAAGTTTCTCTCGTCTGACGTAGTTAGTTTGTGGCCGCCCCGGAAATCATTTAGCGGGAATAACAGCCACGCCATCACCCCATCTTCCTCTCTCCTCCGGTTTTTGCGCCGAAAACCGAACAATATATATACAGCAAACCCGGAACAACAGGACGAATTTAGTCGACAGAAATCACCATACAACACTAGCCAGAATGGCTCCCCAAACACCACTGACCGGCGTCGAGGTCGCCAAGCACAACACCAAGGATGACTGCTGGGTCATTGTCCACGGCAAGGCCTACGACATCACAGAGTTCCTCCCCGAGCACCCCGGTGGCATGAAGATCATCCTCAAGTATGCCGGCAAGGACGCTACCGAGGAGTTTGATCCCATCCATCCCCCAGACACCCTCGAGAAGTACCTGGCCAAGGACAAGCACCTGGGCCCCGTCGACATGTCCACCGTCGTGACTGAGAAGGCCGAGGTTGATCCTGAGGAGCAGGAGCGCTTGAAGCGCATTGAGGAGATGCCCTTGCTCGAGCAGTGCTACAACCTGCTTGACTTTGAGGCTGTGGCCAAGAGGGTTATGAAGAAGAATGCCTGGGCTTACTACTCTAGCGCGGCGGATGATGAAATCGTAAGGCTATCTTTTGTTTCCAGCCCCTTCCTTGGATCATCCGTGTATTTGCTAACCTCATGTGCCCCAGACTCTTCGCGAAAACCACGCCGCCTTCCACCGTATCTGGTTCCGCCCCAAGGTTCTGGTTGATGTCGAAAAGGTCGACTTTAGCACCACGATGCTCGGAACCAAGGTTGATATTCCCTTCTACGTCACCGCCACTGCCCTTGGCAAGCTCGGCCACGTTGAGGGTGAGGTTCTGCTCACTCGCGGCGCCAAGAAGCACAACGTTGTCCAGATGATCCCCACTCTCGCCTCCTGCGCCTTTGACGAGATCATGGACGCCGCCGAGGGCGACCAGGTCCAGTGGCTGCAGCTCTACGTCAACAAGGACCGCGCCATCACCGAACGCATCGTCAAGCACGCCGAAAAGCGCGGCTGCAAGGCCCTCTTCATCACCGTTGATGCGCCCCAGCTCGGTCGTCGTGAGAAGGACATGCGCGTCAAGTTCACCGACGACGGCAGTAACGTCCAGAAGGGCCATGAGACCAATCGCAACGAGGGTGCGGCCCGCGCCATCAGCAGCTTCATCGACCCCGCCCTCAGCTGGAAGGACATTCCCTGGTTCCAAAGCATCACCAAGATGCCCATCATCCTCAAGGGCGTCCAGCGCGTCGAGGACGTGATCAAGGCCGTTGAGGCGGGCGTGCAGGGTGTTGTTTTGTCCAACCACGGCGGCCGCCAGCTCGAGTTCGCCCGCTCGGGCATTGAGGTTCTTGCCGAGACCATGCCGGTGCTGCGCGAGCTCGGCCTGGAGGACAAGATCGAGATCTACATCGACGGCGGCATCCGTCGCGCCACCGACATTCTCAAGGCCCTCTGCCTGGGCGCCAAGGGTGTCGGTATCGGCCGCCCCTTCCTGTACGCCATGTCGGCGTACGGATTCGATGGTGTTGACCGCGCCATGCAGCTGCTCAAGGACGAGATGGAGATGAACATGCGCCTAATTGGCGCGACCAAGATCGAGGACCTCAACCCCGGCATGCTGGATCTCAGGAGTCTATACAACCACGGCGCACCGCCAACGGATACGCTGTCGAACATCTCGTATGACGCTCTGATTAGCCCGGCGCAGAGAGTCAAGTTTGCGGAAAAGTCCAAGATCTAGAAGGTGTTTATCTGTTTAATGATTTGTATTTGATGAAGAGATGGATATATCCTGGTTTTTTTTTTCTTTTTCTTTTTTTTTCTTCTTCTTCTTTTTTTTTCTTTTTATGGTTTTTCCCCCTTGGGGTAAAGGGGGTTTAACGGCGGTATATATCTGCTAGAATTTATTAAATATGGCATTTATGTCTACTCCTGATTCTCGTGCCAGCCCACGTATCCAATGTTCCTAAAGGGTTGAACTTTCCTCACGATATGTCCGAGCCGAGCCTGCCATACTACAATATCTCTTTTAGTGTGTGGTCGTGTGTGTGCATACATGAACGCCTCTTTTGTGCGTCGGACTGTCGGACAGCAACCCGATAGAATGGTACAATGAGGCAAAACCGGGAAAGTGATCGCCGCCATGATGGGTCATGATGTGCCCTGCATTTGGAAACTGGTTGTGCGGTTTGTACCATGGTACATACTGCTATCGCATTCTCAATGCCTGATAGGTAAAAGATGTCTTCAAGTTTTTGAGGCGATGAAGACGGCAAGGAGGGGCTTAGGAGGGGCAAACCATAACACTCCCGGATCTCGAGTGTGACTTGAATCTTGCATTGCAAGCGCGTGGTTTTCTCGCTGTGGCACCTGGGAATAAGAACATGTAAGTTGACACAGAACGAAGTCGGGAGCGTATGGTAGTTCCCTCGGAAGTTGAAGTCATTCATCCCATTCGTTTATTGTTATCTTTCTTTATTTCATGAGGGTAATGGAGGACCAATGGAAATTGGTTGGATTGTCTTCTCAGACATTGGGGTTGTCCATGAGAGGCAACCAACTTGGATACTTTCTGCTTTCGTTCTATCTATTCAAGTGGGGTGAGTATAAATCCGACATGATTAAAAATGGAAAGCAACAAACACCTTGACGATGCCCTGGTGTAAATCAGATCCTAGCGGGCAGGGCATGTCGCCAACGCCCTAGCGGCCAAGTTTCTTTCAAGCCTAGCACGCCTAGCACGCACTACCCGCTCGGTTATAGCCGCCAGCAACTGGGACTCGTCAACACTAGTCCGCCCGGTATACTATGTTAAGAGCTGCCATCCACATCCTTCCCGTCATGACGTAAAGCTGCTTTTTCGGTCTCAAAAAACATGACCATTTCCAGTCACCAGACAACCTTTTAAGCTCCAAAGAAGCAACAGAACATGCCAACCCGCCGCACTACATGCTATGTACACCTACATACTCAATAAGGTACCACAGTACATTGGGTGAGGCACAGTATAGGTAAATGTATGTCTGTAATATCCCGTTATTACATCCAGCAATGTGTCGTGTACAGGAACTGCAGGACGGGCTGCCTGCCACTGCGCCACTGTACCACGTACTGGACGAAGCGGGCATGTGCACCATGGCCCTCCGGCTGGGAGTCCTGCAGAGTCCCCTACTAGACGCAGCGGAACGGGTGACAGTTACATACATAGTACATGACATGATACTGGTACTGCTACTGGTACTGCTACTGGTACGGGTACCGATATCGTAAAGGCGTGATTGTCCCCCTTCAGCCAAACTGTCTTGACGATTGTGTCTTCCAGTATGTTGTTTTTCTGAATATATGTTGTTGTACTCTCGTTGTCGTGTTGCACGTGCCCTCTGAAACAGAAACCCACCGTATCGTTGAGAAACAATACCAAGGCTGGCGCAAGTTGGTCAAGTTAGGTGCGAGGACGTGTGTGAGGGATTTGGCCACCTATGGCTAGAAATAAAAGCGCAAGAGCAAAGAAGAGTAAGAAGAAGAAGCTGGCACTGGTGGAAGGTCGGACTGGACTCAACTCTGCCCAGTCTCATTATCTTCAAACAAGCAACACATCCACCCCGTACATTATCCAGGCTCTGAACATCTATCTACCTCTGGTCCATGTAACTTATGCGTAGGCCGAACGAATCGACTTCACAAACCTTACACTTACACTGACGGCTCCTTGCCCACCCTTGTCATTGCCTAGGTACCCTCTTTTCTTGGTCTCAAAAGACCATTCACTTCCCCCCACCTTCCCCGTCCGTCAACGAGACTCTCCAACGTTCCCCCAACTACCCATCACTACTCCGCGGCATCCAGAGGGGGAAAAGAAGGGGAGAAGAACGACATTTGACAGATAATAAGTCATCCGATATACCTAACATACAGAGGAGACGAGGACAAGCAAACAAAAACGACAAACACAAGACATTACCATACCCTTACCTTACCTACCTATTGCGAGAAACGACAGAAACAAGAAATAAAAACAACAACCCCACGAACGACGATATGTCGTCTTCTCTCGAGGCCAAAATAGTCGTTCTCGGCTCCCAGGGCGTCGGCAAAACATCCCTCGTGACGCGCTTCTGCAAGGGTGCCTTCAACCCGGCCCAAATCACCTCGACCGTTGGCGCCAGCATGATGACCAAGCGCGTTATCGACACCGATACCGATACCGTGGTGCGATTACAGATTTGGGATACTGGTATGTAGTGGTGGTGATTTACTTGTCGATATAAACTACATGCATATGTTCCATCACTGGCTCCGTCTACCCATGTCCTCCTCCCCCAGCTTGCCCCACCCATTTACTATATATATATATATATATATATATATATATGTAGTATCCATCCCCATCACCCCCCCACATAGGAAACAACATGAACAAGAGCAAGAGGCTGACTTATACCCAAAACATAAAACTATCAAAAAATACAGCTGGCCAAGAACGTTTCCGCTCCATCTCCCGTCTCTACTACCGCGGCGCCAATGCTTGCATCCTTTGCTACTCCATCACCGACGCCGCCTCCTTCGCCGAGATGGGCATGTGGCTAACCGAACTACGGCGCAACCTGCCTCAGGACATAGTCCTACACGTCGTCGGCACCAAGGCTGACATGGTCGCCCGCGACCCTTCCAAGCGAGAAGTGCCCTTTGAGCGCTGCATCGCCTACGTAGCCGAAAACCTGAACCCGGGCGTGGGATCAACGCCGCCGCCTACGGCCACGCCGTTAGGGATGCCGGGAGTAGGGGGCTCTTTAAATTCAAATAGCGGTGGTGGTTTAGGAGGGTGGGCAGGTACAGGAACAGGAACAGGAACAGGGGCGACGACGACGACGACGACGACAGGCACTGGTACTACACCAGCAACAACAACAACAACCACAGAAAGACCAGAACGATCAGGTCTAGGAGGACTAGGAGGGTTAGGGGGAATCAGACTGCGAGGAGCCGAAGCCTCCCAACAACAACAAAGAGAAACCCAAAATGCCGAAGGAAGCAACACCACAACAACCGGCGGCGGCGGACCAAGACCACGTCTACGCAACCACCATCACCCCCACCCCCATGGCTTCCAAAGCACCGAACCCCGCTCCCCCAGCTCCAAACGTAGCTCTGGCTTTTGGGGCCAAGAAGTCGGCTGGGATGCCTGCCACGAGATCTCTGCCGAATCAGGCGAAGGCGTGGAGGAGGTCTTTCGCGTGGTTACTCGCAAACTGGTGGAACAGAATCGCAGGATGCAGCAGGCTTTGTTGGCTGCTGCTGCTACTCCTGGTGTCTTCACTCCCGGAGTATTTGGGCCTGGGACTGGTGGGTTTTATCCTGATGGTATGACGGGAGGACTAGGTGGCGGCGGCGGTGGTGCCAGTGGTACTGGTGCTGGTGGTTATGGAGCTGGTGTTGGTGGTGTTGGGTATGGTGTTGGAGGGGGAGGTGGTGGTGGTGCGGGGGGGAACGGACTGCCGGGGTACTTCGATCTGAATCCTAGTGCGACAATTAGGGTGGGGAGGGACAGGAGGAGTTGGTTGTTTAGTCCGGGGATCTTGTCGACGCCGGGGATATTGCTGCCTGGGGGAGGAGGGGATGGTGGAGGGGTAAATGTGGGAGGGGAGCAGCAGATGGGTGATGATGGTAGGAGAGGTGGGAAGGGAAAGTGCTGTTGATGCCTTTGATCATCCGTCCGAGGTCAAGATTCTGGTACTTGACGTCTCTGCTCTGTCTTGAAGGAAAGAAACAGGGGTAAAAGCGGGGAGAAGTAGATGGATGGATGGACGCATGCATTATCATGATGATACCCATGATTTTACGAAAACGGAACCGTTGTTTTTCTTTGCGTTATGCTTAGCCTTGTTTCACTTGCATTGTTTTCTATGGTCGGTCGGCAGGTACCTGGTCCATTCTGGCTTGGGTTCGGTTTGGTTTGGCCTGGGAGAGAGAGCATTGCAACAACGGAAGGGAAGGGAAGGGAAAGGCAAGGGTCAATTTCAACCGGGTCTTGTCTGTTTGAACTTCATGCTTGCTGATCGGGTTTGGACCATGGTTTGGTTTTATGTCTAGTATGCTTTTATGTTTTGTTTGTCCTGCCTTGTGTTTGTTTTCCTCTGTCCTGCATTGTTTTTCGTTTTCCTCATATCCTCTACTCAAGGTTACTTACTATGTGTGCTTACTTTGCCTCTTAACTTGTCTTCTCATTGATCCTCCTGCTGGACCAGGAATAACGCTTCATGGACGTTTCCTACCTTACAATTTATTTCTTTACCTTTTTGCTCATTTTCTTCTTTTTTTCTGTTACTAGTGGCATTGGTGGCATCACATTCGATAACGGCATGGACACACGCATGGATACAGTTTTAGGCATGTGTTCGGTGAAAAGGAGGTTAGCAGTCAGTTAAAGCACATCATTCATGGACCGAGAATGGAGCCTCTGCTCGAAGGAACCATAGCATTACTATTTTGTTGGTGATGAACGTAAAGCTCTTGCATGGTCACATTTATGCATGTTTTGAAGTGAAGTGATATCGTTGGAATTCATGAGGCTTACAGGATTTCCATACCCTTCCTAAATCGGTCAAGTATTCGTAAGCCAAGCCTTAGAACATTAAAGACAATCTAGTCATCCAGCCAAGTTTTGATTTGTCTATCTCTATCCTCTATCGACCTTGACGACCTTTGATACTCCTTTCATGAATCTGGGTATTCGTAAACGAAATGCCATGGATATCTAGAGGAGCCCATAGATGCAAGGCCAAGCACCTCACCAAAATACCCATCAACCAACTTCCTATTAATGTCCGCTGTGTTCAGCACACCCATAAGAGCATGTGTCATCGCTGAGAAACTTTCCGTGCCGAGTTAACTAACCATTCCAATGTCCCCTACGCGAACAGCTCAAAGCCATCAATCGTAAAAACTAAACCGCTGTCCCATGTACCTCCCCATCCACATCCGTTTCTGGCACTCCTCCATCAACCTCCATTGGCACCCCCTTACAATTACACCCCAACCTCTCCCTGAACTCCTCCACGCTCATGCCCTCCAAGAGCTTGATAGCCTTCTTCGCCATAGCCGACTTCGCATACCGTCCACTGGCCGCCACCGCATGCACCACCGTCTTGCCATGTACCAGTAGCGCTGAGACCACCTTGGGCGGGTTGATCTCACTAATCTCACCAGCCACTGCACCATTACCCCTTCTTCCACCTCTTCCTTCCGTAACATCTGTGTCCAGCTCCTTGGCAAAGCTTCTCCACTCGTTGCAGCGGAACTTGTGCGCCATCATGTTCGCCACAAAGGTGACAGGATGTTTGTTGGCGAAGGTATCGTAAAGATGCATATCCTCGAAGAAAGGCAGAACGTGCGTATTGAAGAAGTTTTGGACTACGGAGTAATCGTACTCGCTGTCGACGAAGATGGCGCCGATGTATGCCTCCACCACGTCCGACAGACACTTGGGCAAGCGAGAAGCGTGTGTGATGTGCACCCAGTAATCCCTGCTATACTCGTCTGCGGGTTTTCCTGCCTTGATAGCCTCCTGCTTGGCCGCCTCGAGTGCTTCTTCTATCTCGGTCACATACTCGGCAATGTCCTTGAGGATGGAGGGCGACATGGTGGCGATGCACTTGTTGAATCCCAAGTGGAAGGAGAGGCAGCACAGGAACTGGTTGGACACCATGGCCATTTTGTGCTCCGTCAGCCATTGCGGGTCGGTGGCGGGGAACTTGCGGAAGAGGTAATCGACGGCGACCATGTCGAAGAGCGCGTCACCGAGGAATTCGAGGCGCTGGTACGAAGGGAGACGTTCGTAGAGGGACGGGTACGTCGGGTGCTGGAAGGCTGCGCGCAAGAGACGCGGGTGCTTGAAACTGTAGCCCAAGCGCTCGGAAAACTTTTTGGCCATGTCGCGCTGGGCACTGTTGGCTGGATCCGTCTGCCAGTTTGGCTTTTGATATACGGCGTAGTAGTCGCCGTAGCTGATCATGCGGTGCTTCTTGTCTTTGACCATGGCGGTTACGGCCTTGATCGCCAGGTCGAAGCTGCCCTTCTCTTGGCCAGTAAGATAAGCGGCGCCGATGAGGGCCTCGCAAACGTCAGCAATGGACTTGTCGGCCAGGACATGCCGCTGACGCGCATCCTTACTCTTGCCCTTTTTCAAAATTAGGCCCTCCGGATACCATTGTCTGCGGTTAAATGACATGGACCGGATGTATTCTTCGAGCCCTATCTCTAGGGCATTGTTGAATAGGTTCTTGTTGCAGATAAGGAGCATACGCTCGACGTGATACTCGAATTCGCCCTTGTCAGGGATCAAGGTATATATGGCAATGGTTGTTGCCATTTTCAAGAAGGAGTCACCAAGAAACTCGAGTCTCTCGTAGTTGTCACCCATTCCAGTTTGATAGTTTTCCTTCTCGGCATCATGTTCATCCGAGTTATCGCTGTCCTTGGTGAAGGCTTCAAGGGCGAGGTCTGGGCGCAAGTCTAGACCCAGAAGCTTGCATGCGTCCAACGCAACTAGATTCGATTCTACCCGGTGTATGATTGACGGGAAACAGAGAAGCATTGCTACCACATCTGCTGGTATCTGTATATGACATGTTAGAATCATTTTCTTGATATAAGGTGCACACACTTACAGGTGAGATCCTCATGGGTTCAAGAATTAGGAAACACTGTTGTGGTTCCGCGTCCTCATCCCTCAGAGTATCGTCGAGAAAGTCTCGACGGGTGGAAATAAGCGCAGCCTCCACGACAGGCTGATCCGCCTGGAATATCATAAAGCCACGCGACTTTGACCACAAGCTGTTGCTGTAGTTCAGAATGTCATGTGTGGTGCCTAAGCCTCTCCAAGCCCTGTGATTCGGTGCAACAATACCATCTGGCACGGAATCCGTGGGTTTCATGTCATGGCGACGGTGATGAGTAAAGAACTTCCGTGCTCCGTCGTATGGGTCAACTACAAACTTGTCTTGGAAAAAATCATCTGGCTCAAGAAACGTGTATGGCACCTTCTCGTTCTCACTGACGTATGCTAGCGTCTTTCGGTCAATGAGGTGGGCTGGGCTCTTGGCCAAGCGGAAGTCAAACCCGTGACCACCGTCCATCGGAGAGAGAAAGTACGGAAGGTTGACTGCTGTCGCCTCGTATTCCTTGCTGAAAACATCCATAAAAGCTTTCAGGGTGAAACAAGTAAGTTGCTCCACCAACGTTTCGTCAGCCTGGACAGAACCTGGGATCGGCACGCAGCGGACTCTGGAAAAGCGCTTGGTGCCAAAAAAGAGCGGAAAGGACGCCACTTCTGGGAGAGCGCTTCTACTAAGCAGGAGAAGAGGACGAGAGCTACGCCCAAGGGTGTCCGGGTTCTCCAGAACAAACGCAGTAGCAAAAAGCTGCGTGACCACGCCTCGAACCGACCATAATTCGGGCTTCAGACGCATGGCGTACTCCGTCTTCTTCTTTGAGCTGACAGCAAGGCGAGCATTTCGCATTTCCGGTAGCTGCTTGGTGAACACAGACTGGAGGTGGTTGTCCAAGTGGCCAGCCTTGAGTAAAGCAAGGCAAAGCTCGAATGCAGCTGCACATTTGGCCACCCCCTTACTTAAATGTACTTTGCCAACCGCGCTCTTGATAGGTGATGCATCAGGCATGACAACCTCGCACTGAAAGCCACCGGGAACAGTGGTGATGTAGTATTCCGGACTCAAACTCGTCTCCGGTGGGTGTGGTAGGGTGGCGGTGAAATTGGCGAGACAGACAAGGCTTTGCATATAACTGAGTTTCGCACCAGTGTCTGGGACAGTGTACTGCCTCTTGCCCTTTTCCTTCCGAAGCAGATAGTCCAAGTTCATATGGTTGCCAGTCAGCTTCCTGTCTTCGGGTAGAGCCTCGCAGAACTTGCGCAGGACATCTTCAGCCCCTTTAGCTCGCAATATCCTGGAGTGGTGCTCGTAATTCCCTTTTTCGATCATCTGGATGTAGCGGGAATCTGGACGACGAGCCCGACCACGCGACTGGATACACTGAATCAGAGTATCATAGAGATCGAATCTGATAACGATATTGCAATCTGGAATATCGAGACCTTCCTCAGCAACAGAAGTAGCAAATAGGCAGTTTATCTCGCCAAGCTTGAACTTTCGAATTATTCTGTTTTGTTGCTGGAAGTTGATCTTGGCGTTGACATAGCTTGAGCCAGTTGTCCCACCTCCAACCAAGACTTCTGCTGCAATGCTGGGTATGTGAGACCTTATCTCGGGCTGCTGAAGCAAATCCGCCAACAGCATGGCCGTGTTCCGCTGTCGGACAAAAATAATGCATCTTTGCGCACCCACGCCCCTCTCGAACTGATCACGCAAGATTCTAACAAGCATGATGACCTTGGACGACAACATCGTCGGATCGAGAGCAGCGGGTGAAAATGTATGCGCGTTAACCAACTCATGAGCTTCACGGACTTGCTTGACGTGCTTTTCGGTAATTTCATCAAGGGCTGCGACTTTCATGTGATCTCTCTCAGTGCGTGATTCCAGTTTGACTATATCCTCTTGTTTGAAGAAAAGTTGCCAATACCGGTCGGCACACCATGTTCCCAATTTAGATGCAGCCGAGGTAGTAAAGTTGAGCGGCTTCTTAAACAGCTCTTGTCCTCCAACAAGTTTGCGTAACTGCTTGTTGAGGACTGTCTCCGAGTCTGGTCGACCACGAACGTATTCAACGATCAACTCGGTCTTGGGTTTGCAAATCGTATGCTGAAGGGCGGCCGGGTCGGCGGCCGTGGCTATTTGGCTGTGAAGTAATGCCTCCAGTTCTGCCGCAGCCCGCCTCGGGTCAACCTTGGCATCAACCGGGGAGGCCGTCAAGCCAAGGATTCTGGGTCTTCTCTCTAGCTGCTCATCAATATAAAAGTTCTTGATGATGCGAGCATACGGATGATCTTTTTTCGTATGGTGGGCTTCATCGAAGATCAAGAGGTTGATCTGGTCCATTCTAATCCAGGAATGATGGAGCGCTGTGCTGAGGATTTCAGCTGTACAGACAACCACTTCGTTTTGCTCCAATGCTTCCTTCCAGAAAGCCTTTGATTCGACACCTTCCACCATCTCGCCGCATAATTTCTCCATTGGGAAATCGAGGTTCTTGGTGAGAAAGCTGTGTTGTTGGAACACCAAGGCCACCTTGTCGACCAGGAAGAAGGCAATCCGTCTGGGTAAACCCTTTTCTCGATCCTCCAATTCACCATTAATGACCCAGCGTAACAACATGGCGGCGATCAGAGTCTTTCCGGATCCTATCCAAGGTTTGAACAAGTCAGAAAGAGGGTCCCAGTCTGGCAGGGTATGAGGAACTTACCTGTATCCAGAACAGCAATCGTGTTTTGCTGTTTTGCACGTTCAAAAAGCTCAACCTGGTATTCTCGTGGTGAAGTGATGATTCTCTCGCTATCAAAGCCAATAGCGGGCAGCACGTCCACGCCGACCGACCTTGCCGCTTCTATTGCGGCCTTCCTTTGGTCTCTTGCCAGAGTTTCCTGGTGCTCCTCGATCCATGAGTTGAACGCAGCAGTATCGGCAAGCTTCTTGGCCGAAATCTTCTTGGGCTTGGGTTCCGGGTTCACTGTCCATCTTTTGACGCCGTCCTCGCTCTCGACATCAGAGGCGTTTCCTCTGTCGTCATTTTCGGAGGCCACATCTTCTTGGGAGAGATCTATCAAATCTTCGTCGCCGATTATCTGACTTGTCGCCTCCGGTGGGATAAAAGGTAGCCGAGTGGCCACGGCCATGGTGACGAGCTGTCGTTCTTTTCCTTCTTGTTGCGTGATGGGAGTTCGGTGATAATTTTGCAAAAGAGCGCATGGACCGAGCCGAAAGTGACAGACTGCTGTCGGGAATGAGGGTCGATAGTTATTGACGGACAACGAAGAACAAATAACTAGACCAGGTCCAAGACGTTCGGGGATGCAGCAAGGACTGGAATCAGGGACTGCCACCGGACCCTCTCAACTTGGGTTCGTCAAGTATCGACCGAAGCGAGCTATCGCATGGTTGATTGAGTGGGAGAGCAAATATAAAATTGAAAGCAGTCGCCGCGAGAGAAGAGCAAGTTATAGAGAACGGAAGGGTGCGATGACAGTTTGGCCTGTTTGTGAGGGAGTGAAGGCCGTGGGGGAAGAACGAAGTTGAGAGGTTCAGACAGGTGCAAAAGCTCGGGCCCCGCTTTTATACAAACACGGAGAACAGATGAGATGAATACAGGAAGGTTACACTGCTGCCATAAACCAGATGAAACTGACACCCTTTCCATCGCTTCGATTGATTATAGCAGTTCGATCATAACGCGAGCATCTTGCTGTTGGTGGGGAGTTTGTTCGGCCATCATTTTGTGTCATAGTTGTGTTGCTAAGCAAACATGCCAGGATCAAAATGTGCCGGGTAGGTAAAGAAAGAAAGAGAGAAAGAAAGAAAGGAACCGATCATGATCATAAGCAAAACGAAGTAAACCAACCGACCAGAACGATAAGTACCTAGCTAAACTTATGGACTTAGCCTCTCCAAAGTCCACTTGTCTTCACCTCCATCTTGATGGACGCGGTCGTAGACAAACCGATCGTGTAGACGGTTCTGCCTTCCCTGCCAGAACTCGACCCGTTCAGGAACGATGCGCAAGCCTCCCCAGAACTCCGGGACGGGGATCTTCTCCTCGCCTTCAAAGCGCTGCTCCGACTCCTTGACCCACTTGTCCAGCTGTCTTCGTCCGTCGTCGTCGGGATCCGCAGGGTCGGGATGGAGGACAGCGCTTTGTTTGCTTGACCAGGCGCCAAGACGACTGCCACGAACTCTTGTGTCAAAGTAAGCCTGGCTCTCCTCTCGTGTCAAGCGCTCCGCTCTTCCCTCCACCCTGACCTGCCTTTCCAACGGCTCCCACCAGAAAACAAGAGAAGCCCATGGGTTGCCGGTGCTGGATCCATCCTCACTGCCAAACAAGTCGCGCGCCTTCCCGCTGGTGCCAAAGTTGCTGTATATAACAAAGCCCTTTGGGTCCAGCTCCTTCATGTACACCATGCGCGACGAGACGCGACCCGAGGGCAACTGTGCAGTCGATAGCGTGCAGGTTTCGGGGTGGGAAATGCCCGTTTCGGGTTGGCAAGCGTCCGTGAACCATTTGTGGAATTGGGTAATGGGACTATCGGGGTCAAGGTCGGAGCGTCGCAAGCCTCCTCGGGTCTCGGCCTTGAGGAACTGAGCCGCTTGACCGGGGACGGACGGGTCGGCTGAGGCACCGGCGGGGGCAACTGGAGGTCGCCGAGTCAGCTCTTGCTGCCATTGCAGTGGTATCTCTGTGAATGTTCCCAATCCCACTTACAGATGAGCTTTGCGCCATCTTGAGCCGGGTGGAGAGCCATTGTCTTGGTAGTAAAGGTAGCAACTCGGGGGTTCAAAGGCTTCGGACGAAGGGTGACTGCAGAGACGGAGAAGAGGCGACGACAACTTGCTCGCATTGGCAAGACAAAAGTGAATGGATGTGATGAGCAAGCAGGAGGTTTTATAGTGGCACCACTTTACAGTCCGGTCGGACCTATGTAGAAGGAAAAGCCCGGATGGAAGAATCGAGAACGGAAGCGAGCGACAGCAGAGAGGGAGAACATGCGATTCAGTCACAGAGAGGCCGAGACAGTGCCGTCAGGGTGGTGCCGTCATATCGACTCCACACCAACCCTTTTGGCCAACCGGGCATCGAAGACTCGAGACGAGGACGACCACACTTGCCCTTTCAATTCCAGACCTTAGGTAAAGCACAAAGTGAATCGGAAGGGAAGAGACGGAATTTGGCTATGGAGACTACTTGGCGTGATCATTGGGCGCACAGAACAACATCCAAAGCCGCTGGTCGAAGCCAGGATCAAAGTGTAGTAGTCCAGGCTAGGTGTGGAGGGGACATGTCAATTGAGAATGAGATAACCGATAAGAAAATAAACATTGCTTGGCAAAGGAGATCGGAGCGAGGATCAGAGCGGGGCAAACAAACGGACATGGTGAGCTCACCAGTGTGGGTTGCAATTGACATGCCCCGCATCCCATAGCTGTCAAACCTCCACTGAAGTTCAGTTATCATCTCCATCCATTCCAGAATCCCCAATTCCGTTCGTTCCCTTCCAACGACACGCAGCAATAGCCAGACTTCACCACCCTTTGCTTCTTCGCTTACTTGCGCCAGCATCGACTCAATCCACCGGATCAGACGTTTCCAAGCCACAAGCGACCACCCCAGAATGAGCGACCAAGAACCCAGGTCTCTCAAGGCCACCTTCGCCGCCGCCGAAGAGAAACGCCTCTCGCTCGAGAACTCACCACCCAGCCCGGCCGACTACGCCGACACCGTTTCCGCCGCCATCAAGCTTTACCAATCCTGCCTCTCCCAGATCAGCCTTCTGTCCCTCTTCAGCTCCAACGAAGGACTCGAAGACCTCAACACCAACGACCTCCCTTACCTGCTCGTCAGCTACCACCTCGCCGAGCTCATCCAAAAGATTCCCTCGCCTACACCCTCGCCCGCCGAACGAAAACGCATCCTTGCCCAGGCCCGCGAAGCCTACGAGCGCTATCTCCATCTGCTCGATAGCTACGAAGGTCTGCTGAACCCGACCTACAAGAAGCTTCTCGAGCGCTACACCGACAGTCCAACCGAGTTCAGCGTCGTCTCGTCCGCCTCGGACCCCAACGCGCGTCGCAACGCCAAGATCGCCAACTTCAAAGCCGAGAAGGAGCTGCGCCAGAAACTCGCCTACCTCCGACAACGACCCGAGTATGCCGCCGCCGATCTCGAGCTAGACGATGACGAGTCAATAAGCCAGAGCAGAGGAGGAGGGGGAGGAAGCACAGGCGACGAAGAACTTGTTCGCTCTGTTCACCTCGCCCACCTTGACCTGTGCACACACCTGACCTTCCAAGCGCTCGAGAGCCTCAACCGCGAGCTGGAGGTGCTCAACATGGCTCCGCGCGAGCCTGCCTCGCTGCCATCCGCGCAACTACGAAACAACCAGGCAGGCAATGACGGGGGCGCGCAGGACGACCTACGACGGCGACAAGGAGGTGGCGCAGCGGATCGCGACTACAGCGACAGACTCGATATGCCGTTTAGCCGGTTGCAGGGAATACTGGGTGGGAGCGGGCCGATTCTGTCCAAGGAGGGCAGGCCACTACGACCGTTTACGCTGACGGGGACGAGACAGGAGATTGCCAAGGGGGTGTTTAGGCCGGGTCATAATTTGCCGACCATGTCGATTGATGAGTACTTGGAGGAGGAAAGGAGACGGGGCGGGATCATTGAGGGAGGTGGAGAGGCGAGTTGGAAGGCCGGGGAGAAGGATCCGAATGACGAGGATGACTATGACAAGTTGGATGCGGAGACAATGAAGGCAAGGGCTTGGGATGAGTTTGTGGAGGCGAATCCGAAGGGTAGTGGGAATACGTTAAACAGGGGGTGATGAGCCTTGGAATAGATTGCGAACGTGCTGTAGACGAGGGGGTATGCTATGGGCCAAATTGATACCAAAACATTGACCTAGAAGTCAAAGTCGAAAAATAATAATCGCTGATGTTTGATGGTCTACACCAGGAACTGGCAATATCCGACCTTGGCCCGTGCCACCAGCAAAAGGCCACCACTCGCTACTTATTAACCATACTAGTAGTACTCACTCACTTTGAACTTTCCCCCCATTTCCCCCCCTCCTGGGATTGATCCCCCCTCTTGTCCCCTTGTCCCTTCCCCTTCTTGTCTAAATCCTCATCCCCCTCCGGTGCCGGCGGCCCCGGGATATCCACCCCCTCGACCCTGTACTCCATCCCGATATACCCATCACTAACCACCAACACATCCAGCTTCCTGCCCTTCACCCCCCCTTCCACCGGTGGCAGTCTCATCACAGCCCTAGCACTAGGTCTCATGCCCACCTCTATTCCATTCGTCTTCTTCCCATTCTGTTGGTGATTCTGCTCTTGTTGTTGCTGTTTCCTCCCACTACTCCAACCAACCCTCTTGACAGCAACTACCTCATCCCTCTTCACATCCGCCACCACGACAAACCACCCCTCCGTCTGCGGCTTGGGAAACTTGGGAGCGTAAATCCGTCCTTCGCGCTCCGTGATGGGGTTCAATCGCTTCAGAACAACCGTCAGTTCGCCGTGCTTGACGTTTTCCACCGAGACGTGCACGTCCGGCACGGCTTGGGCGGCTTTGGCGAAGCGGTTTGCTTGTGCGGGAGCGAGACCAAGTTCGTCGCGGGCGAGCTTTTGGAGGAGGGAGTATTGCTGATTGCTGCCGCCGCCACCGCGGGAATTGTTGGTGGATTTGCTCAGTTGATTTAGTGTCATTTTGGATTTGCACCGGTCGGCTTCAGCATGATCAAAGCCGGGGAATATGGAGAGTGCAGGGTCCTCAGGCCAACGAGCCTGTTTAACGCATTGCAGGAGTTTGACGAATTGCAACATGCTGCTGAGGTATCCCAGCTCTGTCATGACGTCCACCGAGGCTTGGATAATGCGCACCGCTTGGTCCAGGACAGATGTCTGGTCGCCGACGTAATCGGTGATAGGCAGGGGCTCGACACGGGCCATGTGCGCTTGGAGCAGCAAGAAGGCCTTCACGTGGGGATCCCACATCGGCAGGCCGTCGAAGGCGGAGGTAGGGAAGGGCAAGGCCTTGGCTAGCTCGGCGTTGATCAAGTCTTCGTTGTGACGAACGGGGAGCTCGTCGTACTCGGAGGCGCGGGACATCCAGGATAGGGCTTCCAGGAAAGTGGCGGAGGCGCGGGCTTTGCGGACCAGATGCCGGATGGTCTTGTGCGAAAGGTAATAGTAGGACATGATTTTGCCCAAGGGGGTCGGATCAACGTCGCCGTTGGGGAAAACTTCGACGCAGCCTGATTCGGCGAGCTCGGAGAGCGAGTGGTCAACCATTTGGATCATGTAGTCGTTGGCGAGCTGCTGAGCCATGGTGGACGAGTGTTCCTCGGCGGAGATCTCGAGACCGTAGTACGACGGGTTCTTGTGCAGGCGCCGGAAGAAGAAGGTCCATGTCAGGTAGTCGAGCGCGTCTTGTTTGGTAACGATGGTCTCGGCGGACACTTCGGCGCACAAGTGGTTGTCGAGGACCGTGTGTAGGGAGGACTCGACGGGGAAGCCGGTGTGCAAAAAGTGCTTGTAAAAGTCCTTCTTGGCGTCTTGGGTGAAGATGCGGGCGACACCCGAGTTGTCGAATTGCGGTCGTCCTGCTCTACCAAGCATTTGGAGCACGTCTGTCAGGTCCATGTCCTTGTAGGCCTCGATCTTGGCGTCGTAGAACTGCGTGCCCTTGACGACGACGAGATGCGCTGGAAGGTTGACACCCCAAGCCAAGGTACTCGTAGCTACGAGAATTTGGATCTTGTTGTTCAAAAAGAGTTCTTCGGCGATCTGCCTGTCAGACTCAACCAGACCGGCGTGATGGAGACCGATGCCGAAGCTGATGGCTTCCTTCAAAGCATCATCCTTGACGCGGGAAAGGTTGAGCTGGAGATCATCTTCATCCATGTGAAGGAACCGCCTAGGGTTATCCTCCATACCACAGAAGTTGATAAGATCCTTGGCCGTCAAGCGGGTCTGCCGGCGGGACGGCACGAACACAATGACTGGTTTCTCGGGGCTGTGGTTCAAGATCGCCAAAAATGTAGGCCTATTCATCGATTGCATCAACGGGCAGAACCCCCTGACCTCGGGGAACCCGTCGATGTACAATTCCAGCGGCACAGGACGCACCGAGTGCCGGAAGTTGAACAAGCCCTCCTTCACACCGAGCCAGTTGGCCAGGTCCGTCGCATTGGCGCAAGCCGTCGACATACCCAGCAACCGAACCGAGTTCTTGGTCGACGAGGCAATATAGTTCATACGCGAGACAATGATCTCAAGAATAGGGCCACGGTCTCCAGCAAGCAAGTGAATCTCGTCGATGATGACCAAGCTGACCTTGCGGACGTATCCTCTCGTCTGCCAACTACGCGAGATACCGTCCCACTTCTCAGGAGTGGTGATGATGATATCCGCATCCTGGATCGTACGCGTGTCAGGCGTGTTGTCACCCGTCAGCTCGACCAGCTTCAGACCGAGAGGCTTGGCGAGACGGGCACCCCAGTCCTTGACACGCTCGCGGACAAGCGCCTTCATGGGCGCAATGTAGACCACCTTGGAGCCGGGCCGCTCGCGGAACGCCCACCACATGGCCAGCTCGCAGGCAACAGTCTTGCCACTACCGGTCGGCGATCCCAGAAGGACATTGGCGGGAGTGTGATAGAGGGTGTGGAAGACTTGGGTTTGCATCGGGTTGAAGTACTGGAAGCGCTGGGCGTAGATTTCTTCCAGGCCCGGGTTCTTCAACGCCGAAATGGGCAGAGGTTGCAGGTTCAACAGATCGGTGTAGACGCTTTCCGTGTCTGGGCGGATAAGGTGTTGGAAGGAGACCGCTGTTACAGTCTCAGCGCCCAGCCACCGGTCCGAAACCGCCCTCACGTAGATCTGGTTTGGCATCGGATCGGAAAGTGGAATGGTGAAGTTGAGTTCGTGGTCGTCGTGAAGCTTCCTCCTGTTGAGGATGAAGAACTCATGATGATAGATCTCTGACGTCTCCGAGTTCTCGACCCAGATGTAATAAGACTCGGAAGTTCCATGCAAGTGGTCGTTCCAGCGGAAATCCGGAGTGACGTAGAGCTTGATCCTCAGCACGTCCCTATTCAACGGCGCAATCTCCGCCTCGACGCTGAGAGTCGGGAAGTTGTCAAGCAGCTTCGTGATCTTGCCGCCCATACGATGGTTGTTGACCAAGCTGCCAATTTCGGCCGGCTCCATCTCTCTCATTGACTCAATGTTAAGGGCCTCCAGTTCGTCGAGCTTGTTGAGCACCGGCCTAGGGAGGTCACGGTCAAACTGATGGAAGGGATGCTGAAAAGCCCAGATACGCTTTTCGATGGACTTGGCCATGGTGAGCAGGACCAGACACTGGTGACCCCATCGCCGATTCAGAGCAATCATGAAGAGCGCTCTGCAGATACGCCCGGCTTGCTGAGCGACATAGTTGAGGTCGTTCGTTAGAGCGAAATCTTGCGGCTGCGCTCTGGAGATGTAGGCTTGGAGCAGGATATTGGTCTTCGTATGCGGCTGATCAATGCCGGTGCTAACTTTGTAAGGTACGAACCTCTCGTCATGCTTCATTGCCATAAGCTCATTTGCTTCCTCGTTCCTAGACTGGATGTTGTCGAACTCGCCACTCATGGCAATCATCTTGAGAATATCTTCCTCGGTCGAGAAAGGCCGCATCATGGAATTGAAGATCTGGACACTGGAGTGCTGGATGTAAAACTGACTGGCAATCCGACCAATATCCTTGCTACGGAGTTCTTCGGTCGCCTCGTTGAAGATAATCATCTGGCTCTGCTGCAGTGTCCTGGCAGCCTGGATCGCCAGCTGTCGTCGCCTCTGGACCAGCGAGCGGTCATTGTCGTATTCGGACCAGTCGATACCGTAGGCCATAGGATTCCGCTTCATGCGTACGAAGAGGTACGAATAACTGATCCACTTGACGGCCTCCGGAATCGAAGTGACAGTGCCCAGGGCGATCTCGGCATTCAAGTTATCGACCAGCTTGGCCGAAAACCTGGATTCAATGGGTAGCTGATCCGTGATCGCAGTGAGGTAGTGTGCGAGCTTGTCGTGCGTGGTGCAAATCATGCCGATACCAGTGTCCTCGAACTGAGGACGACCAGCACGACCGAAGATTTGCAGAACGTCGAGAATACCCAAGTCAACAAACTTACCATCCTGGGCACTGTACACCTGGGTACCCTTGATGACGACGGCGGCAGCGGGTAAGTTGACACCCCAAGCCAGAGTGGCCGTACAGCAGAGGACCTTGATGACACCCTCGGCAAACAGTCGCTCCATAAGATTCCTATCTGCACGAGCCATGCCGGCATGGTGAATACCCAGGCCCTTGGGAATGAGCTCGCGGATCTCACGAGCCTTGGTCTGCTTGACATCCCTCATGGCAGCCTCGTACTTCTCGTGGTAGCTGGGATCAAAAAGGTCGGTGCAAGCCTCGTCCGTGGCCTTTTCCAGAAGCATCTTGGCCGTGGCTTGCGTGTCCTTTCTCGAGTGAACGAAAACCATGACTTGGTGGCCACACTCAAGCATGTCCCTGACCTTTTCAAAGGCTACCTGGTCTAGATTCTCCCGAGATTGCTTAGAGTTCGGTTTGCCCTTGACTCCAATGAAGTGTTGCTCAAGCGGGACTGGTCTGAAGGAGGCGTCAAAGTAAAAGAGCCCAGCATACTTGTTGACGTTCAAGAAGTCCGCTACATCGACGTAATTAGGGAGCGTGGCACTCAACCCAACGATGCGAATGAGAGACTGTGTGCTTTCGACCTGACGCGCCGTTCTCGCCACCAAGGACTCCAAAACTGCGCCTCTCTCGTCGTGAAGCATGTGCACCTCATCGATAATGAGCAAGCGGACCTTTTGCACAAGCTCCGTGTCTCCGGTGCCCTTTCTCGTCACGACATCCCACTTCTCAGGGGTCGTGACAATGATTTGTGTTTGGACAATTTCCGACTTGGTGAGATGCATGTCACCTGTGAACTCACGGCAGCGAATGCCCAACCAGGCCAACCGCTTGCCGAGCTTCTCCGTGATTTCGGCCGCCAGAGCCTTCATGGGAGCAACGTAGACGATTTTGAAATCCTCTGCGGCAACGGCAAAGTCTGTAGCAACGTGATCCTCGAAGGGACTTGGTGTCAAGTACTGACCGACCGTGTGAAGGATGGTCAACATGGCAGCATCGGTTTTACCCTAAAAAGCCCATATTGAGCAAGTCAGCCGACCAAGATTCATCAGAACCGAGAAGAAAACTGAAAAGACTTACAGCACCAGTAGGAGCACAAATCAGCATATTTTCGCTCGTTTTATACGCCACCGGATACACCAAGCTCTGCATCCTATTCAGCGTACTGTACCCCTTGAACGTATTCCTGCACAGTCCATCCATATCCGCGATCTTGACCAGCTGCCTCCCAGGGCCCAGGGTACCCGTCTTGCCCGCCGGGATTGTGTACTCCTCGTACTTTTCAAACTCCTTTCTCTCACTCCCAGGGGGCAACGCATACCGCTTGCCCGAATGGCTCAGCGTGTTGCCCGCGCTGTACGCCCGGTATACATGCGGGTACTCCTCCTCCTTCGCTCGGGCGGCGGCCAGCGGAGCGGACTTGTGCTCATAGTCGCGTTGGCGGAGGGCGGCCTCTCGTTGGGCTTTGCTGAGTAGGCGCAGCCCCCCGTCGCCGCCGTTACTTTGTTGTTGTTGTTGTTGTTGTTGTTGCTCTTGCTGTTGCTTCAGCTGCCGCCCCACAGACGACACTAGCTCCTCCCGATGCGAGAGCAGATCGATGACAAAGTCCAGGTCGTCAAAGCCAACGAGGTCTGTCAGCGAAGACTGCAGCTCATCTTCTGATTTGCCAGAACCCAGGATTTCCATGATCTGGTCCTGAAGAGCCCCGGCGCCAAGGCCGGCAGCGGACCTGACGTCTGCGCATCGAGAGGCGAGCCAGCCGAAATCGTAGCCGGAGCCGGAGCCGGAGCCACTGGCAAATCCTCCATGCTGAAAAACTCCGTCAGCGTCTTCATGGTCGTGGTAGTAATCACCACCATCAGTAAACTCGATAGAGTCCAACTCGTCGTCCGAGATGAAATCCCAAATGTCTCTGGGACCGTCTCCATTTCTGGTCGGGGAGTAGGTCGAATCGATCTCGTCGTCATCCCAGTCGCTATTGGTGGTGCTACCGCCGGCTTCACTGGAGGATGGGGGCAGGCCGGCTACGGCTGCCTTCATGGCTTCGATTTGGGCGCGCCATGCTGCGATGTCTAAACCGCCGTCAATGGAGGGATCGGCGGCCATTTTGGAATTTGTAAGTGGCTCCTAAGTCTCTTGCCTTGAATTGATGATTGACGTCGGTTGGAGGGCAGGTATTTTAGCTTCCCCCGAGTCTACTGTGTCGTTGCCGTAAGCAAGGTGGTATTGATTGTTGTTAACTTGTTGCCCTTCTCTCAGGTATGAACGAGGCAATGACAACCCTTTGAAGACTCTCCTCGGAAATGAGTTTCACTTCCCTGATTCACGCCGGATGAGTCTGTCGCCTTGAAGAAGCAGAGGCAAAGATGATTAAGCGGTTCAAGTAGTGCTGCTGGTCTGGGCAGTATGGGGTCCTGCAGTGAGCGTAGAGTTAGTACAGTGGCATGCCACAGTGCAGTGGTGGCTTCCTCGGCACTGTGTAAACAGTCAGACCGAAGGGACCGACAAGTGGAAGTTGAGCAACGCACAGACCACATCTGTCCCGTTGTTTGTGCTCGTTTCCCGAAAGAGTAAAAGAGCACCTCTTGTGGATTCGTGGCTCATGTCAACAATGTTATCGCTCACGTCATACGTCTTGATACTCTACACTAGCCATGGTTGACCAGGGCGTCCCCATCTTTCCAGGGAATATCTATCTATGTTTTGTTTTATGGGTGTCGTATCGTCATACTTTGGAACTACAGCTAGAAGGGGGGGACCGCGCACGAAATCTACAAACCAGAAAGAGAACAAGAAAAGGGAAACAGTCAGAGAGAAGAAAATGAAATATATTAGGAAGAGCCAAAGATCGCACCCAAACTCCGTGACCAGAATGTTTCGTTTCGCTCTCTGCCCCTCGTCCATGCTGCCAACCCAACCTCAATCCATCTATATCGATCAAGCCGGTCGTAATACTCACATGTCTCCGTATCGTCGTTGATGTCCTCAGCTCCCTGGCCTATCCATCCTACCATCCACTGGTTCTACAGCGCAATAATAACAGACCCAATAGCGATAAGCGGAAAATGAGCACGCGTCCCATCATCCGCACCGCTCCTCCCTGCTGCTCCCGAGTGACAAGAAAGGGGTTTTCAATGAGCCCTCCAGAATAACTAAAGCCGTCTTTTCCTCTTGGGACTTTAGCTTCATTACGACCATAATAAAGTCTTGTGACCGAAGATACCCTCTTTCTCCCCTACACCGCCTCTTTGTTTCCATGCGGTAGACCCGGCCGTGCATGTTGGTGGCCCGCAGGAAGACAGGTGCATGTTCGATAGACGTAGGCTGTAGCCAAGATAGAACTGAATGAGGCCAGACTGCTGTCATCCATACTTGGGGAGGATAAATCGGATCTCGTATCGCCATCGTGATTGTCAGTGGGCCTTTTTTTTCCCGCGAGCTCCGGGGTCGGGTTCCGCCGCCACACAACTGCTACCCGTTTGGCTTAGCAGCACTTGCCGCCGGATCCTGACCCGCTGTTGTCACTGACGTTCACGCCCGACGAGCCGCCAGACGCCTCTTTGCCGGATGTGTCGATGATGCGCTTCTTGATGTCGTTGGCGAGGCTGAAGAAGGCCTCTTCGATGTTGATGTTCGCCTTGGCCGAAACCTCGAGGAAGGGAATGCCAAGCTCGTCGGCTAGCGCTTGGCCCTGTTCCTTGGAAACCGCTCTTTTTTCCTCCCAGTCGCACTTGTTTCCAATGAGAATCTTGTTGACTCCTTCCGTCGCGTGTTGCTCCACGTTGGCGAACCAGGTGCGGATATCTGCGAAGAGAAGGTCACGTCAGCAAAGGAACGAGATAATACATGGCATGGTATCCAATGGGGACTGCTGGTGCCAGAATCTGGAGCAATGGAGAGGCACGGCACCTAGAAGGCACCAGTCCATCGCAATTCGAGCGTGGCCTCAAGGACCACCTCTTGACCGCAACTGCCATGCCGTTTCAAGCGGGATGGGAATGTGTGTGCACGTACTGTTGAATGACCTTTCATCCGTCACGTCGTAAACGAGAAGAATGCCCATGGCGCCTCTGTAGTATGCCGTCGTGATGGTACGGAAACGCTCTTGGCCGGCGGTATCCCATATCTGTAGCTTCACCCGCTTGCCATCGAGTTCGATTGTGCGGATCTTGAAGTCGATACCGATGGTGGTGATAAATGACGGTGTGAATGAGTCTTCGCTAAAGCGCAACAGACAGCAGGACTTGCCAACGCCCGAGTCTCCGATCAAGAGCAGCTTGATCTATGTTGGGAAGCGGTATCTCCGGTCAGCGTCTGGAAACAGAATAACCTCGCCAAACCCACTACGGGGGAGGGGGGGAACAAAAGGAATGTCGAGAGTGCGAGCGGTGAGGTGAAGGAAGGACTCACCAGAAAATCGTAATTCCTGTTACTCGACATGATGAACTGGTGTGGGGGTTAACGCCGCCGCCCGTCGTTTCGATTCCTTGGAATGTTTCTCTGGTTGTTCGGAATCCGGAATTCGGCAAAGGGGATATCAATCGAGATCCGGCGTTTCGAGATCGGGCTGTTGTACACTAGTAGTTGCGGGAAGGGGAATGGGGATGGAGACTGGAGGCTCGAATGGTGGTGACGATGCGCAGTTCAGGAAACAGGCGACAGAGCAGGAATGATGTTCAGTTGTAGGTAGGTAGGTAGTGTAGGTGAGTGAGTGGTGGTGGAATGGTGGTGGTAGTTGAAAGCGTGTCCGCAGTGCGACGTTGACGGGCCTGTCAAAACTGCAGGGCGGTTGCACGGGTTAGTCCAGCGGAGGAGGAGTCGCAGAACGAACAAACAGGCGAGAGCGCGATGGGGTCTCCTACTCCTGCACTAAGGTAGACTTGGCTGGCCGGCTACTGGGCTGCAGTGCGTACCTGGGCTCTCTCTCCCTCCAACTTTACGGGGCGATGCGGAGATCCAACCTATGGAAAGGCGAACAATGACGAGGACGGGGAAGGCAGAAAGGGGTCTTGTAGCTTGTTCAAGACCTCCCTGCCCTGCGTGGAGAGGAAGGAACCGAGAAAACTGGAATGTCTCAGATGCCCCTGATGTCTGATACTATCTAATCAATGCTAACCTGGGTCCCGTCCCAAAGCGCAGGGCAACAGTCCAGAGCCCGGGCAACGCGATTACCATACAATGTGAGGGTGCTACAGAGTCGCGGACTATGGGACGGGGGGTTACCTAGGTATTTGTGCCCTTTACACCCGTACCTCCACTCAAGTGGAAGAGCGCTTGTTGCAGCGCGTGATCGTGGTCTAGGGGACGCGACTGTTGGGTACGTAATCGGTCAGGTTTCTAGAACCTACAATCGCCGCAACAACTCCACCTGATATTCCGGGCATTCTTTGTGTCCCCTTCAACCTTGCAGTAGATAGAGATACCAATGTGTTATGAATGACAGGATGAGCTCGAAGGACAAGTTGTTGTGCATGGCGCAAAGTGTCTAGGAAACCGGAGTGAGAAGAGACAACTCAACTGCACTCTCAACGAATGCAACCCAAGATTCAGGAACCAGGGAGGGCGGTGAACAGTCTATACGCACGAGACGCAGTATCCGTTGATGGATCTATAACCCATATTGGCCCAATGATTTATTTCTTCCACCAAAGCCTTTTCCTGCCCTCCCGCCACACGAAAGGCGGCCCCTGGAAGACCCTGCACCCTGGTTATGCCCCTGCGTGAAGCGTGAAAAAGTCCAACAACATGCCCGTGGGGTGTTTTCTGTCGCCGCCTATAGGCACATAGGTATCCACCGTGTTTAAGGGGTTAGTAGACAACTCTGTTTTGGTGTTTAGGCCCGGTACTTCCTGCGCCTGCTTACCTCTGCCATATCACCGGCACCATCTCCCTCGTGCATTCTCAAAACTCCAAGTCCCTACAGTTATTTCATACAAACAGAAGAATCATGAAAGTCTAGTCGTTGTTCACTAAAATACACTGATCATATCACATCACAGCTCGACTAACAATACAAAACGCTTGCCGCCAATCACCAACTCCCGCGCTGGGGATCTAGGGACAGAGGATTGATGAAGCTCTGACAGCCATCTATTTCTTGCCCAGCCAATCGGCGTACGCCCACCGAATCCTCTGCAGAGCCTTTTCTTGAAGAACGACATTCTTCACACTCGTCAAATCCTCCAGGTCCTCCAGGAACTCGCGCTGGATGTCTCCAGGGAGCACTTCGGTAGCGAGCTCGCGCAACACATGCGCCTCGCAAAGCAGCAGTCCGCGGTCCTTGTACTTGAGCCCGCCCTTGGGATTGGTAGCGCCCGCAGCCAGGATTCTGTCCATGTTTCTGAGTACCCTGACGATACGACGAACCTTTTCTCCTCTGCGAAGACCCTTGCGGCTGCCAAAGACGGTCCTGAGGTATTGGACGATGCCAATGGAGACTGTGTTTGAGAGTTAGCAGTGGCATTCAACGTTTTCTCAGACAAGAGTTGAGCAAAATCACTTACCAACAACCCCGGGCGCCAAACCGACAAACCCAAAGAGCAATTCCTGGCTCTTGAGAAGCGAGTCGATACCACTGATAGCCACCTCTAGATCCACCTTGGTCTTCTGCACTTGGATCAGCAGCGAGCGGACCAGGTCACCGCTGACGGCGCCGACCAAGGGACGACGGAGGCCCTTCTCATAAGCCTTCAAGATAGGCGTAACATCTCCCTCCCTGACCTTTGCACGGATATCAGCAATCTGGAGGTCGGTAACGTTGGGCGACCCAACGGCCACGCTGGGGTTATCCAGCGTGAACTCGACCACCATGCGTTCCAGACTCTCCCTGTCGGCCTTGAGACTGTCGCGGCTCATAATGGCAATCTCGCTGTTGGTGTCATGGCGGATGGTGCCGATGACCTTGCGGATGGGTTCAATGACCCAATTGAACCAAAAGTCACGAACGGTAATGCCGAGGTTTTGGATCCAGTCGATGATGCTGTCGCGCCTCTTGACGAGGACGTACAAGATGGTTGGAGAGGATACGAGCAAAGCCAGAGTGGGGAGCCAGTACCGGACAATGCGGGACGGCCTTCCGTTTTCGGAAACGTGTTTGGCAACGGCTGTCTTGTGCTGTAGCAAGCTATGGTCCAGAATCTGGATCAAGCGTTCGGCAACAGATGAGGCCTTCGGCTTGGAGCTATCGGTAGTGCTGAAAGCGCTCCGAACGTCTCTGGCAACCTTGAAGACGCTGTCCTCGAACACCGAGAGTGGTTCGTTTGTTTCCACCGAGTTGGTAAGAATCGCGTGCATCAGAGCAATGCTATCAACCAGCGTGCTGTCTGCCACCATGAGTCTCGATTCGAGGCCCTTGTCCTCTTCGGCCTTTCGATCAAAGGCAAGTCCTTCGTCCACTAGAATTCCTAGCGCGGCAGCGATCGTCTCCCTGAGCTTTTGGAGCTCTGCTCGCTTTCGGCGAGCTTCAGCGCGGCACAGATCGACTGGTGAGAGAACCTTGCGTCGAAGGTTGGAGACTGAAGTCTCATCCATGCTTTGCCGCACGATGGAGTAAAACTGCGACCACTTCTGTGACATTCCCTCACTGAGAGATGCACCCGATTGCGCCGCTTCGATTTCTGACTGCTGCTGCAAGTGAATGTTCCGAATCTGTTCACATACCACATCGTAGACCTCTTTGGCGCGAGACCACGCCCTAGCCGGTGCGATTTGCGTCGCGTACAAACAGCTTTTGAGATACGAACTGAGCACATCGTCCCAGTACCATATCTCATCGCTGAGGGGCATGATTTGGTCAAAGAAGGTGTTCATCAAGATGCCGTAAGTCTGAACCGTAGCCTTGGCCACCAGGAGCCATTCGATATCACGCTCATACTGGCTCTCAACGCCGACTTCTCCCTGCTGGGCAAGTTCCTTCTCCGTGGCCAAGACCGAATCCTCCAGCAGTTGCTTGATACGAGAAGGGGGCAGAAAGGTGCCGGACCGAGAGGCAGTAGACAAAATCCTGGCTATGCGCAAGAGCTCATCGGCACGGGGTGAAGGCGGCTCGCTCACGGCCGTGAGCAACCCCGTCTCTGGTTGATCATGCTCGGCATCCTGGGTCAAGCCGGGCTCCAGTCCCACGATCCTGTCAATGAGTACGTCCAAGTGACGCACCTTGCTGTCAAGAGAAAAGTCATGTTAACACCACCGTCCATCATCGAGACAAACTGACAAGTATGTCCTTATATGAGAGACCCCGGAAGAGTACTGACTCGGCCACGATCGCCATGGTTCGACTTGTTGGTCCCCTAACCCTGCAAACGAATGGTTCTGGGCTTCGGGACAATTACAGCAGCTAATGTAATATGAGGATGGTGGAAAGTTCCGAACTGTTCGGGATTTCGTCTCGCCGGTGCTTGGCTACCAGGCCTTTTCGCCGGAAATACGAAGGGAAGGGTAAGTAAGGTTCGCCCCAAATGGCCTCTCAGCCTCGCTCAAGGACGCGTGAAAGTGGCGATATGGAATCTCGGCAACAACACTGGAAATAGTGACTGGATATGATAAGTGCGATCAGGCCATATGACCGGTACCGGATGTGAAGATTGCCGAGATGGTCGGTTCCTGTTCAAGGCCTCAGGCTGTCACTGTCGAAACCCGGAAATGTGGGATGAGGTGGGGATGTTTCTTTGGGCTTGACAAGCGGGGCGGGCGGGCGTCCGAAACCCACCGAGTGATGATCGATGACAGGATTGGTAAGGCGGGGATGGAAGCCGACTGACTTGCGACTTGGTTCGGCTGCGATCCGGTCAAAGGAGAAATGCGTGGTAAGATGATGACAGTTGAGCCTCGTCAATGAATGACCTGATGAGTTGATTACCTGTGGTCGGCAAGTTGTACATGAGTAGTTACCAAGGGAATGTGCTACAGAATATTGTAGAGTCAGGCACAACCGAATGAAGGTCGAATCGAAGCTCAAATGTCAGCCTATGATGTCCAAGGATGGATCGCAAATGCCAAGTCCAACTTTCAAAGGCGGTGACAAATTGCCGATGCCAAAAACCTCAGATTGTCAACCACGGCATTGAACTCAGGGACACAACTCGTAGTTTGGCAATGTTCTTCTCTGACCCATTCCAGAATACCAGATGTTTGGAACCATACCGGACTGTTTGTGAAAGCATCCACGAACGCGCTCTGGAGGGAAAGTGACGATCCCATTTAACGTAGTGTAGCTGCTCCGCCCGCTGTCGCCGCTCAGGTACGTACCGTATGGAAATTACCGATGCCAACTGTGCCAGTTCGCCGTCAGTGGCTCAACGTCCCAATCCAACTGGTCCATCACGCCAACCCCCCGGCGACCTGATTTGCCTGGGTGGTGCATGGCAGGATGGCAACGAACCAGCCGAAGAAGAGGTGGGATCACGGTGTGGATGCAATCGTTCCATATCACTGGCAAACTCCGGGCAATTCGAGGTTCTCGATGGGAGATTCCATGACAAAGGGATGGAGATGTGTGTTGTATCGTAGACTACAGTACCTACCTTTTTGTTGTCACATAGCCGACCTCTACCAACCGCAGTGGTGAGGCACAGTACACCTAGTGTACAGGTATGAAAAAGTTATGGTCGAGATCAATACCGCACACATGCCGTCGTATCTCCGCGTAGATCACTTCAACTTCCATTCCTTATCTGATGGAACTTCGCCCTCAGTTTCCCACCCCGCGGTGACGTGGTCAGTGCCTGTCACCCAAGTAACTCAAAAGATAGGAGCCCAAGGAGGAACAATGGCACATCTCAATGCACGGCAGAGCATGGTGTTGGGATTCCATTGCTTGGCGGGCTCTCGGTTTCACTGAGCACTCGCTGAGAGTCGCCGTCCGGTCATTCGAACTTGGTGAAACAACATCCAAGAGTGGGTCCGGAAGGCGGAAACAACAGCTTCGCAGTGGGCCGATTCTGGGGTCATTCCCGTCATTGGTCAACCCAATACGTCTCTCAGGGGCTCCCGCCAAAGGACACCAAAGGCAAAAGGACAATAAAAAATCCAGCAAACCCCTAAACTTGTCAGTCGCCTTTCCCTAGCATCCCACTTGCTCTTGGACGCGGTCGACTGTTTCTTTTTCTTGCCCCGGTTTCCTCCACGCGCATATCTTCTTTCCTCGCTGCAGGTCCCTCATCGCGTTCCAACACCCAGCAACACCTAATTGGAGCCGCCTCTTCTCTATCCGCCCACCATGGCTTCGGCAGTCCTGTACGTTCTTGTTTACCATCGCGCGCCTGGATCAAAAGCTGACTCGTATCGTCCATCATCTAGTAATGCGACCGTCGCTGGCCTGAGCTCGACAGACACATACTTCACCGTCTTGGAGGAGGTTTCCAAGTACAATGTTCAGCTGAGCTACCCCGAGAAGCTCTGGGCGGTACGCGGCCCCTGCAACCCAACCCCGAAACGCCGGGACGAGACACGAACAAGGATAGCTAACGTTGGACGATAGGCGTGGTATCTGTGGATGCAGAACGACGTTCTCGCGACCGGTCTCATGAGCTTCTTCATGCACGAGATCGTCTACTTCGGCAGGTCGCTCCCGTGGATGATCATCGATGCCCTCCCCATGTTCAACAAGTACAAGCTGCAAAAAGTTAGTGCCCAGCAAAGCATAACCCGAGACTCAAAGGCAAAAGAAACTAACCACCACATAGGAAAAACGCCCCACCTGGAGGGAACAGTTCGAGTGCGCCGGTCTCGTTCTCCTCAGCCACTGCACCGTCGAACTCCCTCAGATCTGGCTCTTCCACCCCATCGCCACCTACTTCGGTCTCGACTATGGCGTGCCCTTCCCTCCTCTTTGGAAGATGGCCCTTCACATCTGCATCTTCTTCGTCATGGAGGATGCCTGGCACTATTGGAACCACCGTGCGCTTCACTACGGCCCTCTCTACAAGGCCATCCACAAGATTCACCACACGTACAGCGCGCCCTTTGGTCTCACCGCCGAGTACGCCTCCCCCATTGAGGTTATGCTCCTCGGTATTGGTACTGTAGGATCCCCCATCCTCTGGGTTTCCATCACCAAGGACCTCCATCTCGCCACCATGTATGTCTGGATTGTCCTCCGTCTCTTCCAGGCCATCGACGCCCATTCCGGCTATGACTTCCCCTTCAGCTTGCGCCACTTCCTCCCCTTCTGGTGCGGTGCCGAGCACCACGATCTCCACCACGAGCGCTTCATCGGCAACTATGCCTCCAGCTTCCGCTGGTGGGATTACTGCCTCGACACCGAGGCCGGTGAGGAAGCTGCCAAGGCTCGCCGTGACAAGAAGCTTGCGGCCATCAAGGCTAAGAAGGCCCAGTAAATGGGTGTAGTTTATGGGTCCGCCGTTATGGTACCGTCCACGGTATTTGTACTGTTGTCTTCCAAGGTCTTCTATTCGACCTCACTAATTTTGGACAACGCATCACCAAACAACGGGGAAGAAGGAAAGGAAGAACCACCTAACGATGGGAATTGGTCCATGAGACAAATCAAGCAATTAAGGAGCCAATAAAGGGTAGAAACGGGTTGGTTCATTTCGTTTGAAAGACAAGAAGGGAGGCACGGTTTTGGTCGAACACAGACCGACCGATGCACACCTCCACACAAAAGAGGCGTTTGGAAGGGGAAGAGAGTTGCGTTGCACCTCTGTTGCCGTACGCGCGCGGTGGTGCAGTTGGGGAGGGAGGCTTTTTCCTTCTCGCTTCTATTAATTCTTGTACATAGCTGATTCCTTCTTTCGGCGTCCTCCTCGGCAAAGCACCACCCCGTGCCCAGCCCTCTACCCCTTCCATACAAAGCCCTTTTAATAATCTAGTAATGAAAGGATCATGAAAGTAAAATACATAACCTAGATACACTTACATACACCCTTGATCACTCCTGAGTGAAGCTTTTGTCATCAATCACTTCACTTCTTAAAGTGCTTAGGCGTGCAGCAATCCCCAGAAGAAGCCACGGCCCTGTCGGTCAAGTTGGGCATGGCGCAGCTGGCGCCAGCGTCTGGTTCAGTCTCGCCAAAGTCTTTGGCCAAGGAGTCGCAGATAGTGGCTAGCTCGATGTCCATGGATGAGAGACCCTTGGGGGCGTGGGTCGTCCAGCGAATGAAGGTTGTGTTGAAGACCTAGGTATGAACGGTGAGATTAAGAGAGGAAGATAGGAGAGAGAGGACGGGAGAGAATATGTGGCAAAAGAGAGCATGTAGAGGAGAGAGAGGAAATGTGTCTTACATTGGACCATTCGGGATGGTGGTTCTTGAGCTTGCATTGCAGGGAGACGGCGGTCATAAAGTCCTGATGGGGAGGCGTCGAGATTAGAATCTTGGATATAACTCGGAATTTTCTGAGTCTCTGGGTGTGTAACACAGTCGTGCATGCCCCATGAGACACGCTCGGTATATTGTAGCCACGCAAATCGTGAGTAATAATGGGGATGGAGCTATGTGCAACAAGGAGAAATCGAAGAAGAGCAAGCATATATGGGGAGAGGGGTACATAGCAAAGATAAAGCAAGAGCCCGAATTTCAAAACCCATCAGAGTCCGACTCGGACGAGAAAGGGCACTTCAGCCAGATAGACATAGTAGAGAGGTAGGTAGGTATATTAGATACCTTATCCGTCATAACCGGTTGGCTGGCTGGCTGGCGTCTCAGCTCGGTTTCTTTCTCTCATTTGTCCGTTCGGATTTTCCTTCGTCATCAACACCACCTGTGCGTGTATGTGATTTGACCAGCCAAATCCGAAGCAAATCCCGAAAAAAGCGATGATATAGATACAGGTCGGTAGGTGATTTTGAAGAAAGAAGGATAGACAAGTAGCCCGCAAAAGAAAAGCACCATAAACACCCAACTCTCTTCACAACCACGAAACCGAGAAAAGTCAATCACTCAACGAAAAGTAGAACAACACATACCCAGGTCTTTGCAAAGGTCTTGAACTTGAAAGTCCTCTCGATAGCGACCCCCTGCTGTGTAAGCGTCCACCTACCACCACCGGTGGACAAAAGCTTCTCAAGTGCCGGACCAAGAACCGCTGGGTCGGAACCATCTGAGAATTGCGGCTTCGTTTCCGAAGGCGAAGACGACATGTTGCGATATTGTTGTTGTTGCAGTGACGGGCTGCGCTGTTTTTGTTGCTGTGTTTGCTGAAGATGATAATGCGTGGTGGTGATGGTGGCGGGTTTTGGTGTTGTTGTTGTTGATCGTTTGGAGGTTTGGATGGAGATGGAGAACTTCCTAGTCAAAGAGGTGTTCTCGGCGAGTGTACGGTAGTTGGGGTACAATTTGGTAAAAAGAGCCCGCGATTTCGTTGTTGGAGCGAGGGTGAGGGACATGTTGATTATTTTCCCAGGAAAAGAAAGCTTGGATCAAAAGAATGGACTTGGAGGGTCGAAGGTGATGAGGTATTGCTGTGCTGTGTTGTACGTACCACGAAGGGTGGTGTGGTGGTGGAAGGTGAGAATGAGGTATAAGAAAAGGTGAGGTCAAGGTGAACATTGATGGGCACGTTCCTCACCGTGAGGGGTTCGTGCACTGTCCAGGTACATAGCCGGTTACTAATAAGGTCAATCGTGTGCCACGGAATGGGTAGCGAGGAGTGATGACAAGTTCACGCTTTTACACTTCGCTCGTTTATTCATCAACTATCCCGTAGCACAGTAGATTAATGAAAGTTGTGACCGTCATGTTCTTATGAACAATGTTAAACCATAGAGAACGCAAGTAAATGTCATTCATAACTCCGTACAGCGACCCTAGGCTGTTAGTTGCTTACACATACATACCAAAGCAGTCGCGTCGTCCGAGGCCAATGTTGATGACTTCTGTCGTAGCCAACCACTTAGGCCTGCGTATTTGGGTTACTTTTGCAGGGATTAACGAAGCCACAGTGACGACGATAACGTTGACAGTCAACACCTTGCCGTCTTAGGCAGGTTCTTCACAATCTATAACCATGTTCGCATGATATAAGAGGGAAGAGTCGCCAGTTTGGTGTGCCTGCCAGTGAAACCAGGGCCAACTCTTGGAGGTTCTCAAAACATCTCACGATACAACAGCGAACGCTCGCAGACATACGGTCGAGTGCTAGAGACTGTTCAACAACTGATACCTTTTCAAAACGCCACGATATCTACAGGTCAATATGCAAATTAAAGTAACTCTTCCCAACGACGCCATCAACAGAGACTCTGTCGATGATAAAGCTTCCTACCATGGAATCCTCGCCGATGTTCTGATTCCCGGCCGTGGTGAGCCTCTGAAAAACGGGGCATTGGTGGTGAAAGACTCGGTTATCGAGTGGGTTGGGCCAAGCAACGAGATACCGTCGAATTATTCGTCAATTCGTATCTCGCGGGTGCCGGTGCTTATGCCGTGAGTGAACTTTTTTCTTTCAGCCTTGTCAACTTGTCAAGCCATTTAGCAACTGCTAACGACAAGACAGAGGCATGTGGGATGTACACACACATTTCGAGGGTGTCGGCGTCGCAATGGGCATCAGAGATAGCATGAAGCCTTTCTTACCCGGGACAGCCACGCTCATTGGGGCAGTGATTGTCGACGACATGCGCCGAACGCTCATGGCGGGGTTCACCTCGATCCGCGAGCTCGGCGGCTATGCTGGGGATGTTGCACCCGCTATTGACATGGGCGCCATTGTCGGCCCTCACGTGTACGCGGCCATAAGCATACTTAGCATCACGAGCGGCCATGGAGATATTCAGGATGCGCCCCTCCGGACCGTTTTGGATGCTTGCGCTAATGGCTCATCATCGTCCTTCGTTTGTGACGGCGTGGACGGCTGTATCAAAGCTGTGCGGCAGCAGATCCGACGAGGCGCCAAGGTGATCAAGGTCTGCTCGACGGGCGGCGTGCTTTCGCTGAATGACCAGCCCGAGGACACGCAGTTCAGCCCGGAGGAGTTGCGAGCCATTGTGCAGGAAGCCAAGCGGAGCAGCCGAGTAGTAGCCGCTCATGCCCATGGGAAGCCCGGTATCATGGCGGCTCTGGAGGCGGGAGTTAAGAGCATCGAACATGGCTCGTACCTGGACGAGGAGGTTGCCGCCAAGATGAAAGAGAAGGATGCCATTCTGGTCCCTACACGCCACATCGTCGAGGGCATAACTGCTGGTAATGACGACCTCGATCCACGGCAAAGAGCGAAGCTGGAGCGAACCGTGCAGCTGTCGAGAGACAGCATCAAATTGGCTAACCGGATGGGGGTCAAGATTGCCCTGGGGACAGACACTTTCAGCAGCGACAGGAATCATGCGGTAGCCCACGGGAAAAACGCCATGGAACTTCGCTACGCCATTGAGGCTGGGATGACTCCTCTTCAGGCCATAGAGATGGCAACCGCTACTCCTCCTGAAACCTTGTGAGTGTTGGATATCGTCGATGCTGTTATGTAGCTGTGGCTGACAATGGTCCGTCACTTTCCAGGGGTCCTCAGGCTCGAAAGTCGGGCCAGCTCAAGGCTGGTTATGACGCCGACTTGATCGCCATCTCGTCTAACCCGCTTGAAGACATTGAGATTTTGATAGATCCGGATAACATCACCCACGTGTGGAAGGGAGGCGTGTTGTTCAAGTCCCCTCAATAATTATGTACCGAGTCAAGATGCATCAGTTGGATAGACTTTGGGAAATTGATATCACGCACGTGAAGGGATGAATGTTTGGGAGCGCGTTGTTGATGGGATGGAACCAACTCCGAAGCTCGAGAAGAGTTGAATGTGGAAGTCCACGAGGTGACATCGTGCAAGTAGCGCTACCATCGATCAGCGCACTTGCAGTGCTTGGGTGCTTGCAGTGGAGACAGAAATGCGGGGCTGACCAAGGCTTCTCACGTGATCTGAGCTTTCACCTCAAAGGTTTCCGAGTAGAGGGTATACATAGTATTTTTAAGTCCAAATTGTTTGCAAACCAATGCTGTACCAGAGATCACCTCATGCCGCCGACAAGTTTGACAGTATAATTTCCAAATCTGACGAGCCACAAACTGGGTGACTGCGGATTACTTGCGAACAGTAGTGCGGGACAAACACTATCGGTTCGGATTTCTGCACTCGTCCAAATTCCGAAGCCGTCCGTCACTTCAGTTGAGCTGCCGCATTTGTCACCACATTGCTGACAAAGCATTCGGCCGACGACCCGCGGCCGCGACAAAGGAAGAGAGCACTGTTCGCTGCAAGGTCCCGTCCGGGCAGTCGCCATTGCCTTGACTGGAAGCAACTTGAACTTCCCAAACCAAGAACGACAAGCTTGAACGTAATTTTCAGGGCCAGTCCTGCAGTGGGTTTGTGTGAATGGGAATCTGCAGTGATTTTCGAGGTTTGAGCAAAGCCAAAACTTTTTACCGAAACACTCCAGTCGGCAATCAGTTGTCACCCAGTCCCATTGCAACTCCCTTGTCGACGGGACCGTCCATGTCCGCCCACTTTTCCCACTTCCTCTGGATCCGATTACATACTCCAACCATACTACTCTACTATTCCATCTTTCGTCGGCCGCTTTGCTGAGTCAACTTACACATCCAAGTTGCTTCCAACAGCCACACCACACTGCACCACAGCAGCTCCACGCCTCCAGCTTTGAGCCTCGCTCCCATCCACCCTCCCTTGCGACGCTATTCAGAGGGCGCCGTTGCGTGTTACCGCACCATCATCCACTCAGCAGACAAGCTGGTCGAGATCTCCGGAAACCCTCGCAGCACTTCACACGAGACAGACTTCCATTCTCATCACTGCTGAACTGGGCCTGACAATCGCTTCAACACCTATCAAACCTCGGCGCCACTTTTGATCCTACCACTTGACCTGACCCCGTCATCTTGAGGGTGTTTTCTGCATCAATCCCCATAAGGCCATCACCACAATCCGCACAAACCGTAGAGGTAAAAGCCCGCACCAGGTTGGTTTGATACATTGCTGACATCCAGCCCCGGCTTCTCAGAAAGTGTCCTGCGGTTACACCAAGTACCTAGCACAAGGGCACAAGATATCTGCCCACCTGTACCGCAGTCTATAGTCCCCGGTCTGCGGAGCGGGCCTGCTGTACCACTTGCGGACCTAGTAGTCTTGGTGAGCGTTACAGTCACATAGAGAAGCATGTCGACAAACCTCGAAATGGGTGAGTGTTTTCCCATCATCTGTTAGGTTTCCAACCCCTGCCCTATCGTCCAAACCGTCATATATTATTTTCCATGCCGATTAAGGCCACGAGTCGAGTTTTGTATACCCGACAACATGCAAGTGCTTACAACACTTCTCACTCTCGGGTGGGGTACTTTGCCATGTTCCCAGATTTGAAGACGGCTTGTTTCTCTCTCTTGAGATACTATCTAAAGGTTCTCGGAAGCGCCTCAGCTGCACGGCAGACAATCGTGGTTTTGGCTCAATCATGTTGCGGCCAAATCGAGGATTGTCAGCACATCCGGGCCTTGAGCAAGGGTCGCTCCGAGCCCTGTCTTTGTCATCCCCGTCCTATCTCATGTTACTGTTCGAGTATTGGAAGTGTTTCTAGGCGTTATACGCCTCCTGGACATAAACCCTTCCTTCACCTTGGCTCTCGTTCTTTCACTGCCCACCAATCCTCTACTATCCTTTTACGCATAAAGCTGGAGTTCTTGGTCTCTGTAAGAGCCTGAGAATGCGAGACCAGTGGTCTTGCATCCCACCTGATTTACGTAACTCACCCTGACGAGGTTCGTGATCTTGTCACTACCCCTATCACTTACATGCACCTCTCCTTCACGCTCGCGGCCATCTACATGCGCTTCGACCACTCATCCCACGTATCAACCAAAATCAAGCCAACATCAACAAGACTGGCTAGTTGGGTTATGTTCGGCTGGAGGTTGTAGATACATCTAATCTCTGCCTGCCAGCCGTCGCGGCCGCTTCCATACACATTTGAAACACATGCGCTCTCTCTTTCCCTTCCAATTTGAAGCTCAACCAAGCTCCTATCTGTCACTGCACCCACGATATTGGCCTTGTTGTCTCCAGGAGCCAACAACACACTGTTTGACTACCTTGACACAATTACTTGAATCATTCACTCCTGCATCACACGCTATTCTTTTCACGATGTTCTTTATCTTCTTCAAGACCATCCCGACCCAACCCTAAGCCACTGCTTGGGATTACTGACACCATCTATCCATCCAGAGCCGAGGGCTCGCGATTCACCGGTTGAGCCTGTTCTAGCAAATAACCACACCGACCAAGCCGCCTACCAAATCGCAACTTACCCAAATCACCCAACTTCGCCTTCTGGCGGACAAGGAGGAAGTCGGACCTCGCCCATAGCAGCAGCACCACCAACTCTGCCCCATGGATACAATCATCCACCAACTGGCCCACACGAAGCACATTTGCACCCGGAATTACGAACTCACGAGTCAGGCCCCACAAACGGATATCAACCAGTGCCCGGAATGATGCCTGTTGGCGTCCCTCCCCAACCCGAGCAACAAGGTGCCATGCCTGCCCCCAGTACGCCTGTTGGTGTATCACAAATGGGAATCGTGAGTCCGGGCGATAGCGCTGGTGATGGTAGGAAGTCCAAACGAGAACTGTCACAGTCGAAGCGCGCTGCCCAAAACCGCGCCGCACAGGTCAGTAGTCCCCGATCCCTTGCGTTCTGGAAGATTGGTAAGCTTTGTTGTATGACCGATGCCGCAATCGCATCATCGGCCTGCATCTGGATTAGTCGCAATGGCGTGACGAAGGCCAACATGCAATACTACAATACTGCTAGCAGTCGTTCAGCTGCGACAACTTTCCAATGTATCAAGCTAATCATGGGCTACTACTACAGAGAGCATTTCGTCAACGAAAAGAAGGTTACATCAAGAAGTTGGAGCAACAAGTCAGAGATTACAGCGAGATGGAAATGAGCTTCAAGGCCCTGCAGAACGAAAACTTCGCGTTAAGGGACTACATTCTTCACCTGCAAAATCGACTCATTGACGTCCAGGGTGACTACCCACAACCTCCCCCGAACATCAGCCTAGCAACCCCCCACACTCAGCAACTTCAGCAACAGCAACCGCCTCCACCACCCTCCGTACCTCACGGCATTGCGCCTGATCCAGTCCAAGCTGTACAGCAGGTTCCTCCCGTCACCAGCGCTCCGTCGGCATCCTTGGAGGAAGCCGCGCAAGCCGTAGCCGGCCTGAGCCGTAGTGACCACCACATGGGGGGTACTTCCCGGGATCCCTATAACACGGCGGTCTCGGCAGCAGCTGCTGCTGCCGCTGCGGCGGCGGCTGCGGCGGCATCTCGCACAGATGAGGACGCGAGAACGGCGGAGGTGATTCAGAGGCAACTGCAGGCGGATAACAACTCAGGCATGTCGGATGGTCTCCCACTTCAGCAAGCAGCTATATAGGAAAATGCTGGCACAACAGATTAATTGGTGGAAAGCACGGGTCTGCAAACCAGTGTCGATGGCCAATCTATGGTCGAGCTGTGGTTCGGCGTTCTTATACCGTCTATTCTTCGGACCTCGGTTCTTGGCTTTGTTACTTTACCATGGCGTTGCGGGTTGATCTCTATAATTCGAAGTCCTTACCTTTCACCTTCGGTTGAATATGGTGATTTTTGGTGCAGCGTGGTCCTCGTGTCTTGCCGATAGGAAACACGAGGCAAATGACCTATGTGTAAGTTGGGGCGGGAGAAAGGGCTGTGTGTTTGTGTGTGTGTTTTTGCGTGTGTATATGCTTTAATTTCCCGCGTGAATGACGAAGGAAGACCACATGGGAGTATACTAAAAACCTTCATCTGGTCGCATTAAGATCAAGTCTTGATTAACGAAGGTACTGGGAATAGAGAAGAGTATATCAGAACCAAAGGAACCCAGCCGTGCCCTTTCTCTCTGTCATATCGTGCTTCCAAACATATATTTTAACGGCCACAAAAACAAGACTTTGGTGCTTCTCATGACGCCACAGGATATGTACCAGTGTTTCCGCTCCATCTCGATATTCATATAGACACTCCTTGTTGATATTCTGCATTCTTCGCTGCATCCAGTCTAGGTATACAGGTGTGCAACTATCTCTGTCATCTGCACAAATGGGGAAGGAACGTGTCGGGGAAGGGCATTCACCTACCTGCCTGCCTGCCGGCCCTTGTCAAGTTGGAAGGAAGGTCTCGCCTCGAAGGAAAGACATGGTGTACATATAGAGAAGACGATACCCAGATGCAGTCAAAATACTATTGCCAACCAGAAAAGGAAGCAATGAATGGTTCAGTTAGGGAAGCAGGCCAGCAACGGCCAGAAGAGGATGTCTGGCTTGAAGTAAGGAGGTGAACGAGGAATGGGTAATTAATCAATGGCTTCTTAATTTCTCAATTCTCCCTTGTTTTCGCTCGTAGACAAATTTCTTGGGGCATGTAATAACGATTGAAACAAAGACAATTGGAAGGAAATCGAAAAACCGACTAGGTGACTGGGTATCAATGCAAAATAAAACTTCATGTAAAGGAAACATTATCAATATATTTCGTAGGATACATACACTAGGTATTAAGGTAAAGTCGTACCAGACAACTTTTCTTCCTTTCCTGCCCACTTGCAAGATATAAAAAGCACTCCGCCTGGCCTGGCCTGCCCTGTCCTCTCTTCCAGCGCTATTCCGTCATGCAAAATAAATACAAAAGAGAACAATTTCTATGGTGTATGATGTACTGTTTTTCCGGAATCAAAAGTAAACAAGTAATTGCTTCTTTAGCAACGTCAACCTCCTTTGCTCGTAATGCAAACCCCGAACAGCCCTTTGAAAGATCCGTGATAGATCACGGAAAAGGACTCAGAGGACTAACCCGCAGCCGCCACTGCAGCCCCGTCGTCAGACTTGACACTGACATATCTCGCTCCAGCCGTTTCCGGCCTCATGAGTTGTCCCCGGCTCCGACCGCGGCCTTCGGCTTTACTCCCACCCCCACCTTCACACCACTATCGTCCCTAACGCTGTCGGGGAATTACTCAAATCCGCTACATCTCTCGTCACAATTTTTACCCTCTCACTCTTCCTATACCTAGCCAACACCTCCTTGAGCAACCCACTCCCCGCAGTCCCCGGAGTGACAGCCCCATAAGTAGAACGCGCCCAGCAAGGACTGTTGATAAAGAGTTATGCCGGCGGCGGCGCCACCAACACCGGCGTAGCCTGCTTCGTCTCCGCCACACTGTCTAGGTCATGTGTCGTCGTCGTCAGCTTTGGTGCCGCCCCCGGCCCTCGCGCCTTGAGCGTTCCCGCGCGCGTGATGGTGATTTGGTTGGCTTTCACAGAGCGCGAGCGCTGCAGGGAACCGGCGCTGACGGAGGCGCTGCGGGCAAGGGGGATCGGAGGTGGTCTTCCCGATCGTGACTGGGTGGGGGGCTGCGAGGGGGAACGTCGTAGTTGCTGTCCAGATGGCGGAGGAGAAGATGGTAGTGTAGACGATGCACACGAATCAACCCGTTTCGGTCGGGCGCCGGCGCGGCGGGAGATGCTGATGGTGCGGGCGACGGAGATCTCGACGGCGGCTTTGATGATGGGGTCGGCTTCTTCGGCTTCTTCCTCGGCGGCTGCGGCGAGGTCGACGGATGGGGAGAGAGTGTGGCCTTTGTGAACAGGTAAGAGGGGGGAAGAGGCTGTGGGAAGGGACGGGCTTTCGGGGCTAAGGATTGGAGGTGAAGTCGTTTCTGGCATGGACGACTGCGGCGGCGGCGAAGTGGGTGAGCGTGTTGGCAGGACTGAAACCACTTCCCGCGGTTCGGGTGGCTGGTAGACGGTTGGTTTGAGAAGGAAGGGGCTGACGATTTTCGGCTCGTTCGACTGGCGGCTACTCGAGACGTCTAGAAATTGTGCTGGTGGGCTCTTAGGGGTATCGAGCATGAGGGTGGAATCTCCGGGCGCGAAATGGGAGTCTTTGCGTGGGGGGAAAGCCTGTTCCGATTTGGACTGATGCTGTTGCTGTTCTTCCCAAACTTCCGGTTTTCTGGGGGTGGCAGAGGTGTTTTCGTCACCAGGAAGATACTCTGATTTGCCCTTATGCTGCGGTTGAGACTCGTGGTAAGAATGATGTGGTTGCTGCTGCTGCGCTTCCAGGAGCCTCTGCTTGTGACCGGCACGTTCCTGCTCTTTTATTGTCCGCGGTGAGATTATCGGCACTCCCTTTTTCTCCCTACGAGGGGGAGGAGCATCCAATGGCTGCAAGTAGTCAGAAAAACCATCTACCGTTGGTGACGGGATAACGGCTGGCGACGAGTGTGCACGTGATCGAGGACTTGGGGGAACAGCAAGTTGTTGACGGCCTGGTATTGGTGGTAAAGTTGAAAAAGATGGTGATCGTGTCGGCTGGGGCGAGCTTGCCCTACGGAACTGTTTTACCTCCTCTTCGCGTTGAGCCACGGCCCTGTCGTTGACGGACTTGAGCTTTTCGAGCGTAGCCTGACGCCTCTCCAGGAGTGACATTTTGCTGTTTCTTTTTTGCTGTTGCGGGTTCAAGACTCCACTAAACATGACGCTGTATCGATCCAATGTGATACTCGGAATCTCCACGTCAAGTCGTAAGGGAGCACTAGTCTCCGAGTTGGGCGCAATACTCCGTGGTCGGTCATTCCAAGAACTTACTGGAGGCACCGGCGGTGGTGGTGGCTGCCTCCGCTGCCGTGGCTCGACAGGCACAGTAGTTGTTGGGAGATCTGTATTCGACCTAACGAGTAGTGGGACATGCTTTTGTCCCCTTTTCCCACTGATCGCGTGGTTCCTCGGTGGGACGGCACTGCCAGCAGCTTCCCGTCCACTGCTTGGTGACGACAGAGAAACCGCAGAACTGTTTGCAGAGATGAGGTCGGCGGCCTTTGCTGTATTTGACTGCTTTCCCCTCCCGAACAGGGCTCCAAATATTCTTTGTCTTGTCGTCTTTCGTCTCTGAAGAGGGGGTGCTGGAGGCGCTGTCTGAAGCACCATTTGCGGCGCTGCTGCTGGCGGTGGCGGTGGTGGTGAAGGAGTCCTTCGAGGTGGTGTGATGCTTTGTGGTTGCCATGAGCTGGGTTGAATTAAGGAGGTTTGCGAAGGGCTTCCCAGAGCCATTCCGATCGGAACCTCCATTGAGGTCATGAAGGATTCGTGGCCAGTCATAGGGGCTGGAGCTAGAAACGAAGTCATACTGGATGCTGCTGCTTGATCCGGACTCGCCTCTGGCGTTGGCAGGTTTCCACCTCTGATATCCATCACGTATGGTTGCATGCGTAAGGGATTCAGCCTTTCAGTCCCCCTCCACCCATCCACAGTGAGTAGCATGTCGTCCCTCGACTTGCGTTTCTCGCTAATTGACCTCGAACTTGCTGACCTGAAGGATCCAGGTCCAGCCGAAGTGCTTGGTCGATGCGGCATGACGGCTATGGCAGCGGCGACAACGTCGGGAGTGAGAACCTGGCGAGACAGACGACGGACGAGATAGGGTTTCCATCTGCCAGGAAAGGAGAAGTGGCAGACATTGCGGTTTTGAGTGAGACGACCACGTCCAGTTGCGTTGCGTAGGGCAGAACCTGACACAAAACCTGGTCCTGGGATGAAGGAGGCCCATGGGTCATGGCCGTGCACAATAATACCCTCGTTGTTGACTCCTGGATGGAGCCCACGATGTCGGCCTAAACCCTGGGGGAGGTCGATTGGTCTGGGCCGCTTAGCCCCTTTCATCGTGGTGCCCGCTGTCGTCATGCCTTTGGCAGTGGGCTCCAGGCCTTGCATCCGCCGCTAATATCGCTAGGTGCCCTGGCTCAACCACGGATGTCCACCGACGGTACCTGGATAGGCCGGGAAGGACCCTGATATGTTTGTTTCGAATTATCGTCTGGGAATCGTAGCAATCACCGAAGGCGAAATGGCGGAGCGAATTGAGAAGGAGGAATCACCTCACCGGCATTTGAGCAAATGAAGGACGCTGTCGACCCAAAGAGAAGAAGGATTGAGAGGAGCCATCCTGGCCACAGTATCCAGGATGGGCGAATGCCAAAGGAAGAGGCGCGCTTAACAAAGCTATATTGATGAGGATATAAAGGAGACAATTACCTAGAGCCTCGAGTGACTTTATTGTGTTAGCAAGCCTAACGCCAGCCCAAAAGCCATTCGAGGATCGCATGAAAGCTCGTTGGCAGGCTTTGATCGAGCGCAAGCATTCCCGTGTTCTGGAAGGCCATTGTCCAACCAAGATGGCCGAGGCCCTTGATGCTTTTCCCAGTGAGGTTGATCACCGCCAGGGATATGGCTCGATATTGCCCAAATCATGAAGATGAATTCTTGGAAGGAATCTGGGGTTGGTGATAGAGGAAAGAAAACTGACGAGCAGGTGGAGAGTTGTCGAGGCTTCCCTTGTCCAGCATTGGACAATCTGGAACAATATGTGTGTACAATGCAAGGGGCACGACAGATCCACTTCCAGGGCTATCCTAGCATGGCCTTCTTCGGCTGCTTCCCGGCTTGGGCGTGTCTCATGTTGATGGCTCCCACCGTGTACACTACATACTCCAACGATGGTTTGGACTCGGGAACCGGGAGAGATGCGCCATGATCGGGATCCTGGTCTCTATAAAGGATATGAGGCTGCCCCAAAGAGGATTGGGGCACGCCGAAACCGATCCCAGGAGTTGCCTCGATAGACTATGCTGGATTATATCTAAGTCGATATTGCAAAGGATGTGTAGCCATTATTAGCCTATGCTGTGTTTGGAGTTAACGGACAAAGAGGAAGGCGTCGTTCGATCCGTGAACGAGACCCTAGCATCAAACAACCGCAACAATGCCATGACATGTCGTTGGTTTCGCCGCATCTTGCTATTTGCTGGCTTGACGCCGCCGTGGATGTTGAGGTTGTGAACCGTATTAAATGGTGCCTTGTGCAGATGTGGAGATGACGATGAGATCCCGTCCGTCCTAGCAAACTCGCAAGCTTACCAAGGGGGGCTTCATTGTGCTGGGAGCATCGGGTTTGGGCGATGACTGCCTTGTCCTTGGTAATGACTGTCGAAGAAGTACGAAGTATGCGGTGTATCTTACATGTGTACGTTTTTTACGATGTTGTCAGAACCAGGCGCTAGACGCTCAGGCCAGCAATTCCCATGTCCACCAGCGTGCCAAGACGTCGGTTTAATGATGTTAAAAGGGGCCGGTTATGAATCCGAAAATGTCGAAGCTACGTCTCAAAGATGCACAACTCAAGTCAGCGACAGCCTGCCTGACTGGAACCCTGGACATCATACACCCTTGAGTCAAGATTCGTATGATATAGGAGTTGCCGGCTTGAACAGCTAACCTTTGGTTTTCACCATACCTTTAGATAGGTAGCTTACACCTCAGGGATTTGTGCCTGTTGTTGGCGCCTTGGTCCCGTCGTCTCTTTGTTGAAGTTTGTCATGTTGGATGAAATGGGGGTCTAGAGGAAAGAGATGCTGAATGGATCTCTGATTCGCCGTGCACTAACCGACGTCCACGAGGCAAGCCGAACGCTAGAGCATGCGTCTGCATTCAAGGAGCTCCGCTTGTTGTTGGGACGACAGCGGGATGGATCCGAATGCTTGACCCTCTTGGCGTCATATGCAAACTGTTTTCTGTGCTTTCCTACCCCGTCATCGTCTTCACTGATGCGTGCAGACAACGGCGTACTTTGCTGCTCCTCTTTGTTGAGATGAATGAGGGGCATCGGAGCAATGAACTCGACATGGTGTTGGGGCACAGCATCAGAGAAGAAGGACGTCCGTCAGAATAGGTATCTTCATACTGTTGTTGATGTCAGACTGAAACGTCGAGACTACGACAGCAAACTCTTCTTGCTGTCCGTCTCGGCGGTCAATGAGGCGGAATGGGGTCGTGGAATTCCATGGCCCTGCAAAAGAACGGTGAAGAATTCCAAGTCTGGATGAAGAAGAAGCTGCCACCTGTTTGTTGAAGAGGGGCCCACTGTTGACCACTTCGGTTGCTCCCGTCGATCCAGCTTGGAAATGCCGCTGGGAGTCGATGGAAGGATACTTGGTCCTAGAGGCTGTCTGCTAACAATCATCGTGCTGAGTTTATACGATCGTCTGTTAAAGAGATACATACCTAAGTCTCACCTGCCGAACCCCTCCGCGACTCCGAAGAGGTCAACGTCCAACTTCCTTCGGCGGGGCACCTCGCTGAAGTGACGAGGAGGGGCCTGGCTGGTGAGGGGGCTCCTCTCAAGAGCTTCCCTTCCAATCCACAACGGGAATCCACAACCACCAGGCACCGTTACCCGGGCCCATTCACCAGCTGGCCTTCGCTGGCTTCCCGGTTTAGCCCACTAGAATCCCAAGACCAGTGAGTCGTTCCCCTCCACTGTCATGTCACCGCTTCCCCTTTTCGCATCCAATCCATAGAGGTATCCAGTCGCCGCTCCGCTATCTTCCGCCGCCGCTTAGCCCCCCCCCCCCAAGACTACCGGCCCCCCTCCCCCCTTTGCCAACCGGACCGCGTTTGTTTGGGTTTCCCTTTTTTTAATCCTGCCCGAAAGCCAGCTTCTTCGTCGTCGTTGTCTGTCCATACACTCCTCCTTCAACTCAATCACCGAGTCCTTTCCATCACACCAACATCACACAAATCCCGACAAGATGTCCTGGCAAGGTCAGTGCCTGTTTCCGCCTGGGCCCTCTTCCCGTCCTTGGAAGCTGTTTCACGCCCAACCCCACCTCGACGGAAGCTGGGAGAATAAGCAAGCTAACCCCGAATGTCTTGAACAGCCTATGTTGACTCGAGGTACGACATACCATTGGAAACCACCCGAACCCATGAAAACAACGAATTGCGACGCCATCGACTGCTAGGGGTGCGATTGCCTGCGCCTGATGGTTGTTCGGCTTCGGCCCCAGGAATGCGGAGAACCACCTGTATATGGAAACGGACATGGACATGATGAGCTAAGACGTAATCTCCTACATATAGCCTTGTTGGCACCGGCCATATCGATAAGGCCGCCATCATCAGCGCCGCTGGTGACAGCACCTGGGCTGCGACTCCCGGCTTCACGGTACGCCTTGTCTCGCCAACTACCCCCGATTTCTGCCCGCGCCCTTTCCCTGCCCTCATCTCTGTCTCTCCTTCGGGCGCATAAACGGTCGGACATCTACAATGTCCGAGAAATCCTGGTCTGGGAGGCTGTTTGCACCGGGGAAGCAGAGAGCGGGGTTGGAGAAAGAGATGGCGTGATAGGACCCCCCCGACTATGTATCGGGCACCAAAGTTCCAGGGAAAGCTAACAATCTGTGACGTATTATAGCTGAGCGCCGATGAGATGAAGTTCATCTCCGCCGTCCTCGGTGATAATGGCAAGGGCCCCAACGTTGACAAGGTTTTCGCCGAGGGTCTCCACGTTGCCGGTCAGCGCTACGTTGCCTTCAACATCGAGGGTCGTCACGTCTACGGTCGCCAGGTGTGTACTATCTCTATCCCGCTATCGTGTCTCAACCTCTGCCGCTCGAACTTTAGTCGGCCGCGCTGCTCCAGGCATCCCCATTCCAAGCCTCGCATGTTCAAGCTTACTGATGGTTTTTCTTCCCCCCAAAAATAGGGCAAGACTGGCGTCATCATCGTCAAGACAACACAGGCCATCCTCGTCGCCCACTACGGCGAGAACGCTGTCGCCGGCAACTCGACACAGACCGTCGAGGCGCTCGCCGATTACCTCGTCAAGGCCGGATACTAAGTTATGTCGGGAGGTAGTGGGAAGAAGGATGAGATGATTGGATGTCTTAAGAGTCACTGAACAAGAAACAAATGAAAACGGGATGAAGACAAGGAAGACGAAGGATGGGAAGACGGAAAAGAAACCGAAAGACTTTCCTGTGAAGGAGTATTGGGGACTGGTGTACTGGATGGATGATATCCTTAAACAGGCATAGGCCCTTGGGAATTTTTTTTTTCTGGAACTGACAGCACACTTTGGCGGAATTTGCCTTTCCATATGCCAGTCGAAGCTGCCGGTCGTGAAAAACGTTCCTCGTCCGTTGTTGCATCATTGGGGTTATATGATATCGTGATTTTGTAGACAATCTAACCCCCCCGAACCATCTATAGGTAGTATTTGATTCTTCCTCTCAAAATTATGCATGAATAGAAAGCCCGGTACTTCCCTCTTCATATTACAACTTGGGTATCCCAAAGTTCGCTCCAACGCCGTTTGTGTGAATGTGCATGTTGATCGTGGGCATTAGACCCTTCATAGGCGTTCCCTCTCCTTTTCGTTTCACAACCGTCGTTTCTTCGTTCATGTTCCCGTTCGCCTCGTATTCTTTCTTTTGCCCTCCCTTTCATAGCGCGAGCGCTGAACCTGTCTTGCGCCCGACCCTCCGATGTCATTCAACCGAACGGCAAAGCGAGTATCCGTGAGCCTTCGAAGAGCGGCGCCATGGCCCAGACCATATCCTCGTTCGGCACGTTTGCACTATGCCACGGCGCCCTCGCCTTTTCCCCTCAACACTCAATCCCTCCATTTAAACAGGCAAATCCGCATTCTGCCTCGCCACCACACCAGACCGATCAACCGCGGTGCCGATATAAGGTCCAATAACAGGAATGTTGCGCGCGAAACCCGCTATCGTTCCCAGGAAGTCGCCAAAGAGGATCATGATCCCGTAAAGCTCCACGCAGAAGCCGATCAGAGGCCAGCGCATCAAAATCAAAGCCAGACCAGAGAAAAAGGCAGCCGTGCCTTTGGCCTTTTGCTTGCGTGCGAAGAAGGTGAAAGTTTTTTGGGGACCGATTATTATAGTTAGGCCGATTAGGAAGAGAATCTTTGTGGAGGTCAGAAGTGTTAGTAGGTATATAAACGCAGGAGGAGGAGAAGAAGAAGATAGACAGCAGGGAGATAAGGTGAGAAAACAAAACATACATTGCCCATGGCAAGCATCGCCCGGTCAAAGAAGAGGAGGACACCGCCGATGAGGAAAAAGCCACCTGGTTTGAGAGTTCGTCCCGTCAGTTTATTTTGGTCCCTTCTTTTCCCAAAAAAACGTATAAGCGTGTATGTTCGATCCGATCCCACGACAGACAGATGCGCAACGTTCGCGCGCCAAAAACTTTCAAATCATGGCCGGTGGCGCATCAATGCGCAAAGAGATCCGGCTCCCGTACATAATCGCTGCTAGGTAGGTCTGGCAAGGAGCTATACAGAGGTTCGGAAAGGAATATTTGAGGAGGGAGATTCGGGAACTAGGGATGGTGGATGCATACCGCCAGAGCAAAAGGCGACTCCAATTTCTAGAAAGAGAGAAAGACAGAGATTAGTATCATATACTCGCAGTCCGCACCGTAGGCCATAGTCAGGTTGGGGGTTCAACTCACTTTGGGAGTCGGATAACCACATTGTAGGCATATTGATGGTGGTGGCCTGGAAGCTTTTTGGCGGGGCGGAAGATAGCTAGCTCAAGAGCTAGATGGGGACTTCGAGGCAGCGCGAAAAGAAGTGAAGAAGCGGAAATATTCGCCGATGAATTAATAAGATAATGTAGTGTATAGTAAAGAGCGTAAATACGCTGACTTGTGAAAGTGCTGACTATGTCTAGTTGTTGCAAAGGCGATCGAAAACGGTCTCGTTCGACGATGTGCTAAGATGCGATCAAGGGGCTTGCATCAACGCCGCGCCAGGGACGCGGCCGGCAGAGCAATCGGACCTTAGCGGCTTCGGGGGCCTGCCGACGGGCGGGCAGGAACAGATCCACTTTGGCTTAGCTTTCTGTAGCTGTGATTGGTTCTGAGGATCAGGATTGGAGGGGCCAACGAACCGCAAAAGCATCTTTTTCTCGAATTTCGGGAAATTTTCCTTTTCGTTCTCTGTTCACGTTCAGTTGTCACGCAGAGATGAAGGCGTTTCAGAACAGCGAACATGGCAGTTTTGTTCCGAAACCACGCCTCGATCACGTATTATATGCTTGTCAGCATGTAATGGTCTTAATGATGGACCAGCGCGCTTAATTACATGATTTTGCTATCATCAGGGGCGTCTTGGTCAGCTACGGTAGGTACTATTCATTTCCTTTCCCTTCACGTTGCCACGACGGCTCTAGCTTCTTGCTAGAGCAACCTGAGTTCGATTTCTCTCCCGTTCGTTCTCGGTGGTCTGTCGGTTAGCTTTCGAGCTTTTGGGCAAAGAGCAAATGATCACGATTAAGCCGGAGTGTCGATTGTATCTTGCTGTTGAAAGACAGCGAGTACGTAGTTGGGACTTGACTTTGTTGGTCGCACATTCTTCTGCGATTAGATTAATTCTTTGTGAGAATAGTAATAACATCACATCAGCAATGCTCCCTTCCTTGTTCTGTTTAAAATGAAAACGCCTTGCAATCGGTCCTTCTTGTCCCTTAACGCCTTGGAAACCGAGTCCTGTTCAACGCCTCCTTGTAATATCCCATCCAAGTTTGTAGATGCTTCAATGTCCCTCCGACCCGGACGTAGCGCGTGCGAGATGCCCACGCCATGGCCAACAAGCGCCAAATGACAAGGCAGCCAGCCCAGGTGCAAGAATGCGCTCCCTAGGTAGTCACTATTTGAGCACGGTGTGAGCACCTCTGGCCTCCAAGAACTGCTCTCCCACGCCCTGCGGTAGACTCCGGATCGTAGCAAACACCTCCGCGTTATGATATCGCAACCTGGTCTTGGGATCAATGTACGGTGCCGACAGCCCAGTAATATCACAGTAGCGCTTCATCGGCGCAAGACTCGGTGCGCTTTCAATGTTGGTATACGTCGCAACCGGTGCCGAGGACAGACTCGCGGCCAGCCCGTTCGAACCCTTTGCTGGCACGTTAAGGCTCTTTTCTAGCACCAGCTTGGACAAGCTCCTAGATGCCTGTGCCAGATTGGCTGTTGTGCCATTCGGGTTCGCACCGTTGGCCGAAGGTACGACTGGTGTCGAGGTTCCGCTGGTGGAAAGACTGTCGTCGCCAACCGGGGCGGGCGTGGCGGCGCCGCTGGCATCTTGGGGTGTAGCAAGAATGGAACTGGCCTCCTTCCGTTGCGCGTCGCCGAGTATGGTCTTGATGTTTTTGTTGCGGCGCTGGTTTGGTCGCCAATGGGTGTTACGAAATGACTTGTGGACGGAATGGATGTCAAGCTGCTCGATGAGCTTGAGATGCGCGGCTGCCGCAGCTTGAGCTTCTGGAGTTTGGTTTGACATGTTTGATGGTTGGCAGGACCGTTTGGGTACCTGAGTGTCGAAGAGGTGATTTCGCTCTATTGACAGTCAGGTTGGAAGGGAGAGGCGAGACTGGAGAGAGCTTCAACTTGAGGTGGTCGAGATCACAGTTCCCGTCACCCTGTAGGCGTTGGCACCGATGCGGTATGCCTGCCGGAAGCTGCTGCAGGTGTCTCGGTGTTGCCAGGCAAGTGAGCCCAGGTGCAGGGGTTCTGAGTTCTGCCGCGTCATACCGCCCCACTTTCTAAGCGGGTTACGTCTTCCATCGCGTTTATGGCTTGTGAACGCCCCGCCAGTTGGTCGCGTTTAGTGCACGCATGGCACATGTCAGTGCAGTGCCTGTACATCGAGAACCCTTTTGGACACACCTTGCCTGGTTCTGTAGCTCTTGTTGACACCGTCACCATCATCATTCTTGGGTTCATACGTGGATGTACAGCTTTGACTACCTACACAATGGTTTGTAGAATTCCATTCCACGTTGTTTTTGTCTGGGATTCTCACATACAGGAATCTAGGAGAGCCCTCATGAGCATCAACAGAACTTGCTGCTGTCACGCATTATTACCAACGTGGTAAGCTCTCCAGTTGCCAGCACGGTTGCGATGCACGACCTAACAAAGACCACCGGGACTGTCACTGATGCTCACGTCAAAATTTGTTAGGAAAAACTCAACGAGGCTGTTGTTGTAATGAACAAGGCTTTGCAGGTAACTTTGGTCACAAATCGACCTTAACGTTGTGTGTTTACTCAACTGTTCTTTAGGAAATCAACATCCAAAACATGAACATTGAGCTGGTTGCGCAAATGTTCAAGAACTACCAGTCTAACGTGCTATTTCATCTTGAAGGTATGTAGTAATCGCGCCACAGTGGTTTCTCCAGAACCTCCACTTCCAGGTTGTCCTCAATGCTTATGCTAACTCTTCGAATGTAGCTACTGACAACCTGAAAGAGCCGTCTTGATATTCTCTGTCGTGGTCGTTATCGAATCAAGCTTACCTATCTCGGGGAAAGATAGCGGAATCAAAGAGATACCCAACAGACATCATTGAAATGAAATACCATACTTGAAGTACCTCTACACCAGGTAACTGAACTCTGATTGTCGTATAAGTCCTATTTTCAACTCAGTTGCTCCCCCATATCCACCCCTTGCATGAGGATGCCGCTCCAGGTCCCAGGTCGCTGTAGCTTAAAAGGTGGAACGCGCCAAGCCGCGCCACTATAAGACGGAACGTCAATGGGACACCACCCGCGACGGGACGGGACTTTGAGGTTGTGGCAGGCAACAGAAGCACCGCCGGACAGATCGTTGCCAACACTCAGTCGCGTCGATAGTTGCTGCTTTCCCTTCTTTCCACTCTCCATCAAACGTTCTAGACACGCCACAACCGTTCAGCACCCATTCTCATTCGGTCCGATCGCCCTTTTGCCGGCCTTCATCGCCAGATCCTGCGAGGATCAGAATGCGCTTGACCCGACGAATCCCACTGCTTCAGCGCTGAGCTCCCGGCAGCTCCACGATCTTCAACCGACCGGACACACCTAGAGAATATCTCCTTTCGAATATACCTTCCGTTTTAACTGCTATCCAAGTGATACTATTTGACCATGGCGCCCTCCGCAGTTGATGATACTGTCAGCAGGCGGGAAATGTGGAAGACTCTTCCTGATCCCGTCCTGTACCCAGTCAAGGAAGCCAAATTCGAAAAGTACATCGAGCCACAGTCGGACGGATACGAGCGAGCGAAGGCTCAATCTGGAGGAAATCCAGCTATCGTCATAGATAATGGTAAGTGCATATCCCATGATTTAGGCCCTTCGCCTATGTATATTCTCCCCAATGGAGCGTGGCCGACGTATGTTGCTAACCTCTATCATCGCACCTTCAGGTTCCTGGGCTGTTCGAGCGGGATGGTCTTTCGAAAATGCCCCCCGACTAGCCGTTCCCCCAATCATGGCCAAGTATCGCGATAGAAAGTTAGGCAAGACCTTTTCTTTTGCTGGCCAAGACTGCTATGCCGACACATCTGCACGAGGACACATACGGAACGCCTTCGAGGCTGGGACCGGTATTGTGAGCAATTGGGATGTTATGGAGCACGTGCTGGACTACGTCTTCCTGAAGCTTGGCATGAATGGTGTCGATGGGGCGATTGATATGCCGATTGTCATGACCGAGGCTGTCGCAAACTTGCCCTACTCGAGAAAATGTAGGCCAAACCCCCAATCATTCCCGTTCTTTCTGCTAACCATGTTTATCTGCTTAGCCATGACCGAAATTATCTTTGAATGTTACGGCGCTCCCTCCCTCACGTACGGAATTGACTCGTTGTTCGCATACCGACATAACCAAGGCAAGACCGGTATCGTTGTCTCTTCATCACACAGCGCTACCCATCTTATACCGGTCTACAACCAGAAGCCATTACTAGCCCAGGCTACGAGGCTGAATTGGGGCGGCTGGCATGCCGCGGAATATCTGCTGAAACTCATAAAGCTAAAGTACTATTATGGATTCCCCGGCAAACTCAACTCGTCACAAGCTGAGAATATGGTTCGGGATTTCTGCTATGTCTCCCAAGACTACGACAGTGAACTAGCACACTATCTGGAGTGGACTGGACTTGAGGACAGAGAACGCATTGTTCAATATCCTTACACGGAGGAAGTTATCAATCAAAAGACAGAGGAGGAGCTGGCCCGGATAGCTGAGAGGAAGAAGGAAAGCGGTCGGAGGCTGCAAGAACAGGCCGCCAAGATGCGCCTGGAAAGACTGATGAAGAAGGAACAAGAGCTCGAGTATTACAAGGACGTCCAGCGCAGAATCTTGGAACAAACGACCAAGAAGGAGATCAAGCGCATCCTTGATGATGCTGAGGTGAAGGATGAAGCCGCTTTGGATCGGATGGTCAAGGAGCTGGAAAAATCCATCAAGCGAGCACGGACCAAAGATCTTGGAGGCGAACAAGAGGAAGAGCAAGAAGCTCCCGACTTCAGCTTGCTTGATGTGCCTGATGACCAATTGGATGAGGCGGGACTCAAGCAAAAGAGGCAACAACGTCTAATGAAGTCGAACCACGATGCTCGAGCACGGGCCAAGGCTGAGAAGGAGGCAGAGAAGGCCAGGATAGCGGAAGAAGCCAGGTTGGATGAGGAGAGGCGGACCAACGATCTGGAAGGATGGCTTGAGGAGAAGCGCCAGCTTCGTCTTGCCAAGCTAGCTCAAATTAAAGAGCGCGATCGCCTCAAGGCTGATCTTGGTAACCGCAAGTCACTGGCTAACCAAATACGGATGAAGAACCTGGCAAACCTTGCCTCAGATACGCCCGCGACCACCGGTCGCAAGCGGCGTCGCGGCGGTGACGATGACGACTTCGGTGCCGATGACGCCGACTGGGGTGTCTACCGCAGTGTGGCCATTGGCGCAAACAAGGGTGACAGCGATGACGAGGAGGAAGCCGAAGAGGATCTCGAAGCGTCGGTCCGCGCGCTGGAGCAAGACTTGCTCGAGTACGACAAGGAATTCACGTATGAGCACACACTCGAAGCCCAGAACGACTGGACAAAGTCCCTCCTGCATGCCTTCCGGTACGGGCCGAGGCCGTTCGATGCAGCAGCACCAGCAGAAACGCATCGTCTCCATCTGAATGTCGAGCGCATCCGTGTACCCGAGGTGATCTTCCAGCCCAGTGCTATTGCTGGTGTTGATCAGGCCGGTATAATCGAGATTGCTGGCGATATCTTGAACCAGCGACTGGTTGGCATCCCGGGGCTCGATCGGGATTCGTTCCTCAAGGATATCTTCCTAACCGGTGGAAATACCATGTTCCAAGGATTTGACGAGAGAATGCGCGCTAGCCTTATGCCATTACTGCCGGCTGGCACCCCACTCACAGTCCGCAAGGCGAAGGATCCCATCCTCGACGCATGGAAGGGCGCTGCCGGCTGGGCGGGCAGCGAAGATTGGCAGAGGGCTAAGGTTACGAGGGAGGAGTATCAGGAGAAGGGAGCTGAGTATCTGAAGGTAAGTAATAGTATATATCTGCTACTATATGATCGTTTCTTGCGCGTATTATTCGATAAACTGACTGATTTTGACAACAGGAGCATGACTTGGGTAACGCTTTCAGCTAAAGTCAACAAAAGCCTGCTTTAGTTACAACCACAAATTAACCTTGTAGGTCAAAGAAGAAATAGCTGCAGCTAGTTTGTGGCTGGAAAAGAAGCTAGGTGTTAGATATGAACATACAATCCATTGCCCACCAGCGAGGCCTAGACTGAAGAGTCTCGGTTGATAGTACTGTCGTGGATGCGATAAGCTATATCACAGCCCCGAGTATTTGTGACTGAACTGCGCAACACAAGGGACGGAGATACATGTGTTCGAGCTAAGGAAGATAGACTTGAACAGAAACTGACTTGTTGGTGCATAAATACCAAGATCCTGAATCCTGAAGCTTTCAGTTACAAAGACGAGCTCCTCGCTTAGGTAGCTTCCACTCACTTGGCTTCTTCGGTTGCTGCGTTTAGGCCAAATTCTCACGAGTGTCTTTGGGTTGCTTTGGAATTCCAGTCTGGTTTTGGGAAGCGAAAGATGTTGTGTTGATTACTATCGATGGCACGTCTTTGAGCTGATTTTTGGAGTTCCTGAGTGAATGGATTGTTTGACCTGGAGGAGCATGGCCTTTCTTTCGATTCCGATATTCCCCCCGCTGTCTGTTGTTCTTGTTTCTTATCTGTCACTTGTCTAGCCCAATCTGCTCAACCTTTATCGACCTGGCTGGAGTTGTTGGAAAGGTAGGTTCGTTACGTTTATTTCTGCAGCTCCAGTGGCAGATAGCACGGTCTTTATTTGTTAATGATGATTTGATTCATCACCAAGGTTTTCATCTACTCCGCAAATGATCGTCTTGACAATCAAAGGATGGACTTAGACGGAATCCACATATGACGGTGTATATAGAAGATTGATCAGGAACCCTTTTTGTCTATCGTCTGTTTTCATCTATGAATCAATATTCTGTCTAGAGCGAAAATCCCCGATCTAATACCTCCTGAACTGCTTCTCCCACTGCTCAAAACCTCTAATCATCTCGGGCGTAATCTGCCTCATCATCCCCTTAGCGGCCATCTCCAGATCCTCCATCGTTATACCTACTGCTGTATCCTCCGCAACCGAATCCAGCTTTAGATAGCGATCATAAGCCCTCGTTCCCGCCACCGCGCAAATCCCCTTAATCTCTGCACCCGAGAACCCGTCCGTGATAGTCGCCAACCTTTCGATCTCCTCCTCACCGATCAGCATCTGCCTCTTCTCTGCCTCCTTCTTGAATATCGCCGCGCGTGCTTCTTGGTCTGGCGGGCTAACATAAATCAGCTCATCAAAGCGACCGGGCCGGAGCAAAGCGGGATCCAGCGCCTGCGGCCTGTTGGTAGCAGCCAGAACCACCACGCCCGTTAAAGCCTCGAAGCCATCCATCTCATTAAGCAAGGTCGTCAACACGTTCAGACCACTGCTACTTCCCCCAGATGTTGAGGATCCGCCATGCCCAAAACCGGCCCGCTGCCCCGCAATAGAGTCAATCTCATCAAAGAAAATCATACTAGGCGCCACCTCCCTCGCTCTCTGAAACAGCCTTCGCACCGCCCTCTCCGACTCGCCCACGTACATATTGAGCAGCTCGGCACCCTTGACGGCAAAGAAATTGAGGCCGGACTCGGTCGCCATCGCTTGCGCCGCCATGGTTTTGGAGCAACCTGGTGGGCCATACAGAAGAAAACCCTTGGGTGGACGGGCGAAGAAGCGAGATAATACGTGGACGGGTTCGGTGGACATGCGCACGGCGCGTCGGAGAGAAACCTTGACGGAGGCTTGCCCGCCGATATCAGACCAGTGGATGGGAGGCGGCTTGAGGTTCACGTCGTGCATGGCAGAGGGCCGAACGAGGCGGAGGGCTTCTTCGTAGTCGGAGGCGAGGAAGTAGGAGGTTGGGGTGGTGGTTGTGCTGGCGTTGGAGGGGGAGAGGTGCATGGACTCAAGGAGGGTTGATACTTCTTCTGTTGCTGGAGGTTGATCATCAAGACTGATCACGTCCTCGGTTGATGTTGGTGTTGTCGTCTTCTTTGCCCTGTTGATCCGCGTCCTTGCTATAAACTCGGCTTCGTCGACGATACGCCGGAGATCCTTGCCGTTGTAGGCATGTGTGCGTTCGCTGAGGCTGCGAAGAAGAACGTCTTCTTCCTCGGGCGCTACGCGCAAGTTGAAAGAGGCGAGAATCTCCTTGCGGCCATCCACGTCAGGCAGTGGTAGGTACACCTCGCCTGTGAGCCTCCCGGGATCCTTGAGATCCTCGGGGACGTCGGTTGTGTAATCTAAGCAAGTGACGACGACAGCTACCTTGGGAATCTCGCCGGTTTCCTGGGCGTCAGCCCCCAAGGTGTCCAGTGCCTCGCACAGGGCCTGTATTACAGAGGTGCGGTTGTTCCTCTCCTTGTCGATTAACCTTTCTAGTTGGTCGATCAGGATGATACTAGGCTGTTCAAGTCTAGCTTTCTGGAACATGTCCTGGATATCGGCAAGCTTGTCCTTGGGCTGGATGCGATAGACTGTGCCCCATCCAGTAGCGGCAATGGTGTTTAGGAGCATGCTCTTTCCCGTGCCGTGACCGCCGTGAATCACGATACCGCGGTACCTAGGCTTGCCCTTAAAGACCCAGGGGTCGGTGAACTGAGACAGCAGGTCGTTGAGTTTCTCGGTCTGAGCGTCCAGTCCACGAACACCTGTCACCTCCAGCTTTCCCTGGGGCACCCCGTCAACCTGGCCAGCGGGCGAAGGCGCCCCTATCCTGACTTTCGTCTTGCCATCCAAATAGCGCGCGTTGCCGGTTGGTCGCCCATTTACCGAAGCCACCACGAACGACCTCTGCGGGCCCCTAGCGTAGAGGTTCTTGAACGTCAAACCAGCGTGGACATGCTCGATCATAGAAAGCCTTCCGGCAAGGAAGAACTCCCAGCCGGGAAGATCGGACGGGTCGATAGATGCGGCAGTCTCTGCATCTTTGCCAGCCTTCTCGGGAGGTATCTGTTCGAGGACGACCTCTTCGGCCTCGGGAAGCTTCCCTTCCTGGATTGTGACCTTGACCTGAACTCCAGCCTGGTAGCCGCATGCATCTCTGAAGGCATCATACAGCTGGACGCTGGCCTTGTCTATCCTCTCTGGCGATTTCCATAGGGTTGCCTCCCGTCGCACGGGCTGGTCGTCAGAAGAGTTCTTATCGATCTTCTCAATGGTAATTGCCCGTCCTCCGTCTTTGGAACCGGTCAGCTCGAGCAGAGCCTCCTCGTTGACATAGACTCGCGATGGTTGTTTCTTTGCAAGGTCCTTTTCGGTGGTGCTGTTGGCCTGCAACTTGCGCACCTTGAAGTCGAGAGATTTCGTCCCCATGGTGTCACCGTGTCTGTGGGCTGGGCGAGATCCGGGTAGGAGCAGTTCACTGTCTCCGTCTTTCTCACTTTGGTCTTGGTGGACCTTGATGTCCAGACTTTATTGTAGAGTTTGTTGAGTGGGGTTTTTCGGAGGGCCCGTCGACATGGATTGCCCGGCTTGGTTCTTGACTCGGAGCACAAGCAGACTTCAATGGCCCGGGAACTGCCTTGGAATACGGAGCCTGAGCTCCGGTCGCAATCAGTGTCTTTTTGTCAAAGTCCGACTTCATCGCGGCTTCTTGTCTCCAAAATTGACGGCTTCCGATTTTGAAGACCGGTGGTAAGTGGGGCCGGAAAGCCACTCTGAAAGATTCCCGTACCTCTAGTACCTACACTAGTGTAGTAGACAGGTACCTCTACTTGCACGATCACATTACATAGCGCCTGCCCTACGTATCCAGTACTTTTGCACGCCAGTACCTGCATCTGGCTGATCTTAGGACGCCACTTAAGGTTCTCGTTCATCCCAAAGCTTCGAGGTTTCTTTCTTCGCTTCCCTTCCAGAGCTAGGGTTAGGGGTAGCTTGCCGACGGCAGAGCTGATGTCGGTCGTTGCGGGGGGATTGATCTCCAACGATTCCCAGCACGAGACATGAGGGGAACTCAACTGGAGGGGAAAACAAAACAAACCAGGAGCTCCTTCTTTACACTTTTGACGTCTTTTCCTTCTTTGACTTGTATCATTCCCCTACTCCGTGCTTCCAGCTTCCCTCTATGGTTTGCGCTCGGCGTCCACGAACTTGATGCTGCCGAGAGGACTGCAGTTGTCGCAGTCCTTCAACCGGTCATGCGTGAGACTGCCCATTGCCCGATCTGCGACCACCCCCTCCATCGCCTTCTCCACGTCTGCGACCAATTGCAAAAAGAGACCGCATCACAATCAAGATGCGCAGTTTGACCGGGGAGCCAGGAATGGGAATGCGAATGAGACCGCCAAAAGACAGACGTCCGCTCCTCTCACTCCGCGACAGGCCCGTTATCTAGATCAAACTGTCCGCTCTACGACAACAAACCCTGAGGGGCGACACCAAGAAAATGCAACTCAGGCCCGTCCGCTAATACGAACTGTTTCCTTCTCACCAAAAAAGACCCGTCCGCTAGTACTATATCATGATGTGGTGCACCAGGAAAGGAAGCGAAAAGAAGAGAATGAACTACAAGCTCCCTTGAGAAAACAAGAGTCCGAGCAACAACTCCGGTCGATTGCTCGGACCGCTCGCTCCTCACTAGAAAGTGACAACGTCTCGAAAGATCGACCTGAGCTAAAGGCCCGTCCGGCAGTACGAATTATTCGTCACCTAGCCAGAGACCCCAACGAGAAGACAGACAAACAACCTGGGTTACAGGCCCGTCCGCGAGCACGAAATGCAAAAACCCCCGACAAGAAAAGAGGAGGATATGAGCTACAGGTCCCTCCAGCAGCTCGATCTGTTAATTGGCGAAAAGAAGACTTCCTTGGTGGAAGCACTGCAGATTCTCGGTTAGATTCTGTGCCAGTCAAACAGCCAACATGGGCTACCTCTCCGTTGGAAAAACCCAAGCGGAAAAGGAGTAGCGCCGAAGCCTCTGGAGCCAGAAAGGATACAGAGACCGGCTTGGAAGAGGTATTTCCTTCGCAAAGCGAGCTTCAAGCGTGGTTCAAAGAATTCACGTCCGAGCGATCCAATTTCGAAGCCACCGCTCAGTCAGTACCACTGGAGCTTCTCCAAATGCGCGTTAAGAAATCCTTTGAACATGACAAGGTGGAGAGCGAGGAGGAGATGAGGAGACTCGAGGGAACGGGGTTTTCAGGGCCTACAAAGATGGACCCCCGTCATGGCACTGTCGGGCCCATCACTTTTCGTCAACCTAGGGACGAGTTCGACACTCTGGTGTCCTCAGTCGACATGGAGGAGAAACCAGCAGTCGAGCAGAGCGACGAAGACGGCGGGCCAGCAATCATTGTGCTTGACTGTGTCTCCCGGTCCCTTCTAGAGTCCGACTTTCGCCACATTGCCGGTCATGGCCAGCATGTGGACGGGTGGACTTACGGCCTTGTCAAGGGTACGTTTGCAAGACTTGTGTGATATGCTGTAGCGTCTTGGGTTCGTTGGAACCACCTGCGACTTCTCAATACTGACATTGAATCCTCTGACCAGTTGTCCAATCCCGATCCCGAACTACACATGAACCACAAGGCTGTTATTTCCTCTTCTTTGACAATGAGTCCAATGCTCGAACATACATAGATGTTCTGAAACGTTTGCATAATAAGTCACGCCAGGGTTTGCCAAAAGAATGGCGACAGACGACCACGGACACGCCGACACCGGTTCAATCTGCTGGGGAGCCAGAAGGCTCAGAAGATGTGGAAGAAAGCGCCGACGAGCTTCCGGACGTGGATGAACAACAGGGGGATGGCCTCGGCAAACGCAGTGAATATGCCGCCACCACTTCTATCCCAGACGATGACGACCTGGACGCTGCTCGCTACACGTTACTGCCCCCTACAGCGCCCCTGCATTACCAAATCTTCACCAGAAACAACATCCTCGAATTCGAGAACATACGGGAGGCAAGTAAGGGCCTGCGGCCTCAGCAGCTTCTCTCACAACCAAAATCCAAGCGTAGCGGAGCAGGTTCCTTCATATCCCCGCCTCCCAAGGACCTCATCAACTACGCCCAAGACCCACAAATAGAGCATAGCAGAAACAGCGCCCTAGTGCACCTCGTCGGCACCAAAATGACCATCCGGGCCTTGCGCACCGCCATTGAAATCGACTCCGAGGCGCGCAACTATCCGTGGCAATTGCTTCAAGAGGAGGAGCCAGCGGCGACGACGTCTACAACAAGGAAGACGACAGAGCAGCAAGGAAAGGATGAAGAGGATGCAGCAATCAAGCCCATCTTATCCACGCTCTCCACCATCAAGTTCAGCAAGTTCAACGAGTACAGAATCGAGCACGAGCTGGATGAGTTCTCGGGCGGTCAGATGGATGAAGGGGAAATGCGCGGGTTTTCACGGTTCGTGGTCTCGTTTGCGGACGTGAGTGAGGCTAGGAGGTTTGTCAGGACGTGGCACAAGAGGGAGATGCTGGATCCGAGGACTGAGAGGATGGTGCTTGTTAATGTCACGTCTCTTTGGTAGGGCAATTTTCAAGTATTAATGTGGAATGCAGTTAGGCGCGTGGGTGTAGATCACGTTGTTTGTATATGGAGGGATTTGTATAGGGGTATGAATGGGTTCAGTGTACTATTCCATGTATATTATTTCCTCGATCTTGGATAGAGAAAACCAGCCATGGCGTCTGGACAGGTCGGAAACGGACACACGCTCGTCTCCAGGCGGTATGTGCCACAAAAATAACGAAAGGGGTCGTTTAGATCCCCTGCCCCCTAGACTCTAGACCTATTGGACATTGCCTTACCTTGGCTTCCAAGTTGTGAGATTGTCCGGTTCACGTCGTACAAGTGATACAGTGCCCTCTCTTTGTCGTTGTTGTCCTCATCCACTGTGTTGTCGTATCCTGCCTGCCCGCCCTTGAGGTCTTCACTTCGTTGCCTGCCCCAAACTGGACGCCGTCTAACTCGGTGTTGTGCCCCCGGTGAATCGACCGAACGAATATGTGTCTGCGTCTTAAAAGCCGTCATCTTATCCTCATTCCGTTCTTCAGTTTTCTCTGACCGGTCTTACCGTCTCTCACGACTCACACGGCTGGTTTGCCTTGTTGTCGTCAGGAATCGCCAAAGCAAGCGAATGGACTTGATCTGGGATCGGTTAGGGCTATGGGCGGGCACGAGGGGATCTGGACAAAGTACCCAGGCTCCCAGGCTCCCCTGGTACCTATAATTTCGAGCCCCTGTCCCAGTATTTTGGAGCTCGCTACCTAGACAAGGACAGCCAGCTTTCTTCTATTCTGCCTCAAAACGTAAAACTCACTCACCATGGACTGGCACGACTTCAAGTTAAATCAAACTTGGACTTGGGTTTGCAAATCAAAGTCCAAACATTACTGGACCAATGTTGAGGAGCGATTGTTTTTTTTTTTTTTTTTTGGATTGGATCTGGGTAGATTTGACTTATTGGGTGGGATTTCTGGTTGTTGTGTAGGTACTTGCTTTTACCCAATTTTATCATCCATCCCATGTCATGAGCGGTCGGGGCAAGCAGCCCCTTCCAGTCCACCCTTGAGCGGGAACTGGGGGGCAGCAGGGCAGGCATGGATGTCTCCCGCGGGGATAGGCAGTGGAAAATGCCGTGCGTTGCGGGACTGTGCCTGGGGGACGGGAGGTCTTTGAGGGCTGGAAGGTTACATTTTCGATAGAACTCTGCTAAAAGACATGCTAAAACGAGCCTGGACCTCTAGACTGACGACTGAATTACATTGTTCCTTGCTCGATCGTTTCGAATCTTTCAAGTCCGGGCCCCGTCTGCGATAGGAAGAGAGGGCAGCCGGAGAAGACGCCGAAATGTACATGTGGAGAGGCAGGAATGGGATTCAGAGAATCTAGGTACAGTATGGAAGGCAGAAACCGGTACTGGTACCGTAGAAGGGACTGAGGTGTGGACGAGGGGTTACTACCTCTACCGCTGCGTTCAGTTTCCAGTTCTTGCCCGCCTGGTCTCTGTTCCATCTCTTCTGCATCTTTTCTGTTTCCGTGAACCGTTACGGAAGTGGATTCTAGGTTAACTGTCGCGGTTGACAGCTGGCCCGGTACCGAAGCATCCGACGACCACGTACACCAAGATTGTACTTCTGTGTTGTCTTTCGAGACACACACCTACTTCTGGCTGTTAACCTTGCAAGGATAAGAACTCATTTGAGAAACCTTTTTTTTCTTTCTTTTTCTTCTTTTTGTTAGGTACTTTCACGTCGTGAACATTATCAGAAACAATCAGCATCCGTAGTCATAATAACTGTGTACCATACACTACCGTTGATGCGCCATACTTAGCTACAGTATGTAAAAGAGGCTACTACCTAGGTAGCTACCCATGCGGGCTCTTCATCTGGGGGGGCGCTGATCAACCGTCTGGAAGTCAACACACATGGTTAACTCTCTGGCGTACTTGACTGTAACAGACTCTGTTAGTGCAGAGGTAGTCCAAGAAGTAGCTTGGTAGGGGAGGCGGAAAGTTCCACCCACACACGCAACAACCGAAGATGGGGTAGGTAGGTAAGGTAGGTAGGTAGGTGTTAGTGCCCGCCCGTCATTGCTTTTGCACTTCAACTTTTCCTTTTCTTCTGCCAGGGCAGCATCACCCCCAGTCTCGTCGTCGGAAGCAGGACATTTGAGCCGAACCGATTAAACTACCACTGTCATTTCATTCCTTGCTTTTGCCGTTGCATGGTATGATATCAATCCCATCCCCAGTCTCTTCTCCAGCAACAATCGCCATCATCTGATGTTATCCTCTCCAACAATCGCTGGATCCTCAACACAGCAAACACCTTCTTTGGGCGCTTTGGGTTTCGACAGGTTTGACCTTGAGTAACGGTCAAATAGAGTTGACTAAGGGCCTCGAACGCGCACCCCCCCCCTTCTCTTCTCCCACCTCCGAACCGAAACGTCGGCCGTTGTCGCCCTGGGAGATTGAGACCGTCGTCAAGCTCCTACCCGCTAGCCAACCATTCCCTTGCCCAACCATTGCCCACTCACACGATACCTAGCCAGCCCATACCAGACCCATAACAGGCTCTTCCCTGGACCGGAGCAGTCACCACCTACCCGGTCGGTCACCACCTCCTCACCAAAGCTCACCACCAGTCAAGACCCGCTCTGTGTCTGCACCGAACCGACGACATTCCCGTGCAGTGGAACATCACCTCCTCCAAGTCAGAGCGCTGCATTGTGCCGGTCCTGGTAACCGCTGTATACAACGCAACAACCCATACAAAGACCACTCAACCTACAAGACGACGTGACAGCGCCATCTTTGTGTCCTACTCTCCTCTCTGTCACTCTGTCACAATACGGATTTCTTTCCCGGCTAACTTACAACAACAACGACAACAACAGACAACAGACCCAGATGCGTTGCGGTGCTGTCCTGCTTGTCGACTTGTATCCTTTTTGCTTAGTAAAGGTACTGGTGATCTGCTGTCTGTCCTCCCATCCAGTCAGTCAGTGGTGACTGGTGCTCTGCACACATCATCCCAAAGGAGCTGGACCACCTGCCAAATCAGTTTTCAACCACCCGAACCCTTATACCGCCGTTAGCTTGACGTTACTCAAAATCAGAAAACATTTGCCGTCCTCCAGCCAGCTGTGCGCCATCGCTCTCGCCCAACTCTGTCTCTCCCTCCTCTCTCTCACTCTCCGTCTCTTCCACGCCTTTCTCCTAGGTCCCAGGTTCCCCGGTCCAGCTCGCCAAAGTCCAGAGCATCTCAATATCTGCCATCGGGCATCCCTGAGCTTTCTCTCCTCTCCAAGTCTGCTGTTTTTGGTTTGCCTTTGGATCTTTCTTGTTCTTCACGCGGTACACTGCACCAGCAACAGAGGACAAGCACCCTGTCTACTATCTTGCTACTATCTTAAAGTACAGACTTCCTGTGCCCCTCCCCTGCTTGGCTCCTCCCAAACTATCTTTTCACAGCCAAGCGTTGGAGCTGCCTATAATACCCGACTTCCCCCGTTTGCGCATGGCGATATCGTTGTAGTTATCCTACTTACAGAAGCTCAAGCAAGGCCAGCTCGTTGGAGCGGCCGGCGTTAAGCACCCGCCTACAACATGGACATCGAGCAGACGTTTATGACTATTCACAGTGGGTTGGACTCAATTGACATCCCCCGTCATCCTGTCTCGTTGCTCGGATGGGAGATTGCGGCGGGCGCACTCCCGATGACGAGCATTTCGGGACTGTGTACAATGTTTGACTGACTCCCAATCTTCCGTTGCAGACCTGACAGCAAAGGCGAATATCCTTTTCGCGTCCGACTCCATCCTCGACATTCTAGGCTATCATCCAGACGAGGTCAGGGGGAAATCATGCTTTGACCACTTCCATCCAGATGACGTGGCACTTGCCCGCCGTGTTCACCAGGAAGGCGTGCTGCTCGATAAGGCAGCTGTTTTGCACTATACCAGAATCGCCTCGAGAGATGGCAAGTGGATCAATTGCGAATGTTGTTTTACCGTCGTTCACGATGTGCTTGTGGCGAGCACGAGTGTTTACCTAGGTGGCTTGAAAAGTGAGAGTAAGTGTTTTCTCGGCACCCAGTGATGCCACTACGGTTAACCTTGATGTGTAGGGAGAAAGCTTGATGCGCCGCATATTGAGCGGATCTTCTCATCAGCACCTCGAGACCCCAGGTATCATATGCTCGAGCACATGTCGCCCAAGTTCACCATGCCTCCAGCGGGCCGCGAACCTCGTGCAGCGCTCATTCTCAACCGCTTCACTCGGAACCTCAGCATCATGTTCGCAACTAACGCAGTTGAGTCCATACTTGGCATAAGCCCAGAGGAGATCAAGGATAAGCCCTTCTACGAGTGTATTCAGGAAAACTGCTTGCAGGAAGCCATCCAGGTTCTAGAGAGTGCAAAGGCCAACGAATCGATTGCATATCTTCGCTTTTGGTTTCGGGATCCACGCATAGGCACAGATGGCCAGGATGACGAGGAAGATGAGGACGAAGACGAAGACGATAACGACTCAGGTGAAGAGGAAAGTGACGAGGACGATGATGAGGTGGAATATTTGGGAAGCAGGGCTAAAGGTTCAAAAGGCAAGGTCGTCAGACAGGACGATGATCAGATGGATATTGACGACAAGCCGTCAAGAGGGGAGGGAAGGGGTGAAGCGAAGGAAACAGACCGCCGACCCTCCAGTTTTGAGTTGGAGGCAGTTGTGTCTTGTACTTCGGACGGGCTTGTCGTGGTGCTCCGAAGAGCACGGCCACAGGTCCCCGAGCACGTACCTCAACCGGTACCAGTTTTCACTTACGAGAACGGTCTCTTCGCTGCACCATGGGGTCTCCGTCCAATTGAGCCTTCTGTGCCGCCAGAACTCATACACATTTTCAGACCCCCCCTATTACCCCAGCACATGCCGCTTAAAGAAAACGTGAGGGCAGCCGGTGGTCCGCCGATGGATCAGCTGATGAGGTCCATTCGCGATGTCGCAGTCTTTGCCTGGGCTCTGGTTGGCATCAACGGCAACATTGCAAATTACGCACACGGTTTTCCTCCGAGAGATGAGACGCAGCCGCCAGCGGCGGATGGTCGGTATCAACCCGGGCGGGACAGTCGAGCGTCAAATCACCACCT